AAACGAACTTTTGAATCGGCATTAGTTTTACTTTTATTCGAGGTGCCTACCCACATAGCATTCGATATCTTATGTATATACTATGTATATTCATTATAGACATATGTATTTTATGTCCAGTATGGATATTCTATAAATATACATTTTGGATGTGCTATGTATATACATGGGATTATATGTTATGTATATACGTTTTGGATTTGATACATACGTTTTCTGTATTACCGACGTTACAAACGTTAGCGTCTCATTTGCTGTGAATTACGGCGATGAAGATAGTAAGGTGCTATTGCAAATACAGTTCATTTTTCTAAAATTGGGAGTGTTATTCCGCGAGTTATTAATGAGTTTGTTTGTCTAATTTGTACAGTGAAAGTAATGATTTTTCTTTCGTGTGGGCATGACCCAACGTTGCAAATATGTGTTAGTGATATGTAAAGACTGAATGGAAGTTAATATAAGGACAAGAATGGCAGGTATGTTAGCAACCTATTTGTTATGAACTCGCGCTATTATAGTGTTGGACAAGAACACGATCAAAATGACTCAAGACTACAGTGTTAAAAAGAACAATAATAATTTCTTATGCACATTTTCCATTGTATACTAGGAGACTTAATAAACAAAAAGCTCCACTCCGTGAAAAGAATTTATTTATGTAGGTATAGATGATAGTAAACTTCCCGAATGTTAGAAGAATCTATATAGAACATCCATTCTGAATGTATACAACATACATGGTATATCCAGTTGTCAGTATACCAATATATATAGCATGTCTGATGCATATACATAAGACATCCAAAACGTATATACTATGTATTATGTGAAGTCTGCCAAACTTATATCCCATACACATACATTGGACATTTGCGACATACTTTTCCACATTCTATGGATATACAATATCCCACGTGGAATGTACATGGTATATGCAATGTATATAGGTCTGCTATGTGGGTACATACAAAATTTCATCTAAATATCAAAACAAATAAAAAAGCGACTGCGCATGCGTAAAACAAATTTTTTGATTCGGCATTAGTTTTACTTTTATTTGAGGTGCCTACATACAAAATTTACATTAAATATCGTAACAAATAAAAAATTGGGATTGCGCAAATATAAAAGTTGTAATGCGCATGCGCAATATTTTTTTTTTGCATCTGCATAATTGCCTGAAGTTTAAGAAATATTTACTAACACAGAAAACCGGACATTCATATGTTCTTTGTAATAAGAGTTATAAGAGAAACCCTTCTAAATTGGGGGTTTCAAACTTCATCCAAATTTGATAAATATTTCATGGGGAAGGTATATTTATCCAATTTGGATGAAGAGAAATCCTTTTTGAAGGTTCGGGCAGTTTTTGGGCTGTAACTTTTTGGCCCGTTAGTCTACATAGCCAAAAAACAGTAGCGACCTTTCATATATCCCGAAGAACATGTGTATCAATTTGCAAAGCGATCGGACGTTTCTGCACAAGCTTATCGTGTACACGGACAGACAGACGGACGGAAGGGCAGACAGATAGCAATACAAAATTATAAACGATCTCGAGGATCATTAATAAAATTTCATGTTTAGCAGATAAGATGTGTGGTAATTATGATTTTGTATTCTATAAGTTTTTTGGGTTTCAAAATCTGTAGTTCAATTATACCATTTAGTGATGCAACATGACAGATTATGAAAAAAGGTAAAAATCACGTAATCTCTTCAAAGTGTCCAAATATTTAAAAAAGTCAAAAAAATGTTTTAAAATTTGAAATCTTGAAATATCGAAAGTTGAACATTCTGAAACTCTACAATTTGAAAATCTTGTGATGCCAATTGTTGGCACCTGCACATTAAAAATGACAACATGGCGGTTTTAGTAATATTTTAAAATGTTTGCATGTAGTTTTGGCTTTTGTAGTTTTCAATACAAAAATTTGAAATTTTGCAATTTAAAATGTCCAGGTTTTGAATTTTAGAATGTTTAACCCTGGAATGCTACGCGGGGTACGCTTGTACCCCATGCTTGTTTGCAAGTTGCCCCAAACGGCAATAGTTGGGGCTACAGTCATGTGCGCCTCAGTAGTTTCATTCTACCTCACGGCAGTTTAGGTGTGATATTGGTGACGTGCTGTGCATTTTGAATCGTTGAGATATTTGAGATCCGGGGTATAGGTGTACCCCAGTGTAGCAGAATAGGATATTTTTTTGTGTTGGTATGTAAATTTATATTCTTGCTAAACTATTAAAATTATTATTATAATTTCGAAATCCGTGTTGTTTTTCAATGAATCTTTTTTCAGAAGACGAAATGGCTTCCCAAAAACAATATTTTGACCGCCGACTGTACCCCATGTAGCATATTGAGTTCAGGAAATAAGTGTAGCGTTCCAGGGTTAAGAAACTTTTTTGAAGAATTTTTACAATTGAGCTTTTGAAATTTTTGAGTATGAAATCTTGAAACCCAGAAGTGCAAAAATAGCCGTTGAACGCGTATGTCATAACATTATGCCAAACTACGGTCTATTCAGTATATCTTCCGTTGCACGTCATTCCCTGAAGAAAACGACGTACCAACGTAAACTTACTTTCGTTTATTAGGCAACACATTAAGCATGTAGTTTATTTTAGCCGCAACAATTGGTAGCATTTCGCTATGTTGTCGCGTTTAAATTTGTAAATTTGACAGGTTGCTTTTGGTTTACTTTTCGTTTGATTTGATTTTGATTATTTTCTACGTCTTTCGCTGTGCATTGGTTTGAAGAGAAATTACTGAAGAATTTAGATAACCCGTTAGTAATTGTGTTCGATAACGGGAAAACAAACAACATTAAAGTGTGGTTAGGTGATCATAATGTGCAGTTCTCCGAAAATGATTTTACAGCCGAACTGTTGAAAAGGTTGCACAGTAAGTACGTTCGCAAATTATTTGATGTTATATAAATCTTGTTGATACTTTTAGGAATAAATCAGCTAAAATGTACCGCATAAGGCATTGACCACTTAGCCGAGCAATACGGTTACTTCGTTTTACGATTACCACCCTATCATCGTGTTTTTAATCCTATCGAACATATTTGGGGCATAGCGAAAAATTATTACAATCGACACATTGGTAGAGATGGACGAAGCATTGAAAATTGCATAAACATGTGACAAGAATCACTACAATCGATAACTTCCGAAACGTGGCGCAATTCAGTTAAGGATACGGAAACTGTTAATACACGAGTGGTACGAAAGAGAAAAGCAATTAGATCTTGAAAACGTTGCTACTATTATTATAAACTTTGAACACGAAAGCAGTTCCGATGATTCCGATTAATTTGAATATCATCCATCACATCACATAACCTGTAAAATTTTATATTTAGTACCTACTTTCTCTGTAAAAGAGATGCTACATTTGTACAGTTCATAAGTTATTAAAGTATATTGTATGTATATTGTGGTTCCAATTAACGAAATGAATAATAAGGTGTGGATTGTTCACACAAAGAATGCACTGTCTTGTTGACAAGTGACATAACCTAAATCGCTCAAAACTAGATTTGGCATTATTGCATAGTAATTACGTCATAGAATATGATGACGTGCAACGGAAGTTATACGGAATAAAGTGTACGTTACAAACTTCAACTCACAAAACGTGTGTACCTGTACTCTATAGCGTGCAATAAAGGGGATATGACCTTGGCAGTCGAACCCTATATTTAAAAAAAAAACATTCTGGCGTTTCTGATATTAAAATTTTTTATTTTCAAATTTTGATAAACAGAAACTCTAGAAGAACCTTTTGTGTGGGAGCTTGGAAATGCTGATGTTGATTTAAGAACAACATCAAATCTGCACCTACGGCTTTAGACACACCATTTAAATATTTCTCCTTTGAAATATTCTACAATATCGATATTTCTACGTTGCTGAAATTTAAAAATTCTGTAACTATGAATTTATAAGAAGGTAGTAGATGGCGCTGTGTTCGAAGATTAACACATACAGGGAAAATATAAAACGGCACCAAATAATTGTAAAGTAGAAATATCCAGTACTGCGAACAGAAATAAATCTTTGACAACCGCTAATGACATTTCGGCAGTTTAGTTGGTAACATAAACTACCAGCTAACAAAATTCGCCAGTCGTTTTATGTTTCAGCGTAATACTGACTTGTGTTTTAACCGATCACAGTGAAGGGCAAAGCGTCCTTGTGCTTTCTACCGCTACGCTAAGGAATACAGTTTTTTTTAATAGAAAATGTGTAGATTTACTTGATGGTTGAAAACCTCGAAATTTGTGATGTGTAGAACTAGTAGGGGTTTGAAATGTATCTTGAAATTGATAGTTTTAAAAGTAAATTTTTAAAATTTCAAAATCTTGAAGTTTTTAAAATGTAAAAGGTTAGAAGTCCTCTCAGGTTTGGAAGCACAAAAGTTTGAGATCTTTAATGTGAACTTTCAAAAGTTGAAATAATTCACTTTTGCAGATTCTAAAACCTTACGATTTCAAATTTTAAGAGTTTGAAATTTAAAACTTTTGCAATTTTGAAATTTTTTTTAGATTTTGATGCTTTGATATTTTTCTTGTTGTTACTGCACAGACGAGTAGACAGACAGATAAAGATACATCTGTCAGAGCAATAATTCCATTTTGAGGTACATTTGAACTAGGTTACTGTTAAGATTTCAATTTGAATAGCAATAATAGGTATATTTATTGACCTGCCAAATTAAACAAATATAAAATGCAAAACCTGAATGCGTTTAACTATTACATGTAACCAAAAATAGTACATTCATGACACCCATGAGAAATCCTTTTATGGCACTAATACGAAAATGACTTCAAACAGACCAAAAAATCAAACGGTACATCCGTGCATTTTTAACTTTAATAAGCTTGGTTCGTTCCAATACCACAAATGTTGCAATTGCAAATTTGGCGAAAAGTCACACATTAAACACACTTTTCCCAAGAATTAAAAGTATAGAAAAAAATACCTACCTTTGTAGCCTCTTCACGAGACGAATATTTGGCGAGTGCAAATCCTTGATGCAGATATAAATGAAAACTTTGAAGAGGGCCATGTTGCATACATAACGTACGAAGCGTAGAACCATCAATCTGAATCAATATTTAAGGTAAGCTTCCAACGATCTGGAAACCCTTGTTAGTCTTACCTGAGCGGTTAGATTACGCAGTAGCAGCCAAGGCGACGATCCCCAATTGCCGGAGCTACGTTGAGCAGCCCAAGACGCCGAACCTAAACTTATAGTCCAACCATTAAGACCAGAAGCACCTTTAGTCGCAAGGCCAGGGGGAGGACCACGTGATTTCGGAGCTCCCCATAGCTCAGAAGTAACCGCCGTCGACGGATTGGGATCACCCAAAGATCCCTTGCTTGCAGGTAATTTATTTTGAGGACTAAATTCAATTAAACTTGTAGAATTTTGTACATTACTAAGTAAAGTGGTAAGGTTCGTTACGCTAGCGTTAAAATTCTAGAGAATTTCTGGGTTTACCCAACTTGTCTTATATACTTACCTAGTAAACGCACTGGGAGTTGTCGCCGGAGGATTAAAACTCCACGTTGACGAGCTAAGACTAAGAGGTTGAATCGAGTCTCCGCCGGGTGGCGAGTTTTTACTCGAATTCATGTTGAACAGTTCGGTATCTTTTATGGTGGCGATAGAGAGAGGTGAACGCACTACTGAACCTGGAGTAATACTAGGATCATCTTCGATAGATTTCATTTGGTTGCCCTGAAACGGACGAAGTTAACGTATCGAATATGATAAGCTGTAATCACCTTCCAAGGTTTGCCAGGTTCAAATTCAGGTACTAAGTCTGTAAGAGATGGCTGCGTGGACGTCGACCATTGACCATCTTTGTTATCTGCAACGGGATCGTTCGCGCCGGCGTCGGGCCAACCTCCCGTGTCAGCCGATCGGCCACTAGACCAAGGGCTACAAAAATTTATACTATAAATAAAAGAAAAACGTTATTAATCCCCAATGGAGTTACATATCTTAACTATCACTACTACCGACATTTTTTAAAACCAATTTAAGTAGAGGTAGTGCAAAAACAAGTGATACTCGCACGTACCCATCGGGCTGTGTCAGTCCCAAACCATTTAAATTTGGAGAACTATTCGACGGCGCCAGAGGTTTGGAAATTGAACCGGGCGCGCGACTGAACTCTCCCCCTTCTTCCTTATCTAACGCAGGCAGTTTCCACTGGTTCAGCCTCGACTGCTGTTGGCTCTGCTCGGAAGTGAACGATTTACAATTTTTGACAAATTTGCGAGTGGATCACTTACTATTTGGGAGTCTTTAATACCGAGATCAACGAAGTTTCCTTGCAACGCGTTTATTGAATCGTGCATCGGATTAGTCTTAAAAATGTCCGACGGACCGCCGGACGAATTACCAGTTAAATTATGCTGTTGCTGCTTTACGTAAATTGCCTGCTGAGCTGCTATCTGGTTCTAACGGAAGAAATTTGGTAAGTGCACGCGCGGTTCTGAAAACTAAGCGAGACAAACCTGCAAATTCGAAATCTGCTGTTTGGTTTTCGTTATAAGAACGGAACATTGGAGAAGTATGTTGCTTGGCTTTCCTCCCAGCGTTTGCGATTGCGCCACCGACTGTTGGGTGAGTAATTGTTGTAAGTTCTTTATTTGTTGCAACAACTGATTGAGTAGTACAAGAGTTTGAGGAGCCAGAGGTTGATTGAGTATCTGTAAGAGATTTAGTTGCTTACACTTGGGATGGATAGGGAAATATTTTTACCTGGTGGTTTAAGTAACCAGCTTGTACAGCCATTTGTATCTGTTGGACTAGCAGTCGTAGTTGATGAGATGTCGGTGTCGATTGTGGTGGTATGGTGCGTCCGGAACTTGTGCTACCAAAGCTCTGGTTTCCTCCGCTTTGAGGTATCATTTTTGTAATGTTATTAATTGAACAATTATTGGATGTTGATCCACTGCCCATACTGCTTAGTAAATTAGGTGCATTATTGCCCTGAAAATAATTCAGTTATTAGCCTTTGACTATTTCAGAAATTGAAATGTCTTCAGAATAATAACATCGATTGGCAAATGGACCAATGGAGTTTTTGGCACTTGTCTTAGCTAAGACTATCCAACAGTTAACTTCTATGAAAATAAATCGTATTCATATAGGAGATTAGCTATCAGATAAATTTACCAAAAAAATGAATCCCTAAATGTCTCAGCTAACAAGTTAAATTTGTTAACTGACTAATGAAATAGGTCAAATAACAAATAAAGAGCCGATCTTGCATGTTTCTGTTATACTTATCTGACAGTTAATTGTCATGGAAATTATCTGTATGAGAGATACACTACCACTCAAAAGTATTCTTCCGCCATCCAGTTATTGGCCGATAAAAAGGAAATTGGATAAAATTTAAAAGTTTATTCACTGTACAGGGTGAGTCAACAATTGTGCGGAGTAACTTAATGCATTGAAGATTTTTCGATAAGAGTGCTTTTGTATTATGATATGGTTGAATTTTCTCCAAATTTTAAAAATATTTGAAATTATACAGGGTGCGCCCACAAAGTAAGCTGCCAAAATGGTAATTTTTTAAAATAGAACCTCCTGTATTTGAATGCATTTTTGAATTCTATGTGTAATTGTACGTCTATTTTATCATATGGTTAATATCCGAAAAACTAGTAGTTTTAAAGATAATTCGATTTGTAAGAAAAATCGGGCATTTGCAAGCGTCAGTATATGGTCAAAATTATTAATTAAATTTTGATTCCAGGTTTTATATCTTTTATCCTGGGTTAAGTAAGTCAAATAAATACATCTACTATGAAACATTACAAAAATAGCTTACAGGGTGTTTTTTTGGTAGGTCCAAAGTTGCAAAACTTCATATTAAAAAACCTGACTTTTTTTAAATGGAACACCCTGTATATTTTTCTGCCATCTTTTAGCTCCTCCAAAAACCTTCAACTTTTGACAATAATGTCCTATACCAGGGGTCGGCAACCTATTGATACGGAAAAACCAAAAATTACAATTTACAAAATTTGTATTTGGCTATATACAGGGTCCTGCAACAGTGTCGGTTTTTCCTACATAGCTGATACCTGGTAAAAAATATTGGTGGTTGCCGATCTACAGAAATTATTTTTGAATGTACAGGGTGTCCCATTTTTACGATGTCAATAAATAACTGATCTTTTTAAAGTATGGGGTTGCCATTTAGGATTTTTGAAGAGGGGGGGCAGGGGGTTGTTATTCATAACTTCATTCTGGTTCCCCCTCGATACCACCCAAACGGTTTTGCGCGATTTTCAATATCTTCTTTAGTTTGGAAAATATGGCAGACTGCATGTTTTAAAATTGACACCCTGTATAGTTCAATGTTAAGAGGTAATCTCTAATGTTTTTTTTACGTTTCCATGGAAACTAACTGTCAAAAATGCAATTTACAAGTTGATAAAATTAAAAATCCACATACAGGAGGAAAAGGCATTTGTCCCGAAGGACCATTCGGAAAGCGTTGTCCAGGAAATGGGGCAGCTCCTTGGTGATCGTAGTGATCCTCGTGGCGCGTCCTCCAACTGTCTATGTTGCCACCACGTACTGAACTTAACATGTCCAAAGCGTCTTCCATATTCATATCTCGGTTCCTTAAAGCTGTTTCAACATCATCTTTCTGCAACCACAAAAAAATGAAAATCTGAAAGTTTAAGGAAACAAAAGAACTACCTTATAGCCCATATCGACCAAAACTCGAAATTGTTTAGAATTCCACACCATTTCTTTAGATAAAGCTGGCTTTGGTCCCTGTTTGTGATTCCAGTCAATTTCGTTTTCCCAAAGGGGTCCGCCCACCATAGGTTTTTGTTTGCCCCACGGCGCGTTACTGTCATCCCATGCGGGTCCGCTTTCGTCCCACGAACCATTTCGACCGTGACTCCAAACCGAACCGTCCGGTTTCATTCGAGCTTGAGGCATACCGGGTGGACCTCCGGCACCCCGTGCCATATTCGCCGTAGTTGGAAGATCTTTCCAGTGTGACCCTTGCTGCGGATTTCCCCACAAAGAGGTACCGTCGTCGTAATTGGGCATTGTGCGTCGTTGTGCGGGGGGCGAAGGTTCCTCCCAGCCCGCCGGATTGCCACCTCCCGGAACCATGGGTATTTTTCCCTGATGATGCATGTGATGGGCAGAAGCTTGAGGACCCGCTTGAGCCCAGAACGCTTCTGCACCCGCGCCATTAAGTCGTCCGGTTATACCTACAATTACAGTTTCCTATACAATTCGTTTTGTTAACAAAAAAATACCTCTCGGATCTCCTCGCATGTCGCCGCCCGTAAGGCGCATTTGCTCTCGCGGATCTAGCATTCGCATCGGATCGGTATTGTTGCTTCGAATGTCTCGTAAATCTGGTCTCATGTCGCGCAAATCCATGCCGGTCGTTCGTGGATCAGCGGAACGCGGATCTCCCCATCCCGCTGCAGTTGCAGTAGCCCACTCAGTTTCTTTTTTGGGTGCTATAAATTGTAGTAGGGTGAATTTTCTTGTATTTTTTGTACAGGTGAATTATGTTTATTTTGCAGTCGCCATTGTCAGGGTAAATTAAATTGGGTTCTAAAGATCTGATTGGTTAGAAAAATGAGTTCTTATTCGTGGAAAAGGTTGTGCCTCCCAGAATTGGTGTAAATGGAAAATTTGAGTGGTGGGAAATGAGTTCGTTGGTGGTAAGCCGAAGGGTGGTAATATGCGTCAAGCCATGACAGTACTCGCGTTGAGTGGTTAAAAAAAAGTTTACAATCAATCACCCGAAGTTTCACCGGAAATGTTATAGAGTGAAAAAATTCAGTTTGAGCTGCCGGAAAAGTAATTAGAAACCGAATTTTTTCGTTCCATCCAGATTTGAGGCGCCAAGAAGTCGTGGGAGATGACAAAATTAACTAGAATTACAAAGCAAATTTTTGCAAACCTAAACTCATGTAGATCGAGTATCCCAAAATTAAAATTTGTGTACATGTTATGTACACGGTTGCCACTTCCTACTTTGCCAAGCATCTTACAATTATTTCTTAAAAATCTGTTTCAAAACAATTTGAAAAAAAAATCTTGTAGAATTGCAATTTGTTATTTTCAAAAAGAATAAAAAATTCCAAACTTTAACTTTTAAAGACTAAAAAACTCGAGACTTCTTAACCACCTTAGTCCAGATTTTGGAAAGAGTGCAAATATTGTGGGCATTACTGATTCTAAAAACAAAAATTTCAAAATTTTAAGTTTTCAAAAATGAGAAGAATTAAGTCCAAAAAAATCCACTGCACAAGGACTTAGATACTGTAATTTTAAAATGTTGAATCCTAAAAATCATTGAATTTCAGAAACCCAGATGTTGGTAACCTAAAAACTGAAGTTCAAAATCTTTTCGGCATTTTGTATCAGTTTCAAATTCTAAATTACCAAAATTGGAGAAATTTCGTTTCATTTCACCAAATAAAAGTGTTAAAATGTTTTGGACTTTTCCGATACTGAAAATCAAAAACTCCAGAAAATAATCCAAAATCAGCAAAAGAATTGGAGCGAAAATCGGAAAGTTTTGAGCAAGAAAGTGTTTGGTAGCCTGAATGACCAGTACATTCTTAGCCAAAATGGATATTCTAACCCAAGGAGACAAATGGCTTGAACCTTACCTCCCCACATAGCTCCACCACCAGTTCCGCCGGTACCTGCACCAGTAGTGGCATTATTTCCCCACTGCTGTTGCGTGGCAGGTACACCGGTCCACACGTTCGAACTATCCGCAGCATCGTCGTCCTCTCCCCACGTGCCCCCGATATTGGTTGCCGGCGTGTGACCCCACGGTTTTTGCTGAGGCTGCGGCGGCGGTTGCCCGCCGTTGCGTAAATTCGCCTCCCAAAGTTCGGTCCCATTGTTAATGTTCGGTTTCCACGGTGGGGCGGTGCCGCCTCCGTCAATTTTCATCAGAGGTTCCGGACTGCCGGGAATGTCCCAATTCGTGTCTTGATTTATGTGCTAAAAAGGCGAATTGTTACGCGAACGATCGTAGCAAGCGGCGAGTACTTACGCCACCCCAGCCGTCGTGACTAAAAATGGCCTCACGCATGTTATTTAACTGCTCCAACTGCTGCTTGGTCGAGTTGGTGGGGTGAGGAGGATTCGCGACGCTCGGCTGAGATGTAGAGACAGGATTCGTGGTGTTGCTGACTGCCGGTTTGTTGCCGGGTCCCCATCCTGGGTTGTTCGATTGTGATGTCGCAGGCTGCTGGCCGTTTTGTTGTAAATTTGGAATAGACTTATTTCCTAGAATGACAATGAGACAGACGTGAGGTTATGCCAGGTTGTGCGATACAGTGTGCATTTACCGAACCAATTATGTTAAATTAAAACTATAGACTGACAAGAGGTAAGTAGAAAGTAGACGTTTTCTGCCCTTTAAGAAGTAATACTTTCGAATGTGAATGGACGAAACATACAAACTTGTAACGGTAACAACTCGCCCGTTTTCCAATTTTAGATTATTCACAAAATTTTAAATAATTGACGTATTTCTATTGTTTTAATGACATGCAAAAAAAATCATCATAAACCAAACCAAATTTATAATTAATTCAAATACAGAACTGGCAGATATCATCAGGATCCATTTTTTTTTACAACTTTAAAATAAAAATGTTCAACAGCGCACAGGTTTCTTCGATTATTTACTACGAAATTACGTAATATTTTCTTTTAAAGATTCACAGTGGATATTTTGAAGTGTACACACTGTTTCAGAATAAGCGGCTTATCTTTTTTGTAGTCACACTATGGATACTGCTTTCAAAATATTTGGCAGTATTCAGGACCTCTACACAATAGTAATATCAGATTCAATTGGACGAATTATTTCAAAATGGCGATTTTCAACTTTAAAAAAAAAATGGAATGCAATAATTTTTTTGAGATCTTAAAAAATTCTTTTTACGATAGTATTTCGTTTTTCTGAAAAAATCATTTCTTCCCCTATCAAAAAGCAAACATTTTAATCTAGTAGGTACCACACGACAAATGTTATTTTTGTCCAAATATCAAGTAGCGGTGGACAAAAAATAAACAACGAAACTATATTTTGTAATAAACCTCTACGAGCTGTGACAATTAAGTGATGACACCGAATCCATAAAAACATTTAAAAATTACGATTTATATCAAAAAAATCATTCTTAGTAAAAATGTAGTTTATAAAATAAACAAAACGAATGGTAGAGTTATGGTGTCTGTAGAACCACTACGAAGTAATAGCTCATTGAAGATCGCTTCTTATTTGTGAAACGCCAAATTAAACGTTTCAACATGAAATAACCAAAAAATGCATTGCTTTTTGGTTATCCCATGGTGAAACTTTCAATTTTGACGTTTGACGAATAAGAACAACCCTTCACTCAGTTATTACTAGGGATGGGCGATAACTGTTTTCACCTATCGATAAGTATCGGGTATCGATACACCGATAACTATCGAAAGATCGATAGTTATCGATATATCGATAGTTATCGATATATGAATACTATCGATAGGTATCGATATGTCGATAGTTATCGCTAGGGATGGGCGATAACTGTTTTCACCTATCGATATAAGTATCGGGTACTTACCTATCGATATATTTTACTTATCGATATGCCGATAATTATCGAAATATCGATGGTTATCGATACACCGATAACTATCGAAAGATCGATAACTGTCGCTATATCGATAAGTATCGGTATATCGATAGTTCTCGTTATGGCGATAGTTTTTAATATATAGGTATCGATATATTACCGATAATTTTTTTGAAAGCGTGTCTAAAAACTGCATGAGTTTACTTTTATATTCTGGCGAAAGAGCCCGACAAGACAAGAGGGCTCTTTTAACAAAATATGAAAATAACCGAATGCAGTTCTTGCAACTTTAATGGAGTTACCATATTAACTGTGCAATTATCGCAGGGCTCTTTAGCTTTCTACAATGCAATTACCGCTGTAATTAAGCGGTACTTGCACGCCTCATTTGAGAGAAATATTCGACGTATCGATAGTTATCGACAGGGATAGTTATCTTATCAAGTTTTATTAATAAAATCCATTTTCCGGTTTATTCTCGTGTAAAGTGACTATTAATAGTTACTCGACGTTTCTTTGCTACCTTTATCAAGAGTTTTTTGTTAGATTTCGTAAATGTCAATCAATTGAAACTGTATATCTAAATTTGAAGTGTTCTTAGCTTTTTCTGTTTTTTTTTGTGACTGGTCCTCTGTAACCATAAATCAGATACCGATACATAGGCCATGATTACACCCTTTGATTGTCTTCTTTATTTTATCTAAAGAGTAGCCATTTTGATGCAACATTTTGTTCAAGTTTTTGAAGTGCTTCTTTTTTTGAGCAATCGTCAGTAAGACGAAAAGATCTATTTTCTAAAGATTTTATTACTGCGTTTATTTGGCATGGATGATGATGTGACGTAGCGCTTCTCTTGAGAAAGGGAGCAAAGTTAAGTTTCCGAAACGTCGAGCAACTAAAAATAGTAAATTTACACGAGAGTAAACCCGAAAATGGATTTTATTAATAAAAATAGTAGCGCTCGTTGAAATCTCAACAATAACATAATTTTATCGTACCAATAGTTATCGACATATCGATATATCAATAGTTATCGACATATCGATAGGTATCGATATATCGATACTTACATCGATAAGTATCGATATACACCGGCAACATCCGAATTTGAGATCCACATTTTCGAACCATTGAGGATATAGTCACTGCCGATATATATATATATATAATATATATATCGATATATCGGTTTTTTTAGCTCTACCTATTGTTATTCGATATATCGATAACTATCGATACCTATCGATATATTGAAAAAAATTCCCATGCCTAGTTATTACTCAGTTTGTATTCAGTCTACACCAGTGGTTCTCAAAATGGGTGTCGCAAGCACTTCATAAGGGTGTCGCAAAATTTTTAATATTTACTTAATAAGCTTAAAATTACAAAAAAAAAGGAATTAAAGAATTATAAAAAATGAATATTCATTATTTATTACAATTCTATTTTTTAGTTTCTAAATTATTTATTTCCATGGTTCATAATTCATTAATGATATTGAATTACATCAGACTTTCTCAATCATAACTTATATTTAGGGTGCATATAGGGTGGTATGGGGAATCGAAAACGTCCTATTTTGGTTTTGATCCGTAACTATCTTCAAGGTTGTTAAAGGTGTCAAAATAAAAATTTTTCCTCATGCACTGACCAAAATGGCTTAAAAAACTCTACAAAAAAGTTCATTACAATTTTTTTGTGAGTTCCTTTGTTTTTGAGAAGTTTTGAATTGAAAAGTTACAGTGTTTATTATATTTTTCTCTAAAAGTAAGCATCAGAGTGAAAAATGTCAATTACAAAAAAGATGTGTCTTGATGAGGTCTACAAAAAAGGCTTCTACACTTTTTGCGTCGGGTTCAAAATAAAGGCGCTAGAGGGCATTTTTTAAATGTTATACTATGGCCAAAGATAATTGCAATGACTATTAAAAGTAATCGGAAAGTCAAGTCAGGAGTTTACCTGACAACTAGCTTTAAATGCTTTTGTTTAGAAATTTTTTTGTAAAGACTTCTCATCCTTTATCTCTTTACTAACTGTAAAAAAGCAAAAAAAATAATACTAGGGGTGTCGCGAATTTTGTTTAATAATTTTAGTGTGCCACCAGACAAAAAAGTTTGAGAAACACTAGTCTACACCATAAACCTACAATTCTTTTTGTTTTTTCTGTACGCTACGTTTTTAATAATAATAATAATAATTTTTTTATTTCATTAGGTTTTTTCCAATAATTTACAAAAAAAAGGAGAAGAAAACAAACATTTCTATTGTCCACTTAATGAAATAAGGATTCATGCTCAGTCAACTGACTCAAAGCCAGAATACTGTTCTTCCGCATGAACCTAATTGTGAAATATTGCAGTAGAGTTGTGATTTTAAAATAGAGATTTTCCAAGCAAAAATAGGGCGAATGTTTTTAATATAATACTTACTTTTTGAGTAACCCCTTCGAAATCGTGGGTTTTTTGGTTGAAAATGAAACTTTCACTCGCGAATAGGTCATAAACAGAAAAAAACTTGATAGAACAAAAGTTCGTTGGAATTTGTCAATCTAGGTGTTCGAAGTTAATCGGCGGTAGATACAAAAGAATCGGTCTATTGCAGATGAGGTGCCCCTGGTTTCCCCTCTCAGTGATCGATAACAGATGCAAAATGTAACCCTCTCTACAACGTTCTTCTTTCCTAAGACGTTCAAGTTTAGACTGTATACGCTTTCTAAAGTGCGTTTATTAAAGTGTATCCACATGTGACATGGAAAGGTCGCTTATTTTGTGTATAAGTTGAACTAAACCCAAAATTTAAAAAAAAATCTTTTTTAGGCTATCATCACAAAAACGTTGATTTTGTGGACGCTTTTGCGGCCATAAAGTTTAACTTTATTGTACGCTTCTGTCCAAACTTTACTTTATTGTACACATCTGTCAAACTGTACCTACTTATTTGAAACTGATGTGTGAGAAACAGTAATCTGTTTAATACAAAGCGTCTATCTGGTCTAGCCCCATCAAGGATTGGGCCATCCACGTGCGTTTTTTTCATTTTCGGACTTGTAGGAATGTTTCACACTATTTTGCATAATCACAACGTTCACATTTAAAATTATAGTTTGACGTTTCAATCTTTGCTGCTTGCAGACCATTTTGAAGTGTAGAACCAAAACATGAGGAAGATGTTATTGCTTACATTATTATGCGAAGAATCACCAGCAATTAACCGAGAACACAAGTAGCTACCTATACCTGCCATCAAAGTAGGTAATCAGGTTTCTAATAATTGTACAGCATGTTAACTATAAGGTCTTGGAAGCCACAGTTACGAAGGACCTATTGCATTTGACATTATTAAAATCTTGTGCAATGGAGGAAGTTGCGATTGTACTTTTACTCTCAAACGCCAGCTCTTATATCATATATGGCTTAGGTTCGCAAGCTTGCAGCTTCCAAAATTTCATCCTGAACTGTCGCTATCACCCATTTTGATACGCACAAAACACACGCAAAGATGCTAATTATAATTTATTACATATGACAGGAATTGCTTTGTTTTTAATTGTCTAAGATAACTATGATTTTCAGAAAAAATATGTTTATGAGCAAATGTTTGAATTCTTTTTTGATGATCGCCTAAAAAATGTTGTGTGCACCTTGGCCAAAAGTGATTTGTTAGGCCTCATCTGAATTGCGGCCTCGGCTACCGCCTCGGCCACAAACAGCAGCTTCGGCCAAAAAAGATCACTTTTACGGCCTTGGTACACAAATAACTATTTTTGTAAGATGTGGATTTTAAAAAAACGAATAAGCAATTAGTCATTACATGAATATGAAATTTGACACCTAAAGCATACTAAACAAGGGAAATTGACACCTGTAAAAAATGAGAATTGACACCCAAAGGATGCAAAGAATAAAATAAGAGCTCTAGAAGCCGCCAAACAAACGGAATTTGATGTACCATAATAATAAAGTTTATTATCTGTAATAGCCATAGACTATATAAGATTTGTCAATAAGACAAACATACAGGGTGGTGCCTAGCGCAACGCAGCATAGGGATTTCAATGGTAATTTCTTTATAGTCAATTACTAGCTCCCCTAATTATTTTAGAGCAAAAGTTTAAATACGTTTTTTTAGAGAAAAAAATACTGCATCTGTTCATACTATTACTTATAATTTTCGGTTTTTCAAAACCGTAGAAATCGACAAAATAAAAAATTAAATTTTTATAAATCAGTGATGCTTTGGAATCTTTCAACAAACTAGAAGCGCAACGCATTTGTTATCGTTGTTTGACGTCGAACGATTTTCATATTTAATTCTGTTTCAACTAACCAACGCAATAAAAGACATCTTAGTTTTGACGGACATTTTGAACGTTATTGCACTTGCAGTTATTTAACTAATTTGTAAAAAAGTATAAATTTAAATTTAATAAAGGTCAAAGGCAAATACTGAAACGTGATCGCTGTTTTTTAGGTAATTCCAAGGCATATCTGATTTATTGTAAATGAACCTTTTTATTTTGTCGATTTCTACGGTTTTGAAAAGCGGAAAATTATAATTAATAGTATGAATAGATGCAGTATTTTTTTCTCTAACTAAAACATATTTAGACTTTTGCTCTAAAATAATTTGGGGAGCTAGTAATTGGCTATAAAGAAATTACAATTGAAATCCCTCTGCTGCGTCGCACTAGGCACCACCCGGTATATTAAATAAATAATTAAAATCACACAATATAACAGGCAAAATCATTTATCAAACCGAGATGACAAAAACTCATGACTAGAATAGAAAGCATTTAATTTTAAATAACTGGTAACGGTTTTCTTTAATTCTTCCACAAATAACGAACTGAAACTCTGAGGGGGTTTAGTGGAGTTGATTGGAACGATTATTTTTATTTCTTGTGTCATACTCATATGATAAATAATGTAGCCAGTAAGTCGATATGTTAGTGGCAAAGTACCCTATTAAAAAAACACAGTGTGACACTAAGATTTCCAAAACATGAAGATTTTGAAAAGAATTAAAATTAGCGCTGAAAGGTTTTCTCAAGGTAAAATGAGTGCCTCAGAAATCATCAAAGAAATAGGACTATGATGCACTGTTAATTTCGCATGTTACTACTTGCGAGAAGAATAGATAAGTGCGACTCTCAATCCTAGAAATAACCAACATATCTCCATTATTTTTGTTCTAGACACATCCTGAACATAGACAATTTCTAAAAAAACATTTGGACGTATTACTTTGGGTTAAAATATTGTAGTTTCAAGCAAAAATCCTCAAGGCAGCAACACACACGGGAATGAAAATTTGTATTATTTTAACAAACATAAAACTAAACACTATTTTACTCTTAATGAATTTTATGTTAGATTATCGATAAGTGACAGTTTGAGGAACTATTTCTGTTAAGAGTTGTACAGGGTGTAAATCGAAAAGTGAAACATAGGCATTTAACATGGGAAATTCCAATAAAAGTTATAGAGATATAAATTCTGCATCTAAATCATGTGAAACGATTATTCTACCTCTTCTTGTACACGAAAAAATTAATAATGAAGATTCTGTTTTCACGAGTTTTTAGTCTAAATAGCCATGGACTATGATAAAAGAAAAAGATAGCCCATGGCTACTTAGACTAAAAACTCGTGAAAACAGAATCTTTATAATTAATTTTTTCGCGTACAAGAAGAGGTAGAATAATCGTTTCAGATGATTTAGACGCAGAATTTATATCTCTATAAGTTTTATTTGAAGTATTTTTGCGTAAAATAATTAGGAAACGTTTGCACAAAGAAAATGTAATTTCCTATGTTAAACGCCTATGTTCCACTTTTCGATTTACACCCTGTACAATAAAATTAGGTAAAGATCAATGTGTTACAAAAAAGAAATAATCACGAAGATTTTTATTGAAAAAATTAATAATAAAAGTTAACTTATCTGAATGCGAGAACATTTTTTTCCATTGAAATTAACTGGCAAATAAGTTTAAATTAGGGCCAGTTGTACCACGATAATAATAATAATCGTATTTTATTTGTGCTGGTATATAACATTAAGTTTTCACATGTGTCAAAATTAAAAATTACAATATTAGCAAAATATAGTTCAATTTATTTATAAAATATAGTTTTCTATATCTATACAGTTTAAAAATTCCTTTATGGCGTAAAATGTTTTAGACGTTAAAAAACGCCTACTGTTTAATTAAACCTTTGAATTTCTATACTCTTGACGATGTCAGGCAAACGATTAAAGAAATGGCGGTCTATTGCACAATTTCTTGTTAAGGAAAGTAGACAATCATTTATTTTAGTTTGATTGCAAATTCTGGTCCCGTATAAATGGTGTGAAGAATTGCTGTTTTACTTTTTACAATGAACTAGGGCCAAATGTAGAAAGATGGAACTGTTAAAACGCCTCCTCCTATCCAAACTTGTCTTAAATTATCTCCGATTGGTAAATTGTCTAGGTACATACATAATGAACAGTAGTGGTCCTAACACCGATCTCTGTGGCACACCTCGAGCTCAGTAATTTGATATTTTTTTCATTCTGGCACGAAGAAAAGAGTATAGAAAACTACAGTTTTTGGAGTCAAACCCATACATTTCAAGTTTTTGTATAAAGTGTGAATTCAAATGCCTGTGATTGCAGAATTAAGCGATCGTGTAACCTCTGTTCTCCAGGACTGTGCATTTATGTAATTAAGTAGTAGTAGATAGAATTGAACCTTTGGCGTCGAATACCAAACTGTTAATTGCTCAGAACATAGTTTTCCTTCAAAAACAAGGACATTTTGATCATATATCATGATGCTTTCAGTCAACTGAATTTTGTGTTAAATTTGATGAAGTCCATCATAAGTAATATGCATAAATGCCATCTAAAATATGTACTTTAAAATCAGATTTTGTTTGCTTTAACAAACAAGTGCAACAAAGAAAGTGTCAGTTTAATAAAATTTTGTTTTCAAATATTTTCAAAATACACGGTGACACAGTGTTCCATAATTCACACTCAAAATATTACTCTTGAAAAGCAGAGAAATATGTACAGCTATTATGTTTATAACAGTGTCATTTTCCGGCAGCCTACTAGATATACTTACCGTCTTGAGGTTGGGGGCCAGGTCCGGCGTTAGTAGCGCGGTTGCTATTGCTCCACTGTTGTGTTCCCGTACTGTTAGCGTTGGCAGCATTTGCGTTACCCCATCCAGTCGAGCTATTTGCTAAATACAAAAAAAAAATGGGTTTTCGATTAGGGACAAACAATTTATTATTTAACATTGATTGGTCCGGTAAAGTGTAGCAAGCAGATGGATGGAATTCTTACCGTTGGTGTTACTGGCCGGTTGAGACGGCGGGCTGCCCCAACCGGACGTACCGGTACTGAGGGAGCTTTCGCCTCCGCCGCATAATCGTAGAGGCAGTGCGTAACCCAATCTTTCGAGCTCTCGTGTGCGCTGACTTAATCTGATGAGCCTTTCGAGACTGTAGCTTTCGTCGGTGGCGTTCGAATTGCAATTAGAACTAGTATTGTTTTTTGTGAGGTTCAGTTCAATGAGGTCACCATTGAGGTTTTCAGACTTTTCGTTGGGAATGTCTTGTCCAAATAAGAATTGTAAAGCACCAAACTTACTTTCTAACTTATCGCTATTATTGTGTGCGACCGCCGTATGGTCGTTACGTTGTATTTTTGGTACGGTAACAGAGTTCAGAAGACAATTATCGGTCACAGATTGCATCCTAAGATTAGAGTTACCACCAGTCGGGCAACTTGAGCCATTTATCACAGAATAAGCGCCGAGTGAGGCGAAGGGTGTGCTCGGGAGGCAGGCTCGATCCTCCCCAGCTGCCCTAGCGACTTGTACTGGGGGTGCGCGGCCCCTCATGGCTGACGCTTGAGGCACTTCAAAGGTAGGAAATGTAAATTTCGGCTCGGAGGGGGCGGGGTCGCGCATTTTACTAGTGCTTCATGTCAGTCTGGCCAGCCAGAGATCTGAAACGAGAGAAATACACAAACTTAAAACAATTGCAATTTATTATTATGAAAAAATTGGAAAGGGAGGGGGAATTTTTGATACCGATCTACTCCCAAATTTCTAACATTTGCTACTTAAAAAAAGTACTTTCACTAATTCCAAAAAAAATTCATTCACAAAGTTCGTAATGGTTTTTACGATCGATTTGACATAAAGACCCATATTTTATAAGTGAACGAATTGATTTCTTGCGTATTCGTACCATTTGCGAGGGGCGTAGGTATCAAAACAAATCTTTCACATTTCGCAAGGTGATTGTACCGTGAAGCCAACAATTACGAAACCATTGTAGCGTCTAGTAACTTGATATTTGCAAACAAAATGAAGGCATAAAAAAACAAAACAACGCGCGTTGTTTATTATTTTGATTTAACGTAGACGGACGGTCAGACAGGTTGGGAAAGTATGCGGTGTGCGATTTGTTTTGATGAGTTGAGGATGGGGCTTTAAGATAATTGCAAAACTTACGTACCAAAATGGTCGCCAGACAACACTAGAGAAGCAAAGAGAGGGGCAGTTGTAAGCGTCTAGGGGCGCCCAAACTTAAAACATTACAGCTAGTCATACTCAAAACACACTAGTTTCTACACGAACAATTGTTCAATTATCACACAGACAAGTGAGAATACTTATATATCACAATAATTTCAATAATTTGGCGTTGAAATACTTGCATTTGAGGATACGCGAGATTTGTATTGATCCACTATTACGTGGCAGCAACCTGCCTATCGTCGGGACGATCCGGCTCTGCTCGCCGCGGCTCGCATTTGGAAAGCGTGTGAATTGGAAGGTAGTTTTGATAACTGATCAAAACGAGGGGCTTAACAAGGGTAACTCGCCTTGAGCGTGTTACGATTAAATAAAAATAAACATTCCCCCGAAGAGAGGTAAATAAACAATTTTAAATTGTTGTCAATTTCGGTAGCAACATCTGATTATCCAATTCAAATTCCATCATAAACATAAACATGCATTATTATTGTTTAATTGTCGATCCATTTGAGAAACCTAACATCCGTGCAACATTAAACAACACATACCAAGACGTAGGTATTTATTTTATTTTATTTAGTGGTGTTATTAGTACACCGTTTATGATGACAATACACAATTTTAAGACATTGAGTCCAGAGTCCTCAAATTCCCGTTTCGTGTAGGTAACCACATTCAAACGACTAAATATAAATTTCTTCCTTGTACTGCCATCGGTCGCGACCTACTTTCCGCACCCGGGCAAATAGGAGAGGGATGAAATCCGGGACGACCTCAACATTGGAGTGTAAAGTCACTGGCAAATTCAACAAAGGTGGCCGTGACCCGGTTCCACATCGAAATAGGTCACGACCCGTAAAATTTACTACCAAAGTGGCTCACATCCCTATGCCACTTCAATCGGTACGCTTTGTAATGAATGGTCCCCGTTTACGTTACATTTATTACCTAATTGAATACATTAGCATTAAGTAATATGCAAAACAGCAAAGCGCATTTTATATCGCACTAAATAAAAATTCCTAACAGTTTTTTGTGTCCGAACAACCTACCTGCCTAATCGGTTAAGAATTGTAAATGACACAATTTGACTAATTAATTAGCATTTTTTCAATGCGGTGCATACACAGAGTATGTGAACTTGCGAACGTTTAGTGTCCCTGATACGGTAATTTCGCACATTTAAAGGTAAATAAATATTGGTTGTTGCAAAAGTTCCATCGACGTCAGGTGTCATTTGAGGGGTCCGTGGCATCAGTTAAAATTCGAGATTATGCACAATGCAGAATTTGTGCCGTTACCGCATTTTTAGAGCAAATTTTCGAAAGAAATTTTGTCCTTGTATAACTTGAGAACGAAGAGAGCGATGTCAAACCTTCGCCAATCGATTTCTACGAGTTCAAGAATCAGTGCTATTGAATATGAGCCGGATCAAAAGTGTTTCCGCATGCGAGCCGAGTGTCCCTACTGAAAAAAAAACTCGTAGCTCCTTCGCGAAAAAATACCTTGCCGTTTCCCTATTTGATGCGTTCTACCTGGGACACACTGTATGTACCGTGCTGGATATCGAGGATGCACCACGCACATAGGCAGATCTTTTCGGTATGCGTCAACTCGCCAAGGGCGACTCGCCACCGACTGACTCGCCAACGGGACAACTCGCCAATGCGACAACTCGCCAACGAAATATTTTTCCCTGTTTAATGTGTCGTTCAAATAACGATGTGATTGTCAAATTTTCTGTTCAAATAATAATTTTCAGAAGTTGTCGTTATATCAAAAGAAGCAGGTATAGGCGGTTGGCGGTTACATTGAAATCCCTATGATGCGTTACGCAAGTCACCACCCTGTATACTTTCAATGACATAAGCTTTGATTTTATATATATATAGGGTGTTCCTAAATATGATGTAGGTACACACGGAAGGAGCTAATGGTTTGGCTTAGTTGAAGACTAAAAGTTCATATATTCATATACAAACATAGGACATTGAGTTTAGTTTAATCAAAGAAATAGTGAAGTTTCTTCAAGCTGTCAGCGAGTGTTTTTGAATTTGATAGCCTCAATCTCGCAAACCATTTACGAACAGATTATTTGATCTATAACTGGTCATAATGTTGGGCAAATAAATATATTATTATTTGGATTATTAGAGAAAAAAACTGTAGAAAATTTGTAGATTAATTGTCGACCACCTGCGTGCGTGGTAATATGTCTAAACAAGCTCTGTAAGCTTCTCTTTCTTTCAGGGATTTAATGTTAATCGTTTCATGTGTTTTGGAATACATTTTTGTCATCGTCAATCAATTAATTGTGTTTATTCGAATCCCTTGTGCGACCCGACTAGTTTTCACGTTAGATTTTTCTATCTGTGCCCAAGATTTATTTCAGGTGTTAATCAAAAGTGTAATAAATCCTTCGGAATTTTTGCAAGTTGATCCACCGAGTCTCTCAAATTGAGAAGTTTTAAGCCAGTAGTAGAATTTTTTTATAGCAGATGCCGGATGTTTACCTGGAGAGATTATACAATTTTAATTTGATTTGAGCTAGCTCGACAGGTAAACACAAAACTGTTGCGTGTAGTGACCGCACGCCATTGCGCACAGCAATATTTTGTTCCGTACTGTATACATAAAAACTTAGTTAATGATCAAGTATGAGACAATTTAGTTTACGTAAATACGCAAAAAGAAGCATGAGAGCTGTCAGTTGAAACCTTGTAAAGATTCAGCATCAAGGCTTGTCAAGGGTAGAGACATTTGTAAGCTAGAGGTGTGGTGGCAAAAAAACAGTTTTTTTTAAAGGAACGGTTTAAAAAACAAAAAATACAACATAAACATTAAAAATGGCAAACTTCAGATGAGTTTTATTTTCTGAGCGTGAGGCTCGCAATACATAATGGGGGTTTACAGTATAGTTGAATTCCGCAGTTCTAATTTAATAAGCGTGTAGCTGAAACCATAAAACATTTTTTTGGACAGTCAAAGTTTATTTAAAAATAGAGGCTGATTAGCAAAAAAATAATGAACATGTGCGGTTTTAAAGGTTTATTCAAAACGATATGATTGTGGCGGGCTCTGTGACGTAATAAGCCCGACCAATCAGCTCCTAGAACCATTCAGATGACATAACGACTTGGCAATATTGCAGGAGAATGGCATTTATAACTTGCGTCATCTGTCACAGGCACTTGTCACTTTCGTGCTAGATGCAGTTAAACATCCCTCTCAAAACGTCAAATGTGACAAACGTCAGACCCTCGCGTAAGGTTGCCAGCTCACTTCTACGTGATTGGTTGTAGGTTTGTGACGTATTTAGTCTGAAGCGTTTCAAATTCGGACTAAAAACACAGCATTTCAATAATTTATTTTGGGTTTATTTTACTCGTAAATAAAAATTGAGGACACACGGGTCTTTTTATTTTTAATGTACTTTGTGGATCAGAAATAAAAAATGAAGGCGGGATGACCCCATTATAACTGAACACAATTACCATTTAATTAGTAAAGAAAATTGATTTATGTACACTTGGCAATGGATCGTTTACCGTAAATCATTTCTTTATTAGAGCGTACATACAATCTTATTCCAACGACCTATAATTAAATACGCACGGTATTGAAATGGCCGAGATGACTTTGCCGTATTGAAATCGAATGTCCAAGTTGTCTCTTTATCTGGAAAAGATTTTTCGAAGAAACTTTCGCTGAGACTTCAGACGATTGAAACATGTATTTTTGTGCAATCTATCCGTTAATTAAAACTGATTCACACTGTCAATGAACACTAAACGACACACTTATCTGCTAGTTACAATAACTGTCAAATCATTTATCTCAATGATAATCAATATTTGTGTTAATCCACAGACAAATTTGTCAATTAATTAATCCCTAATCGGCAGATGTATGAGTCAATTTTCTATACTTAATCCATTTTCCATTTGAGAGTTACCTCTTTAAACACTCCGTGTAGAACTAATTAGCTCTAATTGTCATGTTCATATGTTATAGCGCCTTGTGCCGGATAATATAACTAGTTCTAATTTACAGAGAAACGTGTCAATTAGCTCCGATAGATCAGCAGATATGAGGGAATTTTTCTATATGACCTTTTCACGCTTTCGTATATGCGGGTTATCTATTTGGGACATATGTCAATTGCCAATCTTTAGCTGAAGACAGCTGACAAATACATGTCACAGATAAACGTATAAGATTTGTGAATTATTTCTAATGGACGAATTAACATGTAAATAAAAGTGTCAATTAGCACTAGCTGACAAGTAAATGTTTGAAAAATGCCAGAGTCTTGTAAAAATATATAGGGTGTTCTCTTTTTGGATCAAAATGGTAAAATCAAAATTTGAAAATTTTCGCTCGCTTAAGACGTACGGAAGAAAATTAAAAAATTTCTATTCCAGAATGACCCTATATTTTCTTGGTTAAAAGAGAAATGTTTAGGTATTACAAAAGTTTCTTTATACTGATTTTTGAATTTTTTGAAAATCTTTTTGAATCAATTTTAAATTTTTTGTGTTATATTTTTGTAAAGAGAATTTAATATATGTATCTTTTTAGATTAAAAATATATACAGGATGTCCCAATAAAAAAATGACGTTAGGTTCGATAGCTTTACCTGACCACGTATACTTATTTTGAAAACGGTAGACTATTCAAAAATCGTCATTTGAAATTGCTATTTATTTTTTATTATTTGAACCCATCTGTTTTAAATATCGTCCCTGGTACGTTATATTTTTGAGAATAGAATTTAATATGCTGTTTTTAGATTAAAATTTTCCCTTAAAGAAAATGCGGTTAGATCCGATAACTTTTTTACCCGACCCCGTATACTTATTGTGAAAACTGCAAATTATTCCACAATCATTATAATGAAAGTAAAACTTTTCTCTAAGAAATGGACAATTTTTTTAATTTCCCAATGGACCCAAAAAAGCACATGACGCCCATATTACTTTTTGAAAGCACTTCGGACATTTCGAACTGCTGACTTTATCCTCCTGAAAATGATGGTCTGACTTAAGAACCAGTCCTCTTCCTCTCGGCTGGGGTGGATAGAGAGTACAAGCTACCGACACTCGGTTCGCAAACTCTCTTAGCAAAGAACGTTGTTTACTAACCCAAAAACGACTTTCCTTAAACACTTGAATTACCTACAATGTTATCGCTTATCAATGGAGCTTAAAAAAACAAAGTCAAGTGGTAAAATTCCATCTACTTCTATCTAATCTGGTGTTCGATAATGTCTCCTTAGCCTCGAACATCGCTCAATTATGTAATTAAACACGGCCTCACAGCATAGGCGATCTTCACTCAAACTTCTTTGTTCGAACAAAAGTTGCTGACCTCTCCAATTTTGTCCAGCTTGCAAACACACGTTTTTGAATATTTTTAACTGCAGCCTAATTTTAATCGGAACGATGATGCGATTTCTATTTTCCTAATGCAATTTATAAACATCACCGCGTTACGCGGTTTTCTATTATTGGGCGGCGAAAAATCCCCAAATAATATTAGGCGCCCACTCTGTAAGTTATATATTCGCTTTTTACCTCAAGATCGATTTACATCTTATCAGGCTACCTTAATTAATTAGCCTCGTTAAGATATCGGACCTGGCTTACGAAATTTTTCTCGTTTTCAGCTTAAACGTTCTTATCTATTAAATGCGGCCACGAATGTTTCTATGCGACCCGACCCACATTAACATGTGCGCGAGCCTCGTGATAAATTCTGGCGTGGGTTTGAACATGACATTTTCCAGTACAATTTTTGGGATTTTTGTTTGCAAAATCAGTCTTGGTTAATGAGAAAAAAAGTGACACTTAACATCCGTGAATTGTCATTTATCTGTTATTTGACAGTTGTCATCTGACAGTTAACGTTTGTCGATGGAACTTATGGTACGATTATGTTGAACCTGCGGGATAAATGAGGAGGGCAGCGTAAAATTCAATTCTATGATGTGCAGGTTACAGTAGAACTTCGACAATGGGGACGATCTCTGCTTGGTTGGTCATGTTTCATTTATCAAATAAATCAATTAAAAATATTTCTTTAACACAACTTTTAATCCGGCTCATATTCAATGATCCTTGAACTCGCAGAAATCGATTGGCGAAGGTTTGGCATTATTGTCTCTTTTAAAATGATCACATAAGGAGAATATCTTTCGAAAAATTCCTCTAAAAAGCGCAAACTCTCTCCACACCCTATAAAATGTCCAAAAGTACATGTTTGGAGAATTTCATCATCTTTTCAAACAATTTTTGGTCCCACACGAAGGATCTAAGAAATAGTTCACTAATTAAGCTGTCGATATCCATGACATCACCTGATAAAAGCAAAGAAAATAAGCATCACAATTAGCGTATATCTCTTATCGTTGCTCGGCTGCCAAACGTCTCTCAACAACGTCGCTCCAATATAAACACCTGCATAATGACACCATTTTCTTGGCTTCACTTATATCGTCGCTCTTATCGTTAATCACAGCTCCAACATAAACATATCCTAACATTGACAGAAAGTGAGCCTCAACTGAATGCTATAGTCTGATTAAAAAAATATATTCTCACGTGAACCCCTTCCGCTCTATACGAAATCCTATTCCCCCGTGGCGTTTGTATAGCAATTTTATTACAATGTTGGACGGTCCACATTCGTAACAAGCGGAAACAGAACACACGACATATGCGTCCAGGCGTCCTTACCTTTGGAGATATTTACCCGAAATTTTGACATAAGGCGCCTCGGATAAAAAGAAATACACCGCGAAAAGCCCGCCACACACGGAGAGACTTGCATGTGCGTTAATGAACGCTCTTATTTTGGTAGAGCAAAATCTTCATTAATTTCGTCGCGGAAACTGTAAAATGCGTTGCCTTGATGCACAACAACTAACTTGTGTGCTCTTTCCGTCTTGGTCAATTGCGTTGAAAAACAAGGTACCATCTGACAACAGTTGGCAGCGAACATTTCCAGAAAAGTGACGTCATCACCGGTATGAATATAACGAAAACGAGCCCCCCTTCAAAAGTTAGCAACATCCGATGATATAAAAAAAAAAATAACGTGGACACAAGCCATTGAAACACCGTATAAAAATATTTATATAGTTTCGTACAAAATTTGCGTAGTTTGGGAGCGTTTCCAAAATATTTCCCTCACATCACTTCTGAGATATTTCTTAATTTTTCTGAACATTTCAGAATATCGGTTTACTTTTTTTTTAATTTTCTACACGTTTCTAAAAACTTGCAAAAATTTATCAGTTTTGCAACATTTATACAAAATGTTCTACACAAATATCTCCAAAATTTCAAAAAAAAGTTGTAGCAACCTTTTTGTAATCTCTTAAAACATTTTCAGATTTTCTACGCATTTTCAACATTTTTTACAAGTTTGACGTAAAATGTCTACTTAAAAAAAATTCCAAAGTCCCTACAAATTTCCTTTCTACTAATTTCTATTACTTCATTTTTTCCAATTTGTAAAATTGTGATTTGCGGTTAATTAAAAAACGCTCCAAAATGCCGAACGTTTTAAAGTTTCAAAAAATCCCTTCTTACTGATTTCTATTTTTGAAAAATTCACCAAAAATTTTTTTGCCTAATTTCTTTAAGCTATTGTTCTACTTTTTTCGCTATTTGGTTCGTTATGGCGTCGAGGCTTGCACCAAGGAAGGAATTTTTTTTGCGTTTATAGCTAAAAAAGTTATTGAAAAAAAACCAACAAACCGTTTTTTACATGTTCCATAATTTTACATTTTTGCCGTTTATTAACGATCCTCGAGATCGTTTATAATTTTGTATTGCTGTCTGTCGTCTCTCTGTTGGTCTGTCCGTCTGTTCCTTTGTCTGTCTGTCCCTCTATCTGTCCGTGTGAACGATAACTTTGTTTAGAAATGTCCGATCGCTTTGACATCTCCGTTAGTTATGAACTGAATTGTATGAAATTCAATATGGGCATAGCTGGTCATATAATACGCAATGCCAAAAGTCGAGTCGAATCGATTCAAAATTCACAGTGCCCTTTTCGTATCTCGACCGTTTATAAACCGAATTGCAAACTTTTTTATTTATAAAAGTATTTGAGTTAAATTTGATACGTAGGCACTTGGAATAAATGAAAATCTAACTCCAGTTTCAAAATTTGGTTTTGCGTATGCGCAGTGCCAACTTTTTTATTTATGGACGAATTTAAACGAAATTTGATACATAGGCACTTGGAATAAAGGAAAATCAAAAGCCAGTTTCAAAATTTGGTTTTGTGCATGCGCAGTTTCAATTTTCTTATTTAGAAAAGCAATGAAATGAAATTCTTCTCATAAACTGAAATTGAAGTACAGGGAGATCAATAATCATGTGGAAATGCGCTTTTTGTAAATCGTTTACGATTACTTTTTTAACTTGTTGTACCTACTTTAGTGCTCTTTTACTGTAAGAATCTTTGATAGAATTTATTTCCCACATTGTACATGTAAGATATTAAAAATGCTTCATATCCATACAATCCACTAATCTGACAATTCCAGTAACTTGGATGTCGAATTACCGAGCGCCTACTGAATTTCCAAAGGTCCTAAACATTTCCCAACATACGAAATGAGCAATCCGAAACGGAGTTTCAATGGCTCCCACACTAATTTTTTGGTCGCAAGTGGAAAAGGCTTCCCTATGAAAATGGTCGTCCTAAGGAAAAAATTAATAATTGATTTATTGATCGATCGATGCAAATTTTATCCAATATCGCAGAGCAAATCGGATAATCTCAAGCAGGTGTTTCAACGGCCTGTGTCCACGATATTTTTTCATATCATCATTTGATACTAACTTTTTAGAGGGGTTCGGGTTCGTTGCTGGTAATGTTCGTTGCCAACTTTTTGGATCTGTATTTGACCACTGAAAGCATATTCATACGTGAAGATACTAATTAACAAGAAATTTAATTTTGTACTTCAGAAATATTGCGCAGAATCTTAGAAACCGGAACATTAAGTATCATAACCTCACATTTAGAACAAATTAAGTGAACTTAATATTAATATCGTGCATAATTTCCAATCTCCACCTTACCCCGAGTGTTTACAACAAAATTAGAAACCTAATTAAAATTGTAGTTTGTGGCTTGTTGGGGCTACAGTGACTATAAGGACAGTGGCGATAACTTATCATACTACGCCATATTGGAGCTAAAAAATTGATTGTAGGATCAATATACAGTGGCACCACGCTCAGAAAGTCCCTGACAGGGCGTGTCCGTAAAATAAAGCAAATACAAGAAGCACAGTGTAAACTAAAATAACGTGAAGCGTCAACTGTCAAAACGGAATAATTAATAATTGTGGTGCGGAATGTATCGCGTCGATTTGCAGATTTCCTATTGGTCAGCCTGAATTATTTCAAAATTAGTTCGCATATTTTCCGGGGCTTTTCTGAGCATGGTGGCACTTAAAGTTACTAAATATAGAAAGTACCGCAATCCATTGCGCTCGTGTGTTAGAGAGAGAACGCATGATTTTTGGCCAAAAATGGCGGAAGTTACCAGATTCTAGATTAATGTTAGGGATTGTTCCACCTGTTTGGAAATATCTGTATATATTTTTATAAAACATGACAGTACTATGAAGTTAGGTTATAAAAAATTACAGCTATTCAAATTTTATTTGTCAATTTTTTTAAGTTGGCAGCAAATTTGCCCAAAAATGGCGGATGATTGCGGTACTTTCTATATCTAGTGACTTTAGTGGCACTGTACCTTGTCACGTCAAATTGTGACCGTAGAATAATAAATGTCAGTTTCATTTAAGTAAAGATTCTCGTTCAAAACTAACAGCGCAGACACGATCGTTTAAAGCTTTGCAGAACAACCTATGGGAAAACCACTGCGTCCCAAAATTCAAAAAAATATATGGAAAACGGTATAATAAGAATAAAATATGGTGCAATATCCAAAATGTAACCATTAATCATTAAATTGTGTTTGACATTTTAGTATCTTCTGTCACTGTTGACCCTTGTCGCGTGTTTCTCCTTCCGGGATTAAAAGTATTACTTTAGTCCCTTAAATGGAAGACAAAGATTTAGTCCACGGAGTACAACAGATCAATATTCCTTGTGCTTCAGCAATCCTCAATGTTGAACATTAGACACTTAGGACAGAGCTGTGTATCCGTGTCCGTATGACTTATCCTTATCGCATTACGTTAGGCTCCTCCCATTTTACGTATTATCATGCGGATACGTGTAGCCTTGAGAATAAACCGACGTACGCAACATAGCTTTACGGTTGGGTTATGAGAGTCGGTGTATTTGAAAAAGTGAGGTTACGTTTGTGTTTACATCACTGAAATCATGTTTCTGCAACAGAACAGTAGCTGTGCAAAAACGGTAAGTGCGCATACCATTGAGTTAAAATGACCAATAAAGGTTTCCTTAATTTAGGGTTCTCAAGCCCGCAAATCGAGGACGTTTTTTTCACTTCAAATGGATATCCATCTAATGCGATTGTGTGTAGAACACAATCCATACCAACTAGGCAAAAATCAGTGGGATCTGATTCTTGCCGACATGAAGGAGACGTTTAATGTGGAATTTTTGTTGCGCACATTGAAAGAGAGAGCCAACAAATTGGTGGACAAATATCAACAAGAGCAGCTGCAATATAAGTACTTTAGCCAATACTGTTATTTTTTTATAATCATTACATTTCGTAGAACTGGTACAGAAAAAGAACATACGGAATTAGGGAATTTGTTAGAGGTAGTCGTTGCTTATATTGATGCAAGCAATGTGCCTATAACCCGAACCACAAATGCTGATTCCCGTAGTGCAGATGAAGATGAAACAGACAATTCTAATGTAGTTTCCACACCCCAACTTAAAACAGCAAGACCTCGGGCCACAGCAGCAAATGTGGAAAAACACACTGCAGACATGGAACGAGATGAACTCTTAAATCAGACCGGTAAGCAAGTAACTAGTATGGCAAGAATAAAATTGTATACATTCCATTAACATGCTGTAGAAGATACAGCACCAGGACCCATAACAGTAAGAAAAAAGCGTAGTGCGCTGCTTCCTGAGGATGAGCTTATCAAACGAAAACAAGAACAGGATTATGACATTGAAGTGAAAAAATTGAAACTTGAAGAGCGAAAAATGGAAATCGAGTATGACCTGCAGCAACAAAAAGCAACATTGGAACGAGAAAAACTAGAAGTTGAGAAAGAGAAGATCAGAATTACAGAAGAAGAAAATAAACGACGTGATGTCCAACAGCAACAGATGCATGAATTGTTAATGTTATTGGCCAAAAAATAAATTGTTTTACAGATACAACATTGTTTATTGTAAATATTCTTGGATACTAGGTGGTAAACAAGCAAAATAATCTGAGATTTGACATCCACTCATGCAAATATAACAATTTACTAAAAACGCTGCTACATAATATTGAAATTTTAAGTGTTGTAAATAAACTTTCTGATTTTTTTTGAAGTCCACAAAGGCAAATAACTGCACAATTTTCCCAAAACCATATTCAACACTCACACGTAAAGCAGACATAGTTTTGTTGAATAATTTCTGCCTTTCAGTGAGACTGTGATGATTTTTATAGCCAACTTTAATGTACTGGGAATTGGAATAACCAGGGTCACCGTACAAGGCATAGTTTGTGGTAGGTGTAGAGAATACATTTGCCATTTCTAGCCTTATATCACTTAAATTAAGAATAGCTGCATCATGTCTTCTTCCAATAAATGGGCCATCAAGCCTACCAATTAACCCATTGGGAAATACAATGCTTTGGTACTTCAGCATATGTTGCTTTTTGTAGCCACTATAGAAATCTCTCTGTTTGTATTTTGGCCTGCATATGGCTCTCGCAGTGCCATCAATAAATCCAATAATGTTTGGATACATTGACCCAGCTGCTACGCAACACTAGAATTAATTACAAACATTTAGTGAGTTTGGTATTAATGACAATCTCACCTGCGCAAATTCTTCCAATCTATTAAGTATCCAGCATTGATTTAAGGACTGAACACGGTGTTTGTTTCTAAAATAAACAAATTTTACCATGTAATTGAAAATTCGTGAAATTGTAGACGGATCTCTATGAAAGATGTTCACAAGATCACATAATCTATTTGGATAGCTTAAGCGGCGAAGTAATATACATAAGCCTTCTATTCCTGGAAATAAGTTGGTTTGTGTGATCAAGTACCATACAAATGCTGAACCTAACTAGGAACACTTACCAGTACATCGACTTCTATGAACAGTGAAATTTTGTGGGATCCGCAGTAAATTTACCAGTGTATAAATTTGAAAATGTGTAAATCGAAACAAATTTTTTGCATCGTCATCTGAATATTTTGATAAATCAAATTTTTTTCGACTGTAGGAGCAAATTCTGCTATAGTGCAATGTTCGTTTTTTACATATTTTCCAATAGTCTTCAGTTGTTATTACTCCAGCTAAACATAACTTTTTCCAAGCAGCGTCTGCGTTTTTTTAAACAAATCTAAATATTTAATTATCCTACACCTAACCCACTTTAAATTACTTACCTTTAAATTTACCCATTTTCGATTCTTAAAAATGTTGACATCAGAGTAACCGAATATTCTAAACGTCAGATACGCTACCTTAGAAAAACACAGTCCTAACTAAAGCAACCTTAACTCACAGCATACGTATACGTATCCGTGACAAAGTAACGTTTACGTAATACGCACACGTTTACACAGTGCTTGTCCTAAGTGTCTATTAAACCAATTCAAGCGTATTTATGATTACAATTACGTTATCCATAACCATAATTGAATTCGCTGCTAAATTTCGGATAAGCTGCTTCTCTATCTAAACTCAGTCATTAGGCTTCTGAAAACTTTTTTTACAACAATTACCAGTCGTAAGGTTAGGCACAGTTTTACATTTCTAAAAACACTTCAAGCGAATTACATACCTTACAATATCGTATATCCAAGCTATATGCTCGGCTATATAAGTTTTTAAAAATCGAGTTTATATAAAACTGGAGACGGAAAACGTAAAATAAAGCAAATACAAGAAGTGTAAACTAGTAACGTGAAGCCGTGACAATCACAGGTGACACTGTCAAAACAGTATAAATAATAAATATAGCACGGCGTGCACCCCGTCGTTTTGGAGGCTTTCTATTGGCCAGTTTGGAATTTAGCTCCAATATGGCGACGGGAACCAACGACCAATCAAAAACGAGATACCCTGTTGTCGCCACTGTAGTTAGGACACGCTTCGGAATATCTGCAAATACATTACTTACCTAAACCACAGCGTTTAACTTGCAACACCACAATGCGGGTTTAAATTGTATGTACATTTGTACGTATGTACAGTACAGATGATACGATACGAGCGAGAAAATATCAAATGATTTTCCAGAAATTAAAAAATCCGCATAGCAGTGAATTCCGCGAAATCAGTTAAATTCCCAGGAAAAAGCTAGAGATTTCCGTGAACTTACGCTCAGACCGGTGATTTCTGGAAGTATCTACCTGCACGTTTTCGCTACATTGGTTACCTTTTCGCCCGTACATTTTTGGGATTGTTTTTTTCCCAATATATCGGAATCGTTCCAGAAAAAGAAAACTCCACGCACGATTCCGTGGCCCTTGCGTCCAACTCTGTCTAATTTTCGTAAACATCAGAGAAACGGCAAAAGCAAAAAATAATGATAACAAACAATTATTTATCGTTTATTACATTACATTCCACATAAGTACACATGCACGCTTCTTCCCTGCCACATTGTACCTAAATAGACAATTAAGGTGAAAGGGAAATTTGCGAATATCCAACATTGTAGATCTGGGGTAGGTATAAAACACAAAATGAAAACTACCAACTTCTTTACTTCGCTCCGTAGAAAGGGATTGAAAACGTGATGTTTTCACATGAACTTGTCCAAGGCCGTAACTTTATTGATTGATTTTAGAATGAGAGCGTCCTACAGACAGGTGACCGATTGAAAAATAAATGCACAATAAATATTTAATGTACTAGTGAACTCTTCCCAGGTGTGCTGCCTTGCAAAATTAGGTAAATTTGTTTAGTTTCGGCCGCACCTGTAATGAATTTGTACCGTCGACGTCGGTCGCCGCAACTGTGGACAATCTATCGAATTACTTAATGAGACAGCACAGATTGATGCCCAACTTACGTATGTAAAATGCCATTACCTATTTTTGTGCAAGACCGAATTGTAAAGGTATTCGACGCGGTAATCAAAATTACTTTCCATCGAGCCTGGCAACAGTGTTCGGCATGCACTGATATCAAGGTCGCATATTTGCAAAGTACGAGTAAAAGGCCGTCTGCATATTAGCGATTACCACTTAATTTCTTTCTGACTGCAACATCACGGTTTTTGTACAATAACAATCGCGGCGACTGTGCGGCATATTTGCGGTACAGATGCGAAAATATGCTCGCAGACATCGTGCTCTCCATCTTATCTTGTCAATACATATTGTATGTGACCCCCCCCACATGATCCTACCGAACGAAGCACGTTTTTTAAACCATTGGTTATGCACAAGTTTTCAACTGATGCAACTTAAAAAAGCTTGTTTACGCCATTTACCTTGTTTAAGCATACTTATCTGAGAATTTGGACCAGTGATAATCAACGATAACTCGCCACAAAGTGCGATAAGTAGGTAGCTTGTCGACCGTTCCAATTTATTAAAAGGGTAATAATGCAGATAGGTGGGGGGTGGTATTTCAAAATAAACAAACCCTCAGCCCTCACCATACGCTCCCAAATGGTACAAAATACAAATCAAGCCACTACGCCTTCGAGATAAAAAAAAATTTAGAAATATCTCGCAACTCATTGCAGATATGAGAAACTATCTAAAAATACAGCACATAAATAGCGTAGGTAGCAAAATAAGACGCCATTTAACCTTCCCCCACAACTTTACATAAATTGAAATCGAAATAAAATGGGGAGCCGAAGTGCGCAAGTATACAAAAAAAAACTTACCCGTAATTTGGAGTCTTTTAATTGAAAATTCGCACAAATATCACTTTTAAAATCAATCACGCTAGACGAATTGCAATTCGCTTTAAATATCTACATTCATAATACAGCACGCCATTTTTTTTGTCGGCGATCGCTCGCTTAACGGTCGGTTGTTTCCGTAGTTGAAGTTACAGGATGTTTCACGAGCAGGGGTAGTTTAAATACAGGAACCGTAGGAAGTGTCTCATTTAGATAAATAAATATTTAATTAGCGCACGGGCATAATTTATCTCGTTATTTTCGCACCCCAAAATGTTGAAAGACTAATTACTGTAACTTAACTTAGTTTACAAGCGCAATATACAAGGAAGTTCTCTTTTAATTACAGGAGAATCCCTGTATTCGTGTCAACATTTCAACAAGTGGAAGTGAATTCATCTGTTGTATGTAGGGTCGTGTTATATACAGGGTGACATTTTAAATAGTATCAGTAGACCGTATCTTTTTTTCATATTGAGTGAAAGAACGCTGTTTGGAGGCTGTCGCGGCCCTAAGCTGACTACTTTTGTCCCGTATGTCTTTGTTTGTTGCTCAGTCCTTCCTTTGCGTGATCTTTGTTTCTTTTAAGTGTTCAAACACCGCCTGTTGCCACCAAATTCTTGGTTTCACTCATACATTATACATACAGGACGTAGAAACGGTTTACGCACTAATTCTTTATATTTTACTTATTTTCTCCAATTTCCCGCAACAAAAAATTGCAATTGGGCACATGACTAGACGCAGAATTTTACAATCTACACAAAATCTATTTACAACTTTGGTTCAAGAATTACCATTGAAATGATTATGGTGCGTAAACCAATTCTACACCCTGTAAGGGACCTAACCTCCAGGATATAATTTGTTTGATAGATCTGATAGAATATTTTGGTAACGCATAGTTACGAAACCTAAATGGGAATGCCCACTCGTACTAAAAAAATGTTACTTTCTTGTAAATTTGTTTGGGCGGCTAGCTCAATATCAAGAAATGGTTTTTGACCAATTTTTCCAGGAGGAAATAAAATCAGAATTATTAGTGCCGTTATAATTGGCGCCCAACGTGTAGCTCGGGAAATGTAGAGGTTGCAAAATTAAGTAATTTGAAGAATAGGATCGACCCCTTTTCTTGTACACTGTTGTACAATAGTGTTCGTTCCCCTAAAGTCACTAAATATAGAAAGTACCGCAATCCATTGGGCTCGTGTGTTAGAGAGAGAACGCATGATTTTTGCCCAAAAATGGCGAAAGTTACCAGATTCTAGTAACTTTAATGTTAGGGATTGTTCCACCTGTTTGGAGATATCTGTATATATTTTTATAAAACATGACAGTTCTAAGAAGTTAGGTTATAAAAAATTACAGCTATTCAAATTTTATTTGTCAATTTTTTTAAGTTGGCAGCAAATTTGCCCAAAAATGGCGGATGATTGCGGTACTTTCTATATCTAGTGACTTTACGTTCCCCGGCAGACACTGAAAATGTTGATTCACCCTATACCTACGGTTGGCAACACTGGGGAAAAACTATGAGCAGAGCCATCTATGTAACTTTCATATAAAAACGACGGACGTTTCGCGGTACTTTTGAATCTCGGTGGCAGTGGACTCGATATGGACGGCACGAATGAACTCCTACGTTGTGTAATCGGTTCTTTTAAAGGTATCTGTGATCATGACCGTATCAGGCATGGAAAGTAACACTACACGGACTAGTGAGTATACTAGTCAGTCGGTGAGAAAACGGTCTAATGGGCATAGTCAATTGTGACGCAACTAATTGTTGCTAACGCTATCCTTTTTCTCGCTAACAACTTTTTCAACTCATTCTCATACTTTTCATTAAAAACAATATGTTTTCCTATTACGGTCATGCCGTGATACGTTGATGTAGTGGGTAGACACCTTTAGTGTCGGGACGTAAGACTAAAGGCCAGTTTATAAAAGCCGTAGTCGTAATAGTTCGTTTAGTTTTCATATAGGCTATACAGAGACATGGAGTGGTACATGTCTCTGAGGCTATACCAATACAATGGGTACGTTCAACGAACATAGCAAAAGTTAGCAGCTGATTTAATTTTGCGGTCAGCAAATGTAGTGTGTTGAACGCTTCTAAATTTGACATTTTTAATTCAAAATTCAACATAACCTTATTATACTTATATGTGTACGTGATGGATCAAATATTATTTACTTAATTTCTTGATAGCGCTAATAACCATAACCTTATATAAATACATTAATTATGAGAACGCACAATAACATAGTAATTTAAATCAAATATTACTGAAAATTCCCCATGTTGTACCACAATATTCAGAAAGCACACATATAAAACACTTTCGTTGTTCAAGGCATGTCAATTTAAAGGTTGGTACGGAATTATAGGTTACAGAGTATATAGTTCAATGGTTAAAGCAAATGTACTGTCAACAAAACTTTTAAATTGCCATGGTATCCCGCCTTTTTTACGCTGACAGCAGAAGTTAGAATTAAAAATTGATGCTGAGCATTGCGGTCAGCTAAAGTAAGCAATTGCTAACAGCGGTAGTTAGCAATGCGTTCAATAAAATTTTGCGGTCAGCAGCTAAGCCCGTTGAACGTACCCAATGGCTATACGCAGCCGCGTTTATAAAACCCGGAACTTGGCGGAGAATTCATGTAAATTTAATATATATGATTTAAAGTCGACGTTCCTAAAAACTGGCGCATGCGTTTGTTATTCAATTTGAAATACTTCGCTTGTTTGACCACAGCCTGTATTCTATGGTTTGACGACATGCATGAATTCTAACCTCAAATTTGTGTTTACATCGTGAAACTTGTTGGAAGTGATCATGAACATGGAAATTGATTTATAAATATAAACCAAAACAATGAATACGCATAACTTAAATAACAGCACAATTCGAGACAAGCGGATCTTAAGTTATTAGATGTTATAAACCCACCTGCGAAATTGCCGTTGATAGCCTTACAACTACAATGACAACAACGATTACAACTTTTTGTGCGTAAGATAAGGCAAGAACAAATAAAATTTATTTTGGACGCAAAAGGCGATGCAGGGAAACCTTCTTCGGGACAAAAACCCCGACATTGCTTGGAATACATTAAAAAAATCAACTACGGCAACAAAATGCAACAGTAGGTGGGGGGTGCATGAAACTTACTTTTTCTACAATCGATATCCAAAGTAGGCATTTGCGCTCGTATTTGACAACGCAAACGTCATCTTTTTCGAGGAATGTCACTTTAAGCGACAAAATAGAAAAAACGCTCGCTCTCTCAATTATTAACTATAAATCAAATATGCATTACTTAGAGTATCCAATGACAACGAGTAAATGACATCTTTCATTTGGGCATAAGATTAAAATGATTTGAGTGAAAAATTTAAATTTTTGGAAATATGTGAACTGCTCGATTGTAGAAAAAACCTTGTGTGTAATTCGAGCGCAAATTGATTGTCGATTTCAAGAGATTGCCGCGCTCCTTCGTCGCGCGTCAACTGTCTCTTTCAATCGACAATATATCATTTTGCGCTCTTAATACACAAATAGCTATAAAAAGTTGTATAAAATACAATTTTTATTCATAAAACATTACAAAAGGGGCTTCATAGTTCCACCTGACACGCAAACAATAGGTTTTGTAAATGTTAATACATTCAACTTCAGTTGAAAGTACAATAAAGAAATACTATTCTTTTTTTCTTATTTTTAATCTGGATGCGGCTAACCTAAACCACTCCCTCACAACGCACTCAAATTCAGCCAGTGTGAGTGAACTGTACTCCCGGATCATGGCATCTGCAAAAAACAATGTAAAACAAGTACATAACATTCATGACTGGTTACATTTAATTATATTCATAATCTGCGTGTCTTTTATCTTGAAATTGCCTCTTTGGCCAAGCCACGAACAAGATTTACCCATGTCGTCACTATATATCGCACGCAGCGCACGATGGGTGTGATCCTTGATGTTTATTAATATAATTTACCTGGAAATCAATCTCGATTGGAATGGCACAATCGTCGATCCTCATTAATTACCAAATCTTCTCTAGCTTTAGAAGTTAAATTTGCCTCGTACTGCATCAAGTCGTCGACTGTACGAAATGGGAGGTGTTCAGCGACAGATTCGGTAGGTACCTTTATTTCATCCGGCTTCTGATCCTTTATTTCATCCAGCTTGTTTAGTTTCTTATAAATTTGTTTCAACAGAAAATTGTTTTGCATGTGGATATGATACATCTTTTCTGAAATAAAATCAACTTTTTGGTATCTGGGTACCTTTACACATAAAAATACACCCCATCCTTAGTTCTTCAAAATTTTCAACTACACCAAAAAAACTCTAATTCTTCCAAAGCACAAAACATGCATAAATAAATACAAGTTATACTTAAAAAACATTTCTTTGATCTACATTCCACTAAATTTTGTACTGTCTTTCACTTTTGGTTTATATATCTATAACTTACGTACCTGTATCCGTTAATTTATTTGTAAATTCTGTACATGTTTGTTATAGGTAGACATACTATATGTTTTTTTTACTGACTTGATCAATGCCACATTACTTTGGTCTATTATCTAATCAAGTTATTACTTGCGCATGCGCGAGGTAAACAATGTTCAAATCTAGTTCAAAATTGTCTTAGGTGATTTTGACTATACAATGCGCATAACATAAGTATTATTATGGTTCTCTTTCTGGACCTTTACTGGCGTGGGCGGTACTATGGTTCGAGTTAAATAGGTAATACAAGCTTCGTAACAAACAATGATTCCTACATCAACAAGCTTACCTTTTAATCACCAGTAGAAAGAAAATATGGGAGGATAGAAATGCAGGGGAAATGCACAAACCCAGTAAATATGTATATTATATATTTCTTATTAAACTGCTGTTAGTAGGTTCACTGTAGGTACAGTGGAACATGTGAATCTATTTTTCGTCTTTATTTTATGTATTAATGCGACAGGTATTAATTTCACATTAAACGTCTCTCTTTCCTCTTCTAACAATTGCCTATTTGCCAAGTCACGAAAGCATTCGTCCGTCGTCTTCTGTCCAGTGGCGTGTATCACTGCAAAGGAAGTTATGTAAACAACTTTAGCTAAATGTTCAAGGATAATTTGTAAGCGTCTCTGTCAAAATTTCGGAAACTCGCCTACTATTATGCCTGCAATCATAAACTCCTTGTTATTCCATAGGTCATTAACCTGGTGGGGATGCGTTAAATGTATCCATAATGGGAAAGCCTCACCTTCGACGAGCACGTGAGACATAATTTGGTTGGTACCAGATACTGGTTACTCACTGCTTTCTGATTTCAAAATTAGCAAATGTAGCACCATCAATGTGCCTACATTAATTGCTATGAATTTACAATAAATACAAGTAAAACAATGCTATTCTTGTAAAATATAGCGAACCACTATTAGGGCTAGTAGTACCTAGTAGTAGTTAGAAGTTTTTTAATTGTAAATATAAAGTATTGTTGTTTAATGAACAATGTACATTTAGAAGGTAAATTAGCTTGTCACTACTAGATGGAACATATTCAGATAGATATTACTTTTTACAACGCTCAGAAGAACATTTACTTGCGACTTTGTTTTGTTTGTAGATATATATTGAGGTCGGATTGAAAAGCAGACATTGATCTGAATCCCACCTTAAGGTTTAAAACTGCAGTAGTTCACATTAAGCATTTATTTGTATTTTTTTTCTTTACACTAATTTTTTTTTAAATCAATTTTTTACAATTCTCTTTAATTGCTTTTTTTTAATGGTAACTGTCTCATTTGCCATATTTGCAGTTATTAAATAAAGCCATATTATTATTATTATTACCACATGCTTCCCATATTTTGTCAGTAAAAAATACATTCCAATCTGTTTCTATTTAAATGGCGTACAAATCTTCTGCTTCTTTAGCAGCTGGCGTATTCATGTCCTTTAAAATGGATCTGTTCTCCAATTGTTTGAAGGAAAAATTCATTCCTTTTAAGGTTTAACCTGAAATGTATTATAGCGCTGCACACTCACGGAAAATTTGAACATTCATCGTTTAGTTTTTGCACGAGTTCAGCTATGGTTGGAAGCCTTATTTCATATAAAAATTGACTATTTGTCGCCCTTCATAAAATGGTTGATAGGTATCTATGGAACTTACTGCTGAAATGTTGATACTTAACTTAACTCTTTACTTAAGACTCGAGCACTACAAGTTATAGTTTAAACATTGAAATGATAAACTTGATATTATTGTTCTTACCTCTCCTACTGTTTGTAGGGGTAATAAAGGAACCCCATTATCATTCAAAGTATTCCATTAAAGAGAGTACAAATCGTTTTAGTGGTACTGTTCAAGATCTTGTGTGCATATAAGTCTAAAACACTTAAAAACCGAGTTAAAAACACTACATCCACCGGCTGTAACCAGAAGATGCACTTAAATGAAAGAACTGTTGACAAATAGACAGTGGTCGAAGTGAGGCGGTATGCGGCGGTATGGCATACCGATAGATTTTTGGTTTTTGTGAAACATACCGGTAATAAATTTATCCACATAGGCATAACGGATAAAGTTTTTTCATGATAATATATACGCATACATACAATACTAAGATTTTATCAGTTCAGCCATACCGGTAAAAAATATTTGCCACTTCGACCACTGCAAATAGATATAAATAGAATCAATTTATCTTTAAATTTAGAAAGTACCGCAATCATCCGCCATTTTTGGGCAAATTTGCTGCCAGCTTAAAAAAATTGACAAATAAAATCTGAATAGCTGTAATTTTTTATAACCTAACTTCATAGTACTCTCATGTTTTATAAAAATATTACACAGATATCTCCAAACAGGTGGAACAATCCCTAACATTAAAGTTACTAGAATCTGGTAACTTCCGCCATTTTTGGGCAAAAATCATGCGTTCTCTCTCTAACACACGAGCCCAATGGATTGCGGTACTTTCTATATTTAGTGACTTTATGACGTACTTTCATGGTACAATAAGACAAGGTATGCCTATGCGCATGTGTTCGTAACGTCATTGGGATAGTCGGGCTCTACCACTAAATAATGTAATATAGTTGTAGCATTGTTTAAATACTCTTTAAACAATGGTTGTAGTATACTTAACCCCGGGTTCTACGCTAATTTCGCGTAAATCCTTTGTGATAAAATGCACAGACTTGGAGCACAAATTCAACGTTTAAAACTACGGAACATGTGGAAATTAGTGAACGCAATTCATATCGCGCAAAGATTGTAAACAGAAGAGTTTTGTGTTAGCAGGGTGTGACCCCTCAGACGGGTAACAATGGGCCTTGACTTCGGGAATTGCCGGCCTATAGCGAGTCGAGTACAGTTCCAGCATTAGGTGTCTAATGTGGTTACGGTTATTTATCACCCCCGTGACCATCCCGTCAAGGCGAAAAAGGGTTGATTTACAAATAACAAAGCATACTATACTTCAAATAAATGTTATCTAAACAAAAATTTAAGGAACATTACACCAAAAAATGACGCCATTTCGAACAATAAAAGTTAAACACGTAATTCCCGCGTTGAGGTCAAGTCAATATTTATAAATGAAAAAATGCCTTATTTCTTATATAAGAAGCTACTTTAATTCGACATGAGTTTCCAAAACTAAAAGCGTTTTCGATTGGCAAAACTCGTGCTGCACGAGTGCAATTTTTACGTTCTATTGGTAATTTTAGGGAAATTTTCTGTGTTCCATTGGCAAATGTGATGCAACAATTACGCACTCAGTGCAAATTTCGACGCACGAGGTCCGAGAGCTTGTGGAGCTGCTAGTTAACAAATTTTCAAAACAAACGTGCGACAATTTGAATTTGTTTCTTGCGTTGGGAGAGTTTTTTGTCGTCATCTAGCGATAGCGAAGATGATGAACTAGCCGTAACTTCTATTTTACAAAAAGTTGCACTTACTCATTAAACTGAACGCCAAAAATTGGCCCTTTACAGGAATTTCAAATTTATATTCCTCATCGTTTATCATAAATAATACTGAAATTGTTTGCCATTTTTTAGAATAGAGATTTGTCGATTACCTAAATCTAAAATGAGGTTATGGACAAATGACAACAAATATCTACGAATATTTATGTTCCATTGAGAGCAATTTTGATATGGATTTCTTCAGTTTCTCGTGCAACACTCGTGCAGTACGAGTTTTGCCAATCGAAAACGCTATAAGAAAATGACTTCTCATGAAGCCACCACACACTACAGCATATTTAACTTAACGAGAATTTGTTCCTTTTAAAAACCGCTTGTGTGCCTTAACAGGAGTCGTTGTTTAGGACTCCTTCGGTAATCACAATTAGCACATTTAAAATCTTTAGACACTTTAGGTATGTTTTAAACAGTGTAGTGTAAGACAGAATTTGTGATGTGTCTCATAATCACACTTAGCGCACTTAAATTCTTTAGAATCGGTATGTGTTAAAAGATGTTGTTTAAAGTGGTATTTGTTATTTGTCTTGTAATCACACGTAGCACACTTAAAATTATTAGAATTGGTATGATTTAAAAGGTGTCGTTTAAAGTAATATTTGTCATTTGTCTCGGTAGCACAATAAACACACTTAAATTTTTTAGAATCTGTATGTGTTAAAAGGTGTCGTTCGAGGTACTGTTTGTTATGTGTCTCGTAATCACAATTAACACATTTAAATTCATTAAAATTGGTATGTTTTAAAAGGTGTGCTTTAAGAAGTTGTTTATTATTTGTTCCATAATCACAATTAACACATTTAAAATCTTTAGAATCAGCATGTTTTAAAAGGTGTCGTTTAAAGCAGTACTTGTCATTTGTCTCGTAATAACAATTAGCACATTTAAATTCCTTAGAATCGGTATGTTTTAAAAGATGTAGTTTAAAGCAGCGTTTGTTATTTGTCTGGTAATCACAATTAGCACATTTAAATTCTTTACAATTCGTATGTTTTAAGAGATGTAGTTTAAAGCAGGGTTTGTGATTTGTCTCGTAACCACAAATGGCACATTTAAAAGCTTTAGAATCGGTATGTTTTAAAAGATGTTGTTTAAAATAGCGTTTGTCATTTGTCTCGTAATCACAATTAGTACATTTAAATTCTTTAGAATCAGTATGTTTTAAAAGGTGTTGTTTAAGCTGTTGTTTAGTATTTGTTCCATAACCACAATTAGCACAATTAAATTCTTTACACACGTTATGTTTTAATAGGTGTAGTTTAAAACAGGATTTGTTATGTGTCTCGTAATCACAATTAGTACATTTAAATTCTTTAGAATTGGTATGTTTTAAAAGGTGTCGTTTAAAGTAATGTTTGTCATTTGTCTCGTAATCACAATTGGCACACTTAAATTCTTTACAATCGGTATGTTTTAAAAGGTGTCGTTTAAAATATTGTTTGTCATTTGTCTCGTAATCACAATTAGCACATTTCAAATCTTTAGAAACTTTGTGTTTTAAAAGGTGTAGTTTAAGGCAGGATTTGTTATATGTCTCATAATCACAATTAGCACATTTATAGTCTTTAGAATTTGTATGTTTCAAAAGGTGTTTTTTAAAGTGGTGTACATTATTTGCCGTGTATTCACAATTAGCACATTTAAATTCTTTACAATCAGTATCTTTTATAAGGTGTCGTTTAAAGAGGTGTTTGTCAGTCCTCTCATAATCACAATTGGCACATTGTAGCACATTACCTTTGTGTGTTAAAATGTGCTGCTGAATCACTTCTTTATTCTTTGTTTCTTCATCACAATGAGCACAGTTAAAGACTTCTGGAACATGATTGGCTTGCAACTTACTATTTGTTGTGTGTTGACTGAAGTCACAATCAAAATTGTTGGAAATTTGAGTTTTAATATTCCATCCACAATCAGTTTGTTGTTGGACTTTTTCATTATCGAACGGTTTGGAGCACTGTGTAGTAATCGTCATTTCGTCCTTTATTGTAACCAAGGCTTCGTTGCTTACTAGAATGTTTTTTGCTTGAAGATCGTAATGGATTTCTTCTTCCTGTTTTGGTTCGATTTTAATAAGAGGTATGATACCATTTCCGTCCATGTCTGTATGCGTTACAGTTACGTTTTTGTTTACCACAAATAGTCACAATTTCACAAAGAAATGGTAGGATTTGTATTTTGCATATATGTATACATATAATGATATTTTGTAGGGTTTAAATAAAGTATTTAAACAATGCTAAAGTATAGGTTATGTATTGAATGACGTCCACAGAACATATTACTCAGTCAGAACATATTACTGGTTCTGTGATGACGTCAAAATCATGTCACGTGATACCACCACAGAACAGTGTTTTGTTTTCCAGTTATTCAGTCGACAGTTTGATGGTCTGTGGTTCAGTCACTTCGTCCCTTAAAAGACGCAGTGCATTTTGTGTATCTGAAAGAAGGGCGGTTTCCTTGTCATAATCGACTTGAAGGTCGTTGGTAACAAAATGTTTTTGTATTTGTAATTCCATAAAGAAGCACCACAATATGATTATATTTCATTGAAAATCTCCGCGTGACGTCACCTACAACTCGCCCTGCATGCGCCAGCTTTTTATTGTATTATGGTAGAACTGCACATGTTTTCTCACACACATTACAATCTACGCACAAAGATATTATTCCTTTCAGATTCTGTAGATACTTTGTAAATATATACCTATACAGTGGAAAACAGTATAATGTTTTCGTTTATCGGTGCACCAGAAAAAGGATAGACGCCCGCCGTATCGTTTTTTATTGCAAAATAGAGTAAAGATTTAACTCGAAAAACTCATGGAGAGTGCAAACGGAGCGCAATAGACGTTATCACGTGCTCGAAATATTTTAAACGGAAAAAGCTACGGATCCGGAAAGAAATTGCAAATTTCAGATGCATAAGAACTAGCCATTACTCTTTTGTAATAAAAATATGATACGGTACGTCGGTATACATGTCAGCACCTTTTTTGGTGTATCAATAAACGCACGCTTTAGATACTAAACAAGTATGAATTGTGCAAAGCGCATATTTTTTTAAACCGAAATAGCTTTTGTTTTGACATCACCGAATGAATATATATTTCTTGCAGACGTCTCAATCGACCTTTGTGAGTACCCTCTTACCACAATCCGTTCTTGAGGTATAAGGGAATATACCCGATCACGATAAGAGGTCGACGAGGAGGGCTATGGTTGGTAGAAATTAATTTCTTTCGTTGAGACCCCTTTCATTAGAGTACCATAAAGGATAGAACTAGTTCTACTCCCCCCTCCACCCCGTTATAGTTTGTACAAACCAATTTATTTCGCTGAGACCTTTCATTAGAATACCATGAAGGGTACAACATGTGTTAATCCCCCCCCCCCCCCCCCATTTTTAAAAGTTTAACTTGGCACCGCTAAAGGGATGCGTATGACCAATTGGTTGTCGTATGTAAAAGTTATGCACGTTTTACTTTCAAAAACAGCATCTCAGGAAATAATTCGTAGGGTTTGGGGGGGGGGGGGGCTTTTAGACAGCGAAATTTGATGGCTGTCTGGCACACCTTCAAAGTATATAGGCTACCTACTGCAAAGGACTCTAGGACCATTCCCCTAGAAGTAGTTCGAAACGGCAGAAGTATGTCCGGACGGGCAGACGGACATAACGTAAACAATAGCACATTTTTTTTCATTCTTAAAAAAATGCGCTAAAAAGAGTGATGAGAACGCATAAACGAACGCACTTTTCATAACGGGCGATCAAAAATGAGTTGATGTCGAGTCGCCTTTGGAAGTTCAGGTTAAGTACAATTTCATGGTCTTAAGACGATTTGCCATGTAAACAAAAATTCCACACGACAGCAACTCATTTTTGATCGCAAGATAGTAATGAGGTTTGTTTACAAAATACCTATACTAGTCCAGGAAATATTTGAGACTGAAAATGGACCATTTCCTGCAAAACGAGAAGTAGTTCCAATTTTTTTTGCATGTCATGAAAGAATATCTGGTGGTTAAGAATCCAAGTTTTCGACCTCCCACCCCTTGTGCTTCCCCCGTACCACCCTTAAAACCAAAGAAATTTGGTTGGTTTTTTAGTTTTTCAATCATACCTTTTTATAGGTTCATTTTACAAAAAAATATTGTTATCAGAAATTGTAGACTATAAAATTCTACACAACTTTGATATACACCACTTTTTTGTGAAATGTTTATTAAAAACTATATAGAGCATCAGAGTTGCTTATATTTTTAAGAATTCTAAAATTTGTATATAGATGTTTTAACCAAATTTTATACTTTATCTCTATGATTAAGAGTTTTATGAGAAAATATCTTGAACTTATCATGGTATAAATCCCTCTACGCTGCACCCTTATCTCACTTCAGTTCAGCTTCATACTTCCTATCCTCCCCCCCCCCCACAACCGAGGTAGAAATAGATATTTAAAGAGGAATAGAAAATATATGTGATAAGCGTTGTACTCTCTGACTAACTTCGCAATCGCCACAAGAGCGTTTAAATATCTATTCCTACCGAGCGGGGGGGGGGGGGGGGGTGAAACTGAACTGAAGTGAGATAATTTATTTCAAAAGTATATTCGAAAGCGCTACAATCTCACAGTGATTCAAATATCCTCACTATAAGGGTTGCAAGTTTCATTATTATGCATCCCCTTTAGTAAGGGTGCAGGGTAGAGGGATTTATACCACGATAAATTCAATGCATTTTCTCATAAAACTCTTAATTATAGAGATAAAGTATGAAATTTGGTTAAAACATCTACATACAAATTTCAGAATTCTTAAAAATATAACCAACTCTCAAGCTCTATATCTTTTTTAATAAACATTTCACAAAGAAGTAGTGTATGTCAAAGTTGTGTACAATTTTATGGTCTACAATTTCTGATGACAATATTTTTTTCTAAAGTGAACCATTAAAAATATATGATTGAAAAACTAAGAAACCAACCAAATTTCAGGGGTTTTGGGGGTGGTACGGGGGAAGCACAAGGGGTGGGAGGTCAAAAACTTAGATTCTTAACCTCCAGATGACTGTCTATGACATGCAAAAAAAATTGGAACTACACTTCTCGTTTTGTAAGTTAAAACGCTCTATTCCCTGGACTATACGTATACCTACAGTAGAATTCACGAAACGTGAGTCCTGTGTCACTGAACCAATTTCAAACGAGTTCTTTATTCTCTGTCACATGTCAACACATGAGCGAGAAAGGGATGGTAACAATTGGATATAGTGGATTTGCGTACTTAAATAGTTCATTCAATATACGTAATATACAATGGTACATGCTTTTATTTGATTCCCTTTGGTTCAAATCATACGTCTATGGTTCAAATCAAATACAGCAGAAATTGACAAGCTGGCGCTGCGAGTTGCGCAGAAGATTATTGAACGTATAAAAAAAGTCTGCGTGGTTAGAAGGGGCGGAGCCGAAGAATGCTAATGAACCAAGATGGTGGTCATGTATGTATGTATACAAAATGCAACCAGCACTGCAATGATAAAATCAAGATAAGAGCTTTAATGATCGCTGAGAAAATGTCATTGTTGAAAATAAGAGTTCATCTGCGTCATTTTTTCATATTTTTTAAAATGAAGGCCGGCTCTTGTTAGCCATAAAGAAGTGCTTGCAGTGATACATTTGGTAAAGGTAAAAATGTTACATGAACACTTTTTAACTTGTAAATTTTACAGTAGCGATGATGGAGGGTGAAGTTATAGCTATAAGCGACGCAGAGTCATCTGGAAGTTTAGTGCTGTTAAACACCAACGAGCAGCCCTCGCATATTTCCGTATCTAAGGAGAACACAAGTACAAGTTCACAGTCTTATCGGAAATTAAAAAACAGCAGCATGAAATACTTGAACGTCCAGGGGGCTTCTCCCTCGCCCAGGACAAAGGTCAGCGACTGGTTGTTGGCGAATTATCAGGCATCCAATATTAAAGTGGTGCCAAATTCGTTACCTTTCTTTAGTGATAATAAAAGTTCAATCTTAGTAAGGCAAGACTATGCGAAACCTCATCGTTCGACATTGCCCGACAATTCCACCAGTAACAGCAACTATAACGAAAATTCCAAGTATAACGTCATTAGTGTTACAAGCTCGGTCTGCAGCAGCTTCCCTTCGAATCATAAACAGACTACTGAACTGACAAAACACACAGTATTGTCGAAAAGTGTACAAAGTTCTAGTTCATGTGATACTCCTCCCCTTGAGAACTTAAAATTGAGCGCCGCCAACGGAACCAAATCAAGCTCACCTGCTAACGTCGAAGTACCCAACAAATTGGAGCTGTGCGAGTATTTAAAATTGATGAATCCAAAGGATCTCAGAGCGGGCGGTTTTAAACAGAATCGGCGGTCGGTCCGTGTGAAAAACCTGGCGATCATGTCGCAGCAGAGGGCGTTAGAACGTGAATTGAATAGCGTTGAAGAGAAAAAGAGCACTCCCGACAGTTCCTTGCAGAGCATCAGTTCGAAAGGTTTTTATTTTTATTCTTGCTAAATACAGGGTGATTCTCTTCTCATTGCACGCAAGTGAATGTTATGCAATTTAAATTTAAAAAAATGCCACTCTAGTTTTGAGTGAAATATACGACTTACCATCGGAAAAAACGAGGAAAAACTACAGTAAGTTATGTAGCGAAGTAATTTTCATGGATAACTAGATTGAAATGAAAATAATTGAAAAATCTTGGTTTTTTGAAGTATTTTGCGTATGGTATACTAAGTACTTTTGTATACAGTGATATTCATGTAGAAGTAGATATAGGGATTTCCTATGTCTACTTTCAAATGACAAAAAGTTTTATGAAAGACGCCTAATTTCATGCAACCAAAGTAACTTCTTGAAACAAATAAAGATCTGGCTGTCAGATTAATTATTAATTTGAATATTGTTGCTTTGACTTCACAGAAAATAAATCTCTTAAGCTCATTTAAGTGTTATCGGCACTATACCAATTGGAAATATCAACTTTTTCTTTTTTTTTTCTTTGAATATCACAGGCAGATCTTCATTTGTTGTAGGTAGTTATTTTGGTTGCATAAAGTTAGGCGTCCTTTAAAAGACTTTTTATCATTTAAAAGTAGACATAGGTAATTCCTATAGGGAATCCCTATGTCTACTTCTACATGAATGTAACTGTAGAACTACACTACCACCCCATTTTTATTAGCTATTGCGGTTTTATATTGTTTTATCGTTGTGTAATATTTTTTTTGCTTGATTGTTATGAGAATGTACGTAGGGTTATTTTTTTCAAAAAGACGAAAAAGAAAAGAAATTTGATTCGGCTCAACAAAGCGCTATCCTATGCATTTTAAGATTGCGCTAGAGAGTATATTTCGCACAAATATCACTAAAAATAGGGTATTTTATGTTTCAGTTTTGTGGTGTAATGAATAATCTATACCTTTGGGGCGCAATACGGTTTTTTGCACCTTCATTTTGTTTTCTGTTGTAATAATTATAATAAAAATTTCAGTCAAATGCCTCCATAAATAAGAAAGTTGTCCATTGCGCATGCGCAGTACAATTTTCTTGCCACGCCCATTTTGTGTGCGTTCATTGACAGAACCTACCTTAAAAAAAGAAGTCGTCAACTCAAAATGTACTCTCCGATTTTCGTTCGAAAATTTCCTTCGTCGAGGAGGGCGGATGGTACGTCGTCAGTTGGGGGACGTCTTGGGCCGGATTCGAACAATAGTAACATTTTTCTAGGTCATCTCGTTTTCGCGCCGCGAGGGATAAACGCGGAAAGACGCCGAGAAAAGCACACTTTGGCATCTCCCCTCACCCCCAAACAAAAGTTATGCCGGGGTACGGACCCCATACGTTATACGCAGGACCGTTCAGACTTTAGATTAAAAGCGTTGCGATGGGGGGAAGCAGGTCTACTTTTCGAACAATTGCGCCAATTCATGTTGGCACCCTTGCTGGCTCTTATGACAGCCCCCATGAGGAATGTCGCAGCGATCGAAGGCCCCTACAAATAACTCCGCTGAATTGGGTATGGTAAAAAAAATTTTTTCAACCAAAGAATCGAACCCGAGCCGCCAGGGTGCAAGTCGGGTACTAGACCATTATGGCATACACCTTCTTACCTCCCCTATCCGCTGCCGGAATTCTTCAACTTTAATCGTTATCCTCTCCGAATTTTTTTTCGAGTACGCACCTTCTGGAATGTGGCCGAGAGAGGGGGGGGGGATGATCACGAATTTTTATGGGCTAGCGCTCAAATTAGAGGTAACTTGCAGTTATTAACGGAAATGTCGGGAACTGCTGGTCATCTTGTATATCTTTATACAGAGTGTAAGTCGTTACACCCGAAAATGGTAGTCATTAAAACAAACAACTTTTCTTAGTTACAATTTTTGATTTGGTGTCCCGGTTTGAAGTTATTGGCGTTCTTTTGTTTTTCGAAAAATCGTCATACATTATTTTAAGGACTATTGAAAAAAACACAAAAACTTTCAAAACTATCTTTCAGTTCTCTAAAAGATTTGTATTTGCAATTATTTTTTATTTTTTCAAAGTGATTGATCAACAATTAAAAAAAAAACATTTTGTGGTAACCAGGGTGGTCGATTTATAATTTATAGGATCCCTACATCATCTACTACATTTGTCCTAAACACGTTTTCAATTTTCAATTTCGATTTCCAAAATCACTCCCCCCCCCCCCCCCCCATTCGCAGGATACAAGAATCGCTGGAAAATATTTTCAAGTTCTAAAAATGACCAACAGAGGGCGTAACTGCCATCTTAAATTTTAAAATTGCATTTTCTTTAAATTTCGCATAATAAACTAAACATTCTTTTTTCACATTTTTAAATAGAACCAGTTTATCATTTTCGTAGAAACAAAAACTCATTTATTTCAAAAACAAAGATGGCGTGGGGCGTTCAATTGTTTTTGTTAGTTAATTTAGTTGAATCCTTCTCCGCCAGGGGGTTAGTTTTGACACTATGATCCAAAATCCTAAAAAAATCAATTGGAATAATATGACCATGAAAGTACCCAAAGAGGCCAGTGCAAACCGTCTTTCAAAATCTCGTTCCTAACCTCAAATATTGGGAAAATGAGATTAATTAATTCATTCATAAAAATGCTTTTAAATTGTATCTTATTTGACGTATTTCCGGTAATTGCCGATGGCGCGAAAGATTGTTTGGAAAGGCCTTGGAAAATTAAACAAATGAAACACGATGCATTATAAAATAATAACAGCTGTAATTTGTAAATTATTCTGCTGTGTTTACATTCAGAAAGTGCAGTTTTTTGAATTTGTAATCTTTTCTAAAATGCCGATTTCTAACCAAGAAGCATTTAATATGCGGGCAGCGATGGTCGCATTTTGAAAATCGCCAGCATATTAAATGCTTCTTGGTTAGAAATCGGCATTTTAGAAAAGATTACAAATTCAAAAAACTGCACTTTTTGAATGTAAACACAGCAGAATAATTTACAAATTACGGCAGTTATTATTTTATAATGCATCCTGTTTCATTTGTTTAATTTTCCAAAGCCTACCTAAAAGTGCAATTTAAGCATTTTTATTAATTAATTAATTAATTTCATTTTCCCAATATTTGAGGTTATGAACGAGATTTTGAAAAACGGTTTTCACTGGCCCTCATGGTCATATGATTCCATTTGATTTTTTTAGGATTTTCGCTCATAGTGTCAAAACTAGCCCCCTGGCGGAGAAGAATTCAACTAAATTAACTATATTTTGGTTGATTCTCATTGCCCATGGAATGCTCTTTTCAACCATACCAAATTTGTTAAAATCGGTCAAACGGTTAAGAAGTTAAAGCAGGTTATTGCAAAAACAATTGAACGCCCCACACCATCTTTGTTTTTGAAATAAAGAAATAAGAAAATGCAATTTTAAAATTTCAGATGGCAGTTACGCTCTCTGTTGGTCATTTTTAGAACTTGAAAATATTTTCCAGCGATTCTTCATGACCGATTTACCTAATAATTTTTTTTACCCCTAAGTCATATGACGAACGGTTCTCGAGAGGCCGAGGAACAGTCTTATTGGATCACCCGGTACATGTAGCACCAGAATTTTTCTGTAATTGGTATAAAATAGCTGACTTGATCATTTTTTCAGAACTGCCCGATAAACACACGGAAAATGTGGAGAAGACTTCATCCTGCAACGTAGCAGTTTCTGTCCCTACAGTGCAAGTACCAGAAATAACCACAACGTGTGTGCTCAGGACGAAAAGTCGAAACAGAAGTAGAAGTTGTAATGTTAGCGAGAATAACGCAAAACTAGATGTAGCACCTTGCCAAACAAATAGTAGTCCTATACCTAACGCTAAGGCTGTGGAATCGTTGTCTTCTTCAAATATTCGCAGTACAAGACGAAAAGATCGGCTTCTAAAAAGTCCACATTCCCACCTTCTGAAGTATTTGAATACAATTCCGCCGACTAATTTCGACGAATTTTATTCCACCTACCTTAACGACATCAAACTGCCTAAAATGGAAAAGAAAAAAGAAATCGGTAAGCCGTCGTTCAACGGACCCAAGTATAAACCAAAGAAATCTAAAATTATAAACGAACTGAAATACAAATTGCGCCGCAAATTGCGATTAAACGAAACTACAGTTAAACAGAAACTAAGACCGACTCACGAGAGGCAGAAGCCGAATTCCAAACATCAGCGACGGCTAAAGTTGTATCTCAGAAAGCGGAACCTGACGAAATTGCGAAGCAGGGGGAAATTGAGGGAGATCGGTATCAAATCGGTGCTATTAAATCACGAAAGGCTGAGAAAGAAGATCAAGAGGAAAACGAAATTGCAGGCGGTCGCGCCCGTGAATTGTGAAGAAAAAGACTTTCGTAGTGCCAATTTAATACAAAATCCAATCACCCAAGTTCCCGAGGAGCCCATATCTCCCAATAAAACTGAACTCTCCGCCGTGAGGTTGTTAAAGTTGCGATCCGACATAGATTTACTGAAAGATCTCACACCTGAGCATAGAAAGGCGTTATTTGAAAGTAAAAGGTTCTTATTTAGAGCTAATTCAAATGATAATGCTGAGGCAAGCACCAAGACTGTTCCCCATTGTGATATTCCTGCGGTACCTGAACATGAATCTGTCGCTTCGGCAGCACAGCTACAACCCGAAGTGAGTCAGTCCTGCGCTGAAGACGAAGAAGTGGATAAACTGATGAATGGCAACTTAAAGCGTGTTCGGGGAAGGGACTCTGCCATTCAAAATGCTCCAACTGATTTTAAAGGTTTGTATAAGTTCCCCCTCGTTCACCTCCAAATTTGCCAATCCTACAAAAAAAAAATAGAATTAGATTGGCATTAGTTCAAATGTTATTAGTGAAAGGGGGGCTTTAAGTTTGCGTCGAACTTCCGTAGCCTGCGCAAAATGGTGCCTTGAAAATTAAACAGAAGAATTATTTGGAACAAAAATAAAATTTAGTTGGGAAAAAAAGTACAACTACATATTTGTATATAGAATTAATTGTAAGTCGGCGGAACGGGACGGTATTCTCGAGCGCCACCAGGAGATTCTCAAAGCTTGCTCCTGGTCAATCGCGGAAAATTCCGGGGATCTTGCGGACGAACGAAACGGAAACTACCAAACGCTTAAGCTAAAAAAAAGAATAAACACACGATTGATTGATTGACAATGACAAAAATTGATTTCGAAACACAATGAAACAAAATAAAACAAAATTCCTTAAAGAAAGAATAGCTTAAGCTTGTTTGGACATGTGACCCCGCACGCAGGCGGTAAACAATTAAAATAAGAAATATTACAATTACTTAGTTTGTTTTAAATAATCTGCTCATACAAGATTTGCGATATAAGGCGCATTTCACTAATATGTGATAACATATCAGCTTTGTATGAAAACGCTAGGAGCATTTTGCACAGAAAGGATATAAGTACATAAAATAAAGGGCCCAACAAGAACACACCATACACTTGTTTTAATAATAATAATAATATAATAATAATAAAGACAAAACAGTGACAAACGATTCTTGTCGACTCTGTTCACAAACATCAGAAACAATCCAACATATAATATCGGCATGTACACGACTTGCACAAACTGAATACAAACATCGACACGATCAGGTAGCTAAAATCATACATCAAAAATTAGCACTTAAACACAATCTCATAACAGATAAGACACCATATTACAAATACACGCCACAGATAATACTTGAAAACAACACACACAAATTATATTGGGACAGGACACTACTCACAGACAAAACTATCCACAATAATAGACCAGACATTACACTTATAGATAAAACACAAAAATCCATTTGTATTATAGACATTGCCATACCCAACACTAACAACTTAACTAAAACACATGCAGAAAAACACTGCAAATACACCGATATAGCTATCGAGCTTAAGACGCAATGGAGAATGAAATCTACTGTTATAGTTCCCATTATTCTTAGTGCTACCGGAGTAATACCAAAGACAATACACCACAATTTACAACTATTAGGTTTAGACAAAAACACATACAAACATTTACAAAAAGCAGTCATTATCAACACATGCCATATTGTTCGTAAATTTCTAAACATAACACAAGATACTACAGACACAAATGATCCACAACGTATACAATATACATGTAAACAACAGCACTCGCTCAGAACAAGGTACACAACATACTGTAATATCTCCACCTCTAACCCAAACAAGCACACAAATACAACTTACCGAACAAACAAGTACAACAAATGATACAACATATACTACAATCAGAGATTCACCTCTGAAGCAAACCACATTATCACGACCCATTAGTATACAACCCAAACGCAAAAGCCTAAACAGCACTTTAGACTCACAACATGACACACAACATACTGTAATATCTCCACCCTTAACTCAACCAACCACACAAACACAACTTCCTGAACAAACAAACGCAATAAATACAAGTAACGCAACACGCACTACAAAGACGCCCTCACCCAATAAAGTTACACGGCCTAGCACAGCTAAAAAACACAATACTCTTTCTTCTCAGAAACACGCCACGTTATCACAACCCACTCGTACTCAACCCAAACGCAACAACCTTAACAGAACTACATGCTCACAACATACTGTAATATCCCCACCAAAAACCCAAGCAACCACACAAATACAACCTCAAGAACAAAGAAACACCATAAATACAAGTAAGGCAACATGTACCACAAAGACAGGTCCACTGAATAAAGTTACACGTCCTAGCACAGTTAAAAAACACAAAACTCCTTCTTCACAGAAACACACCACGTTATCACAACCCACTCGTATACAACCCAAACGCAAAGCCAAAGAAACACTTACACAATAAAATCCATTTAATGAAATTACAGGAATTATTATAATGATTCTGTTTTGTTTTGTTTTGTTTTCCTCTTTTTTGATAGCGTTGGCTATTGTGCCCATCAATACCTATGTTGGTAAGTATGAATTACATACTATCCCTAGATTGCCAATGCACGTGGTTTTTTTTTTTTTAAGGACCCTACATAACTTCACCAGACACAAACACAGACACTAATCGTTACTTGATTTTAATCCGTGCGATTAGTTAACCAGGCTAGACCTGAGTTCTCACAAGGAACACCGACCATAATAATTTATTGTCCAAACAGACTATCTAGTCTAAATACAGGACAAACTTAAATATTGTTCAATAAAAGCCGCACAGAAATATAGAAAAATTAACAAAAATTGAAAAAAAAATAATTATAATGATAGATTTATAACTAAAGTGAAAGAAAATTGTTAACAAAGTTATACAATAAACAAAATAAAGTCATAAATCAAAATACAATATTGGTAAATAAGAGAAATTGTATTAGTGCAATGGCAAAAGCAAAAAAAAAGACCAAAATTATTGGATCATACTTATAAGGAACAAGGACTTTCTAGCAGTAGATTTTGTGGGTAGCCTCTTGTAGGGTAGTATCCATCACAGCGAAATGATAGCTATTTTAAAAGATGACGTTAAATACGTTCTAGGTATTTTTTGTGCTTTTTAAATGCTGGATTCCATACTAGTACACCATATTCAATCTTGCTTCGTACAAATGTAGAAAAAAGTAGTATAATAGTTGACAAATTTGCAAAATCTGAACCAATGCGTATAATAAAACCTAAGGTTTTAAAAGATTGCCTAACAATTGTATCAATGTGTAAGCTAAATGTTAGCATGTTATCGAACAGAACCCCTAAATCTTTTGTTTGAGTGTCTTTTTTTAAGGGTGTATTTTGAATTTGATAATTGTATCGCAGTAGCAGATCTCTGGGTAACTTGAGGTTGGGTTTACTGTTTACACAAATTTTGATTACGACCTGCAATAAATCTTGGCCAAGAACAAAAAAATCTGACATGAAAGCTTTATCTGGGTCGTACAATGGATTCGAATAAACACACAAGGAATTGATTGACAATGACAAAAATTTATTCCGAAGCCTATTTGAACATAGGTACTATGCGATCAAAAATGAGTTGTTGTCACCTTTGGAATTTTTGTTTATATGGGAAATCGTACTTAACTTGAACGTCCAAAGGCGACTCAACAGCAATTCATTTTTTATCGCCCGTTATTACTCCGCACGCAGGCGGTCGACAATTAAAATAAATCTGAAATTATAGTTTTTTTTAATAATCCAAATAATCTGGTCGTAAAAGGTTTGCGATGCTAGTCGCACTAAACTCACACACAAATGCTGACAGCTTTTGAACTTCAAATTTAGCACTTGATGACAAAATCCAAAATCTGATTTGTTGAATTTGATGACATATTTTCGGTAACTGTTTGGACGTAAGAAAGGAACCTTAACGAAAAGCCTTGCTGTGCCCTACAACTGCTTGCTTTTTCTACTCGATGAAGCTTTTACCGTAATTGAACAACACTCATTAAACTTCTTACGCTCTAGTTAACTTGCTTTTGCACAAATTTATTATAAAAATGACTAAACAAATGGGGCTGACTGTCCAAAATTTAGCGTAAAAAATTTACACGCTCTTCAATCTTTTTAAGGAAACACCATTTCCACCATAAAAAATCGCCTTCAATAAAATTTCCAATAAACCACCAATCACAATTAGTCTTCATTCACGCCAGCTTTCAATAAACGCACCAGCACATCTCTATCTCTCGACATGAAACGCGGACTAATTAGATTTTGCCTAACAATAAAACTTCATATAGCAACGACCAGATGTGTCCACTTCTATAGTGCGTTCGCACCTCCAGATGCATTATTACCGCTGGTCGCTGGTGCTAACGCCAAATCAACGTCTACGTGACAACAGTATTATAGCATCGATAGGGTTTGAGAGGTGCATCAACTTAACAAAAGATGGACATGTCAAGGGTCAACTAAAAGAAATGATTAGCAATATCCGCAAGGTGGCCCTTTTTTAAGACATAAAAACAAGTACATATAAATATATCTTAATAACAGTACCACAAAGCAAAGAATGATGTGGCAATATATTCAATGCCCCCCCCCCCCCGCTACACGAACTAGCTCGACAACAACAGGAACTCCTGTTATTTTTTTCTTGCGTAAAACCAAAAGGAAAATTTGAATACCGCAGGACAGTCCTACCACCTCAAAGAGGTAAAACTAAAAATTCGCGCCAATATTTAAATCGAATAAAGTGGGTACATTATACACCTTTTATATTGTTGAGCTTTCGAAAGTGCTCAAGCTTTTGGTGATTCTGGTGATTGGGGGGTTTTGAAGGCTCTTAAGGTTGTACAAGAGCTGAAGACTCGGAAAATGATGTAACTGAGGGTTCATATGCATTGAAGGTGGATATTCTGAAGGTTTATGAGCTTTTTGCGAGTCCTGAGGATTCTGCAGATTCTATGATCCTGAAAATGTGTTTAATGTGCCGGAGCTTTTGAAGATTTCGTACATCGAGTTTTTGAAAATGTTTAAGCTTTTCATTGTACCCGGTTCTGAAAGGTTTTGAACTTTCTGAATTGAAAAGATTTCAAAATTCTAAAGTAAGAACTGTCGTATATGTTTTTCCCTTTGGATGAATTAACAATGTGAAATTAATTAATTAAATTAAATTTCTTTTGTTTTTTTAAAGCAGAATATTTTGCTTCATTATCAAAATAAAAACAGCAATAATTTGCCAAGCCTCAATTCTAGACAATCTTAACTGTCATTTGTCTCTGTCTGGCGTACTTCATCCGTTTTTTGAAACTTGTGCCAAAATGATACTGTGATAACGTCAGCACCCAGGGTGAAGTGAATCAAAGTACCGGGTGACCCTATAAGACTGTTCATCGGCCATATCTCGAGAACTGTTCGTCGTATGACTTCGGGGTAAAAAAAATTATTGGGTAAATCGGTTATGAAGAATCGCTGGAAAATATTTTCAAATTTTAAAAATGACCACCAGAGGACGTAACTGCCATCTTAAATTTTAAAATTGCATTTTCTTTAAATTTCGCATAATAAACTAAACATTCTTTTTTCACATTTTTAAAGAGAACCAGTTTATCTATCATTTTCGTAAAAACAAAAACTCAGTTTTCAAAATCAAAGATGACGTGGGGCGTTCAATTGTTTTTGCAATAACCTGCTTTAACTTCTTAACGGCGGGACCGATTTTAACAAATTTGGTATCGTTGAAAAGAGCATTCCTTGGGCAACAAGAATCAACCAAAATATAGTTAATTTACTTGAATCCTTCTCCGCCAGGGAGCTAGGTTTGACACTATGATCCAAAATCCTAAAAAAAAAAAAAAATCAAATGGAATGATATGACTTTTTCTTTATGAAAAAGTGGCCAAATAACATCCAAAGAGGCCAGTGAAAACCGTTTTTCAAAATCTCGTTCCTAACCTCAAGTAGCTATTGGGAAAATGAGATTAATTAATTAATTAATAAAAGTGCTTAAATTGTATCTTATTTGACGTATTTCCGGTATTTGTCGATGGCGCGAAAGATTGTTTGGAAAAGGACCCTACACTTTTAGGTAGGCCTTGGAAAATTAAACAAATGAAACATGATGCATTATAAAGTAATAACAGCTGTAATTTGTAAATTATTCTGCTGTGTTTACATTCAGAAAGTGCAGTTTTTTGAATTTGTAATCTTTTCTAAAATGCCGATTTCTAACCAAGAAGCATTTAATATAGCTGGCGGCGATGGTTCGTGGTCGATTCGGATAACGCAAATAGAAGATGCGGGCAGCGATGGTCGCATTTTGAAAATACTCAAAATATATCGCCAGCATATTAAATGCTTCTTGGTTAGAAATCGGCATTTTAGAAAAGATTACAAATTCAAAAAACTGCACTTTCTGAATGTAAACACAGCAGAATAATTTACAAATTACAGCTGTTATTGTTTTATAATGCATCATGTTTCATTTGTTTAATTTTCCAAGGCCTACCTAAAAGTGTAGGGTGCTTTTTTTTCGCGCCATCGACAAATACCGGAAATACGTAAAAAGTAAATTTAAGATACAAGTTAAGCATTTTAATTAATTAATTAATCACAATTTTCCCAATATTTGAGGTTAGGAACGAGATTTTTAAAAACGGTTTGGACTGGCCTCTTTGGATGTTATTTGGCTACTTTTTCTATATCATTCCATTTGATTTTTGTTGATTTTTTTAGGATTTTGGGTCATAACTGGCCCCCTGGCAGAGAAGGATTCAACTAAATTAACTAAGTATATTTTGGTTGATTCTCATTGCCCAAGGAATGCTCTTTTCAACTACACCAAATTTGTTAAAATCGGTCAAACCGTTAAGAAGTTAAAGAAGGTTTGCAAAAACATTTGAACGCCCCACACCATTTTTGTTTTTGAAATAACTGAGTTTGTTTTTTTTACGAAAATGATAGATAAATAGGTTCTCTTTAAAAATGTGAAAACATTTTTTTAAGTTTATTATGCGAAATTTAAAGAAAATGCAATTTTAAAATGTAAGATGGCAGTTACGCTCTCTGTTGATCATTTTTAGAATATTTTCCAGCGATTCTTCATGACCAATTTATCCAATAATTTTTTTTTTCGCTTATCAGAGGAACAGTCTTTTGGGATCACTCGGTACAATGAACACGAGGCAAACTAAATATTAATATTAGATATCTTGTAAGAAATTTCTATGATCTTAAGTGGTCAATATAATAGCTGAAGTATACGATAGAGGGTAGGCATCCTTCTTGGGCTCTACTGATTACCAGATGATTACTTGCTTCTTCTGAGCCACACCTCTTTTGTTCGTTTTTCCTTTGTTCCACATATATTAATGCCTATTGTTTCACAGAGCATTGCAGTCGAGAAACCGAATCCTTAAAGTCATCATGCTCCACTTCAGTATCAACTGGCGAAGATGATGCTGACGCCCCATGTTCTCAAGAAGTATTACCAACCGCTTACTCGCATACCGAAACGTGTTCAACACATGAAAATGACGTTCGAGTTGAGAACGGTTCAAATAACGTAGATAATCAGCCGGAAGTGATGGACATTACCGGTATCCAATGCGCAAACGTGCGCTCCGTACATTCGATTGAAAATAATGAAGCGAAAGTGAAGTCCTTACATCAGTGTTTAACGCAGACGAAGAAAAAACCGCAAACCAATTGTTTAACGGGCAAACGAACAAAAACTGATAGGCGGGTTTCGCAGTCTTATGCTATCGATCTATCTGTTCGTAACGGAGCGATTATGAACGCGTACTACTTGGATTACAATCTGGTTATTGTACAGGAATTATTAGTAAGTTTTTGGACACAAACGCCGTTGGGAAACGTACTAGGCGCTCACGATATGTGGATGCCCAAAGGCGATACAAAGAGGTTAGTGTTGGGTAACGGCTGTTTACGGCAAGACTCCTCTGATACCGTTACCGTAATGGACACCTCAATTGCTTACTTCGAACTGTGGACCAAAGAGCACGTGTCGGATAGACGAGAACGGCCAGTTGCGGATATATTCGTCACAATCTACTTAAAGTTAATGGGCGGCGCTCCCGATAAAAAAGTGCTGCAGTTAGAAAACATTCACGGGTAAGCTTTCGAATTTGAGATGACGGTTAAGAATGTTTCGTCATTGTAGGTATGCTAACGATGTGCAATATATAGTCATAAAAAATTTCCCAGTTATCGTAGTCAGTTGGAATACAATTCATGATCAATTAACGTCTACGGTCATACACAGGTATCAGTTATCTTCCGATTATAAAACAGTAGTGGATATTACTTCGATGCATGCCGCTACACATTACATTTCGTCCCTCCATAACATTGAAGGTAATTTGAAGCAATATGATGCTTGTTTATTATACTTTCCCTTAAGGTAGTCATTGGAAAATTGAATTGTTAACACTACATTTACATGCACATAGGTATACAGGGTGTAACAATTAAGTATATGAAAAAAATTGGGTGATAGGAAGTAATTTCTGTATTATTATTCCACTTGACGTTGTTTACAGCTTCACACAACATTTTCCCCCCCTAAATTGAACACAAAAACATAATTACATCAACCCCATTTTGAATACAAAACAAAACCATGTTGGATTTTTGATCAATTTAACAACTGAACTCCTTTAAATAGATGGTGATTTGCCTTCAAGCGTCTAAAAACAATTCCCTAGTCAAATCAAGATCTCTCATTATACCACCAACCAGACATGCAAGAGGAAAAATCCTATCGTCCCTTTTTTTCCTAACCTTTGACATGAAAACTCTATCTGGTTCGCACCTTGGGTTCAAATGAACACACAATTAATTGATTGACAATTCCGAATTTTGTTAATTAACCAAAAAGTCCGAATACTCGATAAAATTCACGTACAGACACGTACACGCTCTTTTTCCCGTCGCCAGGTGAACAGCCTCGTTTTTTCCTTTATTTCCGTCCTTAACAGAATACCACTTCCACTAATCCATCAAACTCCTACTTCCGCCAATTTCAAATGCAACGCCAATACGGAACGCTTGAGGTGTCCCCTCTTTAACCTTTATTTAAATTGAATAAATGAAAAAGGCGATAAAACTACAACAAAAATCTATACAATTACAAGACAATTTTAAAGGAAAACTATTTAAATGACACGAAATAATTCTGTAATTCCTAATTAGGTTTGGCACAGGCAAATATCTCTACATGATTTGTGTAGCACCGGGTCCTGCAGACGTGTTGGCCGACTGCCTAGTTACGGGGAGCTTGTGTAGTCGTGTAGGACAGCTCGCAAGTAGAGAATGCATGCGCGCTATCTTATAAAGCTCAGTTCGACGATAGGGGTGACTGTTTTGCACAGCGTGGGGGAAAACGCCGTTGGTTTTGCTGAGATTCCGCTAAATTTATATTTAACAGAAAATGTTTCATTAATAACTCGATGGTGGGCGCGGAGAGGGGTATAAGTCATTAAATGAGAAACCGAGTAAATGAGCAATCTAGATTACATTAACTTTCACCTGCCTAATTAATTTTTATGCTAAAATCAAATTTTGTCAGATAGAATAAGTATTTTTTAGGTTATAAATTTTTATTACTAAAATAATGAAAAATACACAATCTGAACTAAACTTATATCTTTTAACAAATTTTCATATTCAAACTTTCAACACTTATTCCTCGTCGCTTTCTTTTTCAACTCGTATGTCTCGGGTAATTCATTGGCTATATCTTGTTTAGAAGGCAAATTTTTATAAAAATCGTGAAATACCTTGTCAATGTAGGGAAGTAACTCTAATAAATTTTCCTTTTTTTCTACGCTGATAGTACTTATCTGCGTTATAGCATAACACTCCATGTGCAAATGACCTGGGATCAACAAAAGATAACAACTAAACAAATGAAATATCGCAACTTGGGGGGGGGGGGGGCTAACTATAAGTACGCCCAAATTTTTGAATTTTTAATAATTCAATAACGATCAACCACCAAACATGAAAATGTAACTAACAAACACTAACAAGCGACCAACAAACGATTGGAATAAAAATAAATATTTTGAAAATTCCAAAAGTAGGGGGCTAACTAAATGCCCACATTTTTGAATTTTGAATAATTCAATAACGATCAACCAACAAACGTGAAAATGTAACTAACAAACACCAACAAACGATTGCAATAAAAATATTCCGAAAATTCCAAAAGTGAAGGGCTAACTTGACACCGGTGTCATTGGTTGTGACGTCATTCCTTTTATTCCGCCATATTTGTTTACATATTACAGCGTGTTGGCAGTTGGTAGTGTTCTTAAAAAATTATAACGAAAAAACGCAATTTCGACCAGAATTTCGCTTTCGAGATTTTTAAGCTAAAAGCTTCAAGTTTCAAGTTATCACAAAACCGCATGTGGATTACGATAAATTAAGCCTTGTTGCATTTACTGCATTTTCCAAATTTTTTTATCACTCCGCCCTACCATCTTCGCCTTTTTTTTTTACTTTGGACGTTGATTTAAGTGGCACTCATTAAACAGAGATTCATCTCTATTTAAGCCGAAAACCGTTCACCTTTTATTAGAGTGACCTACCATCAAAATTTCGTTTAAATTGCCCCGTAACTAAGAAAGTTGAGTTTTGCGCATGCGCAACACTATTTTTGCGCATGCATTTTATTTGCGTTTATTAGAGGGGCCTGCCATCAAAATTTTGTTCATATTGCTCCATAAATAAGAAAGATGAGTTGTGCGCATGCGCAACACGATTTTTTTGCGCATACATTTTATTTGCTTTTATTAGAGGAACCTGCCTAGGAAGCTAAAAGCTTAGTCTACTCGTTTCTACACTTGCTTTTTAAATATGGCTCCCCAATTCATATCAATTCTGTATAATGGTGGCTTTCATTGTATTGAAGGCTGCTCAATATACCTCGGAAAGCGATAATGAGGTTGTTTTCTCGACTTGCTAGATCTTAGTGGCGCCACCTCGCGTTTGAAGAAAGCTTGTCCGTCATGAGCAAGGAATATCATACGAGAATGGGATATTCACAAGAAGGAGTACAGTACCAATGCAAACATTTATACAACTGCCTTCCCTTAGATATAAGGATTTTAGACTACCCCATATTTAAGAGATGCATAAAAAATGTTCTTCTATGTAACGCATTTTATTCTTTTAACGAGTTTGTGGCTAGTGGTAGATTATGTAATTAGTTTTTATTGCGATTTTACTGTTTTACCTGTCTGTTTTTAGTTTGTTTGTTATATTGTTTGTTATATACTATTATTTTTAATGTTTAATGTAATTTCCCGTTTCTTTTGATGAGTGTAAGTGTAATTCACCTTCTCACAATTAAATATTATTATTATTATTATTATACCCAAACTAACAATTAGCAAACGGACAAATGAATGTAGCTGCAACACACAGTAACATAAATACGGTTTGAAATTTTGAGTTGGATCCATCGTTCCTCGAAATGGGGGTTGAAATATATTATGTTATCAAAAATCTCTAAACCTTCCCCATATAGTTTTATTCGTTGAAGTTTTTAAAAATAACAGCGACTATAGTTTCGGCGTACTGCCATCATCAGGCGATGTGAAAGTTAACAGGAAAACGGTAAATTACAAACGTTGAAGACGGATAAGACGAACATGTTGTTTTTTTAATTATAAACTGGCCGAAGCCAAGTGAAAAACCTGAAGGGTGGTTAAAACGGAAAGGTTGTCCTAAGTTTCAAGACGAATTAATTATCAAGCCTTGTTAAGACAACCAACCGGGGGGTTGAATTTTTACATTAAAGTTGAAATTTGGGTTAACACATTTCAAAAGAACGGGGGGGAAAAAATAAACTTATAAAAGTATTGAAACTATTAAGATGACTACATATTTAAATTATTTAAGTAAAGTTTAAATTCGAGATCATGCAGACGGCATGACTTTCACATCGCCTGATGATGGCAGTACGCCGAAACTATAGTCGCTGTTATTTTTAAAAACTTCAACGAATAAAACTATATGGGGAAGGTTTAGAGATTTTTGATAACATAATACGGTTTGAAAATTTTCCAAAGTCTACCTTAAGAAAAAACAGTACAAGCGGATAATAGCTTTACATTCGTAGGCAGTGATACGCTTATAATGGGATGCGGTGAAGACAAAATTACGTTATGGCACCTGGAAGACGGATACGTTGTGGCAACAATGGATTTGATGTCACTTTTCCAGCAACCGCGTACTCTGTGGGCGACAGCGGATCGAGTATGTTACTAGCAGTGACACGAACCACTTCCACTTTTAAATCATTTTAGGGCTTCATTTTTACATTACACAACTTCAATGACGGCCACTTACACCTAATCGCTACGAATAGCTTCGATTACTCCTGGAAACAGTTACAAGTGTACAAACAGGAGTCAGATTACGAAAAGTAAGTATCGTGTCACTCAGTACAGGAATTGTCACTATCTTTTGTTTGCAGTTTAGTCGGAATTTGTATTGAAAATGGATTGGTGGTTGCGTTTTATGAAACCGGAGTAGTCTGTTGGAAGGCAATGTCTGGAGAGTTGGTCCTAGACAGCTCGTGCGACGATAGCATTTTTCTGCCCTTTGGAAAGCATATTGTTATTATAACTAACAACCGAGTACAAGTTAGACATGTACTGGAATACCTTGTTACTATTGATGAAGATTTGTGAAATTTTATTTATTATCTCGATACGTAATTTTTTTTTAAATTCTGTGTTGTGCAAATATTTAATATTAATGTTATACAAAGTGTAAAGTTACTTTACTGAAAACAACTCTCAAGTATATTTTCGTACTCTTTCAACGAGTGGAATTAAAACATTTTTTTTTCTATGCATGATAAAGATGTATGTAAGTACCACAGAAACCTTGTCAAGATCCAAAATATGGAATACATTTATGTAGATATCTACTACATAAATTTGTTGGTGTTTTACTACGTTGATGTAACTATAGTTAAAATGCAATTAAAGACTATTTTGAATAACATTGACACATATCTTAAACCGGTAAAAAGGCTTTGCTTTAGGGACCAGAGAGGCACGGTACAAAAAAGGAATAAGCTTTGGAGCAGCTGTAAGCTGTTTCACACGGGCGTAGATTATCAGTACGTTTGGATTAATTATTTATTTCCGTGGAGAGATAACCTTCTACAGCTGGATGCTGCATATGTTTCCTCCCGATCTCTTGTGGGCTGCAGCTCTTGTGTCTTAGCAATATACGAGAATGGGGGGCCATTAATTAACTTTTCTTCTGTTTAAAATGCGGGATTGTGAATATCTACAACAATATCGACAAGGTCGGAACAAATCATGCCCATTTTGATGTTCTTTAGTTACATGCAATTCCCCGATATTCTTTGTGCAATTTGAGATGTTTGATTTTGTATTTAGTTGATTTATTTCTTATATTTCTGTGTTAGGTTTTTTCTTGATGGGTCTTTTTTTCCTAACTTTTCGGTTTGTATTTGCTCCATTGAACCAAACATAACTTTCATTTCTCTTATTCTCTTCGAACGCATAAAAATCCTGTCTTTTATTTAATTCTGTTCTCGATTGTGTCTCACGTTCACACATAAAAGACCTCCCTGGTAAAAAGGACAACGTAGGAGTCCCATTTGTACCACCACCCAGTCCCAGCTTAATGCTACTATTGCTACCGAAATTTGAAAGTGTGCGAAACGTCCGACATTTTGACAGATGGCGCTGCCTGTAATTGTTCTGCAAAGTTGCTAACTTTAAGTACAGGGTAAGTCAACATGTTTGCCCAAAAAACGCATTTTAAAGAGCCATTGTAGGCGCAACAACCCCCCTAAACGACTTTTGCGTCCTTTTCGGTCTCACCTAGCCTGCGTAGTATCAATTATAAATCATGTCCTATCCTGATGTCATAGATCTGCTCGCACAGTCAAGAAAGTTGAGGCAGGTTCAAGCATGGAAGTTTCTTTCAGCCTCATATGAAACCCTCCTCATTTATAAAGGCAAAATAAATTAACTAAACTAATTGGAAATTTATTCAAAATTATTTAAAAAAATTGACTTGTAACAAAAAATTGTTATACATCACTAAAAACAGAAAAAATACTGATACAAATATCTCAGGTTTTTCCGTGTTTTTTCCAATTAAACTTAGTAGCGTAAATAATACAAAGTGCACGAATAAAATTACATGATCACCAACGTAGTACTTGACAAACCATCAATTAGGAAGTAAATCAAATGACTTAACATTAACTAGGCATCCACAAAACCGCTGATGGTCACTCATGCGGATGCCCGGTTTGATATATCTACAGGCCGTTCGCATTTAGTGCACTAGTCTTCTAAGGTAACATTCTTGAATAGGTAAGACATGGATTCCTTATTGTGAATGCGTCTGATGGCTTCTGATAGTAAAATGGAAATGTCCACCGTTTTGATCTTGTGACATTGCATTTTTTGCAGCTCGTGTGGAATGGTGTTAGTAACGACGACCTGTTACAAATTAATAGTATATGAATCACTTATAAATTAAGATGGACTGCTAATGCTGAATTGACAAATGACACCTACATGGGGGCAGCCATGATGTGCACTCACTTGGCGCGAAATTCAAATCAACTAATAAACAAGCATTAACCTCACGTTTTCTAAATAAATTACTGTGACACATGTCATTTTCCAAGGCTGCAATAGTCTCAAAACTTGAGCACGAGAAAAATTCCCCTAGAAAAATAACTAAAACGTGCACATCATGGCCGCGCCCATGCTGGGGCCATTTCTACCTCTATGCAACTGTTTGATCAGCAGTCCATCTTAATTTATAAGTTCGTGACATGATTAGAAATTTAATCAGTGGCGGCCCTGCTTCTTAAAAGTAAGCCTGTGAAAATTAAGTATTTTGTAAATCTTTTATAAAGCGCGGATTTTCCTTAGTTTGCGCGCACGTCACCAATTACGTTTACTTTGCTACATTAGTCTGTTAGTTTCATGATGAACAATTATAGAAGCCTAACTTCCGTAAGTCTCACTGCTATATTCTGCGCCAAAAGTATAACCAAAAAATGCCATCGGGTTTACTAAGAAAAAGTAAGCAATTTATTTCTAATCTTATGTTATTTAGGACGAAAAAGACATAAAACAATTTAAATCTTTTTAAAATTTTTCTTTACCTCCAAATAATAATGTTTACCTTGTTAGTTAAAAGATCGCGATATAGACAACTTGTTACAAATGACTACCAAAACATTTTTTTAAAGTAAACTGTCAATAGAAGTCGTTGATGTAGTGGGTACCTATTCCCTTTCATTGATTGCAAGATGCTATGTAAACATACTTAGTGATGACGTCATAAAACACGGATGGCGTGCGTTGAAACTAATATACTACTATACCACGAAATAAATGAAAATGTGAAAGAATAATCTGCACACAAAGGTCGTTTTATGTAAAATCGCGACAAATAATAGCGGAAATAATGACTTTAAGAAGGGGGTAGGGCGACGCGTAGTCTTACTCGATCAACATAGCACACATTCTCATGAATTTTGAATTAATCACATACACTTCACCGAACAACTGAACAAAGAGGTTCTATGACACATGATTACAGATCTAGGCATTGCAATGGAGTTGCAGTAGAACTTCCACCATTTTGTTGTAAGATGTTATATAGGAATTGGATTCCACTGCACATTAATGATAAACGACATCTAATGTAATGTTCTGATCTCTGGTATTCATAAAAGCTTCACCAAATACCTAATCTATGGGCCTCTTTACCACGGCACAGACCTAGTTTCAAGAAGCCAGAGAGCCACTACCGTGTTGAAATATTGCACGAAAGAAATAATAATTTACATAAGTTGTATACCTCGTCAATTGGCGAATCATCTATTAAGCGTGGAGCATCAGATGATAAAAGTCCATGCGTAGCCAAAACATAAATTTTGTAAGCGCCACGCTCCTTTAAAATTTCTGCTGCGGCTACAAACGACTGGACATCATCGATTAAATCGTCCTACAACAAGCTTTTACTGCAAAATGAATTTTTATCCGACATAATGCCTTACCACCATAATAGCGATTCGTCCGCCTACATCTCCGACCACGTTAATAGGAGGCTTTTCTTTGGCCGGATGAACGGGCACACCGACACCCGCGTCCATGGTACGAGACCGCGGAACGGCCGGTGGGGAATATCGACCGTCAACCTCATCACTCTCGGCGACTTTTTGCTCTCCGTGAATGACTGCGATACCTAACCGTAATCGTTCGGCGTACGATGTCGCCTTCTTCGCCGAGCCTGGATTTCTCGCGACAATAACCGCATTTCGATAATCGGGTATCTAAAACCGAACTCAAAGTAATTGCTTAAGCTCTAAATCGAAAGTATAGCGTACAAAAGAATAGAATAGTGAGATTGTCTTAGGAAAACATTGAGATTTCGTAGTTCTGAATGTAAAAGGGGGCGCGTATTTTAAAAGCGATTGATTTGTACAAAGTCTATGGGCTACAGCTACCGACCCCCAATCCACAGCTCTCCCTCCCTAACCAATAGCAATGGAATGTTTGAATCCAGGTTCGCACATGGATAGTGGGTTGGGTTGGTAAAATAGCCTCGGCTGAAACCCCGCCCACTTAACAATGAAGGTAAAATACCCTCAAAATAAATTTAAAGATATTTCGAATTATACAGGGTGCGATCACAAAGTGTGGTGCCAAAAAATGACATTTTATAAGTGGAACAACCCACATATTTTTATCTCGTTCTGTTACTAATTCAATAATTTTTAATCTAATACCTACCTCCTCGAGTGGACACAACTGATCAAGTTTTCGTACTTTATAAAAGGTTACGTCTGGTCGTTTGCAATAAGGAGTGTTATCAGGCAAAAGTTAATTAACCTCATCTGGTTCTGATAACGGAGATGCAAATGTTTTGTAGAAATGCGCGTTTCATTTGGAGAAGTGGGGAAGTTTTGGCGCGTTCCGTTGTGATTGGCGATTTATTTGAAAATTCATAAACAAGGAGTTTATTGTATGGTGGAAGTGACGTTTCCTTAAATATTGGGGACCACGTAAAAATGAGGCTACTACTGGTTTCGCGGCGGTTAAGTGCGTTTTCATTTCTTTACGCGTATTTTTTTATGGGCAGTCAGCCTGTGTATGTGAAAACGTATCCTGGATTACGAGGAGGGTGAACAGGGTCCACGCGTACTTAGGCCTCAAATTCAGACCCTTTGTACTACCTCCCTGACTAGGGTCGCCCGACCCCTCAACATCACTCAACGACAGTATTGTAATAAAGTGTGTAGAAATTAATTATCTTAATAAAAAATTTAAGTCCTCAAGTGAAATAGTAAAATTGTTCAGAGTTTGTCTCACTATTCTATTCTTTACGCCACATCGAAAGCTTACGCATTCCTGTATGTACTGCAACAAGAATGGACTGGCACGTAGATTGTCCACGGGGCAATCGAAGAATCCCTGAATCTCCTTTTGATGCAAATCCATTGTTATTATGTGTGTTAAACCGGACGTGCACATCATTTTCGCGAGGAGTTTGGAAACGATGCAGCCTCGTTTACGCATCTTGCACTGTTTACTGTAGGGAAGGTACGGTATAACGGCGACAATCGAATTCGCCGACGAGGTTTTACATGCGTAAGCCATTATCAGCAGCTCCATGATGTTGTTATTTACATCTCTAAATAAAAAATTAAAATTAAACAGATCAAATGTATGTAATGGCATAGAGTCGAAACACTCTCATTCAGATTTTAAAGAAACAAGATTGAAATTAAAATACCCCTACAAATTAGCCTACTTTTTTAAAAAACACATTTTGATGGTTACTTTCTAGTGCGTCATTCAGAACTTGTCACTCGTTGTGCGCGCACAGACCACGCGCATCCTGACAGCACACGGCATGCTAGATTTTCTAAGTTTTCTAATTATTGAATCACGAATTTCTCCGTTTTTGTTATATATCAGCCATATGCATATTTTATGTTGTTGTACATCAAATTGATTGCTCTTTTCAAACACAATACAATAAAATACTTCAAGAAGTGGTTAAATCAAAAGATAAGGGAAGAATGCAACTGTGGTGGGAAATAGCATAGCACGTACTTTGTGCTGATCAGTTATGTTGACTTTACTTATGATAGAACAGAAGGGACGATGTCAGTTTTGTTTTTTTATGCCACTGCCAATGGAAAAACTTTTTTTTTGTATCTCGTATACTTTCGATGATATGACCGATTTTTGATTTTTTAAAATTATGTCCGACCTATTCGACATTTCTCAAGCAAACTTAAAATGAGCATCTAAAACTGCAAGACATTGTCCATTTAACCAACTCTCATTCTTTAATAATAAGAAAGCTACCAATGCAGTCCCCTGTAATCTGGGACACACCGTATATACAAAAGTAAAACAAGTTAAAAAGTAATCGTAAACGATTTACATAAAGCGCATTTCCACTTGCATTCATTTCCCATTTGTAAGATGCAACTTCTGTTAAAATCGTAAAAATCCGGCCACAAATATGAAAGATAGCGTTGCACATGGGCAATCCATTTTTGACGTGCTACTTCAATTTCAGTTTATGAGAAGAATTTCATTTCAATGCTTTTCTAAATAAGAAAGTTGGAACTGCGCATGCGCGAACCTAAATTTTAAAACTAATGTTAGATTTTCCTTTGTTCCAAGCGCCTATGTATCAAATTTCACTTAAATGATTCCATAGATAAAAAAGTTGGCACTGCGCATGCGCAAAATAAAAAACTGGCGCTAGATTTTCCTTTATTCCAAGTGCCTATGTATCAAATTTCATTCAAATACTTTTATAAGTAAAAAAGTTTGCAATTCGGTTTATAAATGGTCGAGATGCAAAAAGGGCACTGTGAATTTTGAATCGATTCGATTCAACTTTTGGCATTGCGTATTATATGGCTAAAGCTATGCCCATATTGAATTTCATGCAATTCAGTTCATAACTAACGGAGATGTAAAAACGATCGAACATTTCTAAACAAAGTTATCGTTCACACGGACAGATAGATGGACAGACAGACAAAGGAACAGACGGAGAGACCAATCGGCAGGCGACAGATAGCAATGCAATATTATAAACGATCTCTAGGATCGTTAATAAACGGCAAAAGTGTAAAATTATGGAACATGTAAAAAACGGTTTTTTGTTTTTGTTACAATAACTTTTTTTGTAAGCGGTACAGAAAAAATTCCTTCCTTGGTACAAGACTCGACACCATAACGAACCAAATAGCGAAAAAAGTAGAACAATATCTCTTAAGATAAAGAACTAGTAGCGTCGCAAAACGATCGGACGGACGGACAAAGTGGCCACAATAGCCCATTTTTTTTTATTTTTGTGGAAATGCGCTAAAAATGTAGAACCACACCATTACACATTAATTCCAGTTGCTTGTTATGACAATGTATGAACAGTTTAGGCTGAGGGAGAAACCGCAGTACATATCCGATGAAGGTGTCCGCCGGATATCCTAGAATGTCCAGGGATATCCAAAGAACTCTGTGGATATTGGCGGTTATGTCAGGTTCACATTTATTTTTTTCCAATTCTTGTCCCAACTAACACAAAATCAAACTGTGACTACCGAGAAATCTAATCGTTTCAATTTGCCGTAAATGAGATATGATAAATGGTCTAAAAATTGTTATTATTAATTTGAAGTACCTATTAAAGTCTTTTAAAAATTCGCCTCTCCCGGCTTCTCAATCTAAGTTAGTAGTTATTAACATTTATTATTGGTTGTATTGGGCTGCTACGAATATCTGTCAATGTACAGGGTGGTTCAAATTCGTGACTCGGTAACGGTGGTAGATACAGTGTTGAGTGTCGGTTAATTGGGGGCCCCTTTTTGTGACTAAAAAGCGCATCTTAAATTTTTGAAAAATCTGAAAATAATAGACATCACCAAAAAACTGAAAATGTCAAATTTCGTTCTCATTTTGCCTAGCTTAAACGGTTGGAAATGGACGGTTCCTGTTAGCGCCTTCTATGGGCCTTTTTTTTCAGAGAATGTGAATCTGTTGTCAGAATTTCCATAACACACTAGATGTAAATGCTACAGTATACTACTTTCTTATGTATTGTGGGCGCCATATTTGATTGGACAAGCATATCGCGTAAAAATCACATGTGCGCATGCGCAACCTACGCAATATCAACTTTCTTACTTAGATTTTTTTTAAATTTTAACCAAAGTAAATGCAAACATATGATATATTTTCAACTTCAGGTGTGAGCATGCGCGGATTGCGTATTCGCAAATTTTAAACATCAGGTGTGCGCATGCCCAATGCTAAGTTTCTTATTTATATGAATATTTATGTCAACTTATTTTCCTTTGTACACATAAATAGTCTGTTATATGAACTTTCGGGGAGTAGGTATTATTCAATTCATGGAAAATGCGTTAAAGGTATCGTAAAAAAAACAATATGGCGTCCATAATAAATAAGAATAGTAGCAACCTGCAGCTTCTACATCTAGCGTGTTATGGAAATGCGGAAAACAGATTCAGTTTCTCAGAAAAAAAAGTGCCCATAGAAGGGGCCAACAAAACCGTCCATTCCCGACAGTCTAGGCTCGGGTAAATAAAAACCAAATTTGACATTTTCAGTGATATTTCAGTTATTTTCAGAGATGTTTCAAAAATTTCAAATGCGTCTTGTCACAAAAAGAGGCAATTAACCTACACTGTAACTCTCAACGTTTGATAGATTCCAATAGTCAACCACGAATTTGCACAGAGTGTAAAAATTAAGTACGACGAAGATGAGGGGAAGGGGGGGGGGAGACTTTTCCAAATAAGCTGAGGAAGCAAACTATTTTTTCTGGAGTTTCTTTAGCACGTAGGAGGATGGAACCGATTTGGCTAGGTTCCCGATATTGCAAAAATTTTGTCAAAATTCCAACTCCAATTTTGGGCACCTCTGAACGGGGGTTCAGTAAACAATTTTGGACTAGACGAAATTTGGTATCTTTGAATAACAAAACCTTGACATTCTGACTGATTTTTGAGATCAGAGCAGGAGTTGCAGTTGGACATTTTTTTCGAATTTTCAAACACTAATTATGGATTCACTGTTTTCATGGATACCAAATTTCATAGAGATAGATGGCTATAGGCAACCAACATTACATCTGACAAACGAGAGTTGTTTTTTAAATTCTCCATTCTTCATATTTTGAGAATTTAATAATTAAAAATGAAATTCCTAAACGTTCTCGAAATCCGTTTTCTCGAATTTTTTGCGAAGTTACCTCTCTCGACGCTTTCCGTTTTAAAACAAGCGCAAAATTAATTAAATACGCATTTGACAAGTTCGAATTTTTAGTTTTTGCAGAATATCTCATTTGTTTATAAAAATAGAAAAAAAAAAAAAAAAATAGATTACACTTTTACATTAAATTAGCTTTTTTTTACTTTTTGCTATGTATTTCGCATAAATAAACATGGACCTGTGGAGCTAACATGTCATTTCCACACATTTTGTTCCATTTGGAAAAGCACCACTATTAATTTTCATTTATCTAGATGAAAATGGCATACAAATGTTTTTCCAAGAGCTACAGAATAATTTCAAGATTACTATAGACGTAGGTCAAACAATTTTTTGAGAATCTAAATTCAAAAGCTACAACATGCATTTTTATTCATACACAGAGAAGATATTAAGTTAATGTAGGTGTGTTTTTATGTAAGACATAGTGGCTGCTCCGGGTGATAGGAGTGCAAAAGAAACTATGGATGAAGTTTTGGAATCCAGAAGGCAGAAAGCTCTTTTATGTACCTACCTGATGACTGCTACACCTCCTGACATTGCATTTTGTGTGAGTTTAGCATCTTATTTGTTTATTTATTTATGGTTGACCATTATAACAAAAGAAAAATATATGAGAAACCTAGAGAATGCAATCAAACGTGTACCCTACCACACTAGAAGCAGAAGACATAGAGAAAATAAGTGAGAAGAACCAGTTAAGATGATTTGGACATCTACAAAGAATGACAAATGAAAAACCGGTAAACCATACAGTGACTGTATAATGACAGTGTGACCATAATGCTCCATGGTGGGCATGTTTTTTCCAATTTAATATTGAGCTGATTGGGGTAACCGAATTAGTAGAATTTGCTATGGTTACAGTAAAGCTGTTGCAATTGTGTCTAGCAAGATAAATTCATTATCTTGGTTCGCAAGGTAAATTCTACCAATCCAGTGTATTTGGTCAAAACATGACCGACCTCTGAACTACCAATAGAAAATAACATGACCATATATGATCACACTGTAGTAAACCTACATCTCTAGCCCTACGATTCACCACATTACGCATACTTACTTGGTTCCAGTCTGTATAATAAATATATCCTTGCCTCGAACAGAATCACCAATTTCGACCATAGTCTCGCGATTCGTCTTGTGATACACCGCACAACCTCCGCTCTTCACGTCCAGTCTTTTCGCGATCAAATTCGACAGGTCCGGATGCGAGTTGCCACTGATTATAACGATATCGGAAGTTTTGGGGGCCTCCATATTGAGGTTTTGTGGCAGTCGAAAGCCGCCCGCTCTAAAATTGATGTATTAATTATTCTGAAATTGAATAATCTACCGGGTAAATTGATTTGTGAGGTGCAGGGGAAAATTTTTTGTTAAAAAAAGAAAATTAAGGCACCTGTTAGGATTGAGAAACATGGAAATTCGATTTATCACCTACTGTTACCTACAGCTTATTAATATACCTACTGATATATTTATAAAGTTCGACCGGAAAACCTTGTTCCTGTGCAGCACAGCGTGTTTTTCGATAATAAATATTTTTATTTCATAAATAAACAAATGGTGGTGATAGCGATAAATCTACGATACCGACACGTGTTGCCGTCTTTCTTTATCCCGTCTGATAGCGTACGCTAAGTAAAGATGATACGCGTCATCGTAAAACCGATTTTGGTGTAACGTCGACGTCGACTAATCACATGTTTATTGTGCAGTGGCGGGTAATGTTGAATTTCGTTTTACTTTATAGCACATAGGTGCAAAACGCACTGCTAGATAAACATATTCATTCATCAGTAAATAAAATGATTGCAATACATAAATACACCTCTAAAAAAATACTACTTACTTACAACTGGTAATACAATAATGCGATGACCTTTGGGCTTAGCTTAAAGTCCATTAACTTACAACAAAATTCGCAACGAATTATTTCATTGATCAGATAGGGTCGGGTCGACCGTATCAATAAAAATGGTTTAATAAATAAATAACTTGAGGCAAAGGTCAGCATTTTTTAGTCCTCATTTATTTTTGTAATTTTTTTGGTTGAAGCCCTATAGAACAGTTTATGACCAAATCCAGACTTGCAGCCCACTCCAAACAGTCCGATCGTATAAATAATGTCGGGCGATCAATAGGTGGCGCTACGTTGAAAGTTGAAACAGTATTTTTTTTATTTTATCGGCCATGCTTTAGGTGGTAGCATTATAAATACTTGATTTTGACCATATCACAGGCATTGATCTTTATACCAACTGGAAAGAGCGTAAAATTACTATATTTACTACAGCGAGGCATTTTTGTGATTATGCAACATATGGTGGTATTACTATCTTTGTTTAGCATAATGTAGAATACAGAGAACCACCGTTTTCTCGCGCCCCTTCCTCAAGTGTGTGTATACGTTTGTAAGCCTTTTGTGACCTTTCCAGGTACACAGTTCAATGAGAACAGTATATCAAGGGATATACTGTGAGTATTTACATACAGCACACAATTTAATACCTTCCACAAATGTAAATAAATTAATGGTCAAAATTTATAAAGAGTGTCCCAGGTAGAACGCACCATAGGGAAACGGCATAATATGTATTTTTTCGCGAAGGATCCACGAGGCCTTTGAGATAAGCGTTCAATGTATTATTAACTCCAATCTCTTTCTATAAGAGCATTCGCACCTTAGTATGCAGTATGGGGTCTTATGGACTATATCCCTCCTTTACTAATTTGCGTCATTCTTCAATAACGCTATCCTTATTCCTTACCGCAATGATGCCAAACTTACATATGATTGAATTTAAGCTTTAAAACAAAATATAACGTCAAATCTTCTTGTATTGTCATTACGTGTGTGGTTCGTTTTTGTCTTTCGTATTTAACACATTTTATTGTCTCATTGCTTTAAAAATCGTTCTTTTAAGAACGCCTCCATCTCGTACTTTATATACAAGGTAACTTTGAGTGTTCTTGTAGAACCGTTATTTGATTTCATCTTTTTAGAATATCCCATTAAATGGAAGCCGAAGCTGAAGCAGGATCTGCTAACGTGAAACGCCATAAAGGAGAGTGTTTTAGCCGGAAGGAGAAACACCTCATTATCAACGTGCTGAACTATTTCTCGGGAACGATGAACGTTACTGCAGCTGTGAAAGAAGCAAGTAAAGCTTTATGTTGTTCTGAACGGAGCATCTATGCCATTAAAAAGGAAGACGGAAACGAAGGTGTATCAAGCCCGAAAAAACGCAAGCAAAGAAAAGGGAAACAAAGCAATGATCGTCTTCATGTGTATGATGAAAATGTGCAATCAGTTATTCGACGTAAAGTGCATAACTTCTTCATTACAAATATTCCACCAACTATGAACAGCATCTTAGCTTCCGTAAATGACGATAACGATCTACCCAACTTTAAACGCACCACATTATTCAATCTCTTGAAAGATATGGGTTTTGAATTTAAGAAGGTTGGCCGCAAGAGTATCCTTATTGAACGGGATGATATTATACGATGGAGACATAAATACCTACGTCGCATCAGGAAGTTGAGAGAAGAAGGTGCTTAATCTTTTTATTATATTTAATTGCAAATTACATAATATTTATATTTTAGGTAAAAATATTGTGTATACGGATGAGTCATGGGTTAACATTGGTCATTCGGTGAGCAGGGCGTGGCATGACACCACCGTTGAAAGCAATCGTCAGGCATTCATCAAAGGACTCAGTACAGGTTTAAAATCACCCACTGGTCTAGGGCCTCGCTTTGCGTTAGTACATGCTGGTGGTGATAATGGTTTTATTCCGGGCGCGGAACTGACTTTTCTCTGCAAAAAGAACACTGCTGATGCACACAACGAAATGGATGCAGACACTTATGAAAAGTGGTTTTTTGAACAGCTTCTACCAAATGTGCCACCGAATTCAGTCATTGTTATTGACAATGCCTCGTACCACAGTAGAAAGTTGGAGAAGATACCAACAATGTCGTGGAGAAAAGAACACATTATAGATTGGCTTCGTGAGAAAAATGTACCGATTGAAGAAAATCCATTAAAACGAGACCTACTGGCTTCTGTTGCGCATGTTCGGCATCACTACGACAAAAATAAGCTTGATGTTATTGCACAAGAAAAAGGTTACGAGATTCTCCGTTTACCTCCATACCATTGTGAATTAAATCCCATTGAAATGGTGTGGGCTCAAGTTAAACATCATATCAAAATGAATAACAAAACATTTAAAATAAAGGACATGGAAGAATTAATAAAAATGGGTTATTCACAAGTTACGGTTCAAAATTGGCAACATTATGTCAATCACGTCAAAACTATCGAAGATGGCATGTGGGCAGCAGATTATCTTCAAGATGATGTTGAAGAATTTATAATTCAAGTGTCGCAGTCATCTTCCGATGAATTTCAATTCGATTCCAGTGACTAATATGTATACTGTACATTTGTAAATTTTTGGGGACTTAATAAATACAAGCTGTTCTCGGCCACATTTGACAAACAATTACAACTTGTTATTAATTTACCTTTTTGACTTCTGAGGTTAGGTTAAAAAGTAATAAATAGTGTCTAAACTACCGTTTTACGGTGCAGTAATCGATCCTATAATAAGTTTGGCAAGCATGTACTGTTTCTCCATAAGCCCCATACTGCATACTAAGGTGCGAATGGTCTTATAGCATCAATCAAGCAAGTCAATAACATACGTTGAACGCTAACTTCATACTGATATCAAAGGAGGGGATCATTCATGAAAAAATGCATTGATGCTGTTTCCCTATGGCGCGTTCGTCCTGGAATACACGGTATATTATATTTCACTTGAGACCCAGACCATGCAATCAAAACACCACAAATTGAGCAAACATTTACACCAAAAATGAAAATGATTTCAAAACAACACGTTTGTTTAAATCGCCCACGCCGCACCATGCACTATGATTTTCTTCCTAATTTTGTTAAAAAGCAAGCTTATAAAAATTATATGCAGTGCGTTGGATAAGAGGTCTTATCCAATATCCGATCGTATATTCACACGTTCGGGATTTGCTATAAGTCGATGCAATTTTTGTTTTTGAAATGAAATATTTATGTTTTTTAAGATAATTTGAAAAGAGCAATCAATTGGCTGTACGACAACATAAAACATGCATATGTGGTTGATACAAAAAAAAATGGAGAAATTCGTGAGTCAATATTTAGAATTTAGAAAACTTATCACACAGAACACACGTTTACGCGATACGATCTACCCGTTTAACACAACAGACACCGCGCATCCTGCCAGCACACGGCATGTTAGATTTCATAAATTTTCTAAATATTTAATTACGAATTTTTCAATTTTTTTGCGTATCTGAACTGAAGTTATTAAGCAAGTAACCAGTTGGTCCAAGTCCATTTTAATTGTATTTTGTTTTATTTTTTTGAAACCTTTTTCTGCGCGAAGCATATTTATTATGCGGGTCACTCTGTAATTGGGCGCATGCCTGTTGAGGGCCCAAAACAAGAGAGGGATAATAAAATAAAATAAAAATAAATTATTTCTGGAGGCGAAATAACCATGTAGCGGCGAGTCTCCATGTGGATTGTCGTCAAAACTAAACAGGCGACAGTATCTGATGTCCGATTCTCCCATATAGCACACTATGTACATAGTACGTACATTTCACGTACGTTCGTCCATGTACAAAACATGTACGTACAATAACGGATTAAAATAAGGAAGTCGGCATGTATGTACGTCCATAGAACGTACATTTTTGTACAAACGTACGTACATAATACGTACAGTCATGTACCGCCGACGTACACAGTACGTACAGCGTGGACGTACACAGTACGTACAGCGTGTACGTACTTGTTTGGTACAATGCTGTGCCAAAGCAACGTACCATAATGTACGTACAGTGTACGACGGCGGTACATAACTGTACGTATGATGCACGTTCGTTTGTATGGAAATGTACGTTCTATGGACGTACACAGTACGTACTTGTGCTATATGAGCTGTTCCTCTGGTTGCAGTTGTGACTAAAGTATCGCAAAAAATCACAATTTCTTGATATTAGTCCATATTGAACCTGAACGTCTATAAAACATTCAAAGCAACTTCTGTTTTTGTCCATTCTTTTCTAAGGTTCCAAAATGTTCGACCTCTATATTCGCAAAAATCAACATCAGTTAACTACACTCAAGAGTGCTACACTGATCTTCTTTGCATCTATGGGGAGTGTGGAAACCCTTTGATCCCCCATACCTACGTGCTTGAAAATGATGTTGGACGGAGAATACTCTGCAAGAGCCATATATTGATTTACTTGATTTTCTATTGCTGAATTTGAGATGTTGTGTATTTCTCTTTTGCGTTTGTTTCACAGTTGATTTATTTATTGTAAAGTATGTGTATTGCAAATGTGTGGCAGGTTTTTCTTCTTTGCTGGTCTTAGTTTTCTTGAAATATTGGTATGTTGTTTTAACCATTTCGTAGAAGATAACCACTTTTTCTTCGTAAATAAAAGATGCACGAAGAGATCAACGTGGAAGTACCGCCATTCTAGTAAGGTGATAGAACGAAAGTCACCTAGGACTGTTTTTCCGATACAACCGACGTCCGTGGTAGAAGACGCAAGTTTTAAGAGGGGGCGGGCAACGTAGGTGTACTTTTTAGAACGATATCAAGACGCTATTTAAGTCGATAAAGGAGTAGTCAAACGTGAAAGACTAGCCCTAAAGTTTTTCTTTTCTCAGGCCTTGACTTCTACGAAAATGACCTGCCAGATCAACTTAACCGAGACAAAAAGACCAAGACCAGTCCTTGCATGGTAGCACCATTGTTTATCTTTATTCATTTAAAACAAACGTAGCACGTAGCAGTAAGACATCACACAATAGATGTAAACTTATTCTGATATGCCTCTGTCCTATACAATTCAGTTAGAACGAAAAACACAACAATTTATTTTATTTTTAATGAACGTTTATGTTTTGGTACTTATATAATTTGTGCGTTTTTAATTTGATTTTTCAAAATTATTGTAGATTTGTAGGTACTCGTTATCGTTATCGTTAGATTATGGACTAATATATTACTTAAAAGCGCAGTGCAAAAAAATTGATCTTTGCTCAGTAACAATCCCCGCCACTGTAGTCTTATTGTTTATCGTGCCTATTTATGTCCAACACTTTTTGTTTATTGTGGAATTATTTTGTAAACGTACCTATAGGTATCAGATCAGAATTTAAAATTCTATTTGGTTGAGTGTTTCTATAGTTCGCGTAACACCGTGGTCAAACCAGAAGTTTTGTAGAGTTCGTGGCACTCAGACGTGCGAATAAAATTTGTTACAGGATGTCCACTCAGAAGTACAAATACACAAGGAACAATTTATATTTAACGGACGAACAGAGGAATTTTTACGAAGAGAATGGCTACATTCTGTTTCCCAAATTGGTGGACTTCGCCCTTTTAGACGAGTGCAAGTAAGTTGCCATTAACCATTTCACTCACTAAACAAAGACAATGGTAGATCAGTGGCGTAACCAAAAAATGTACGGGGTTAGGGACCGTATAGGTACTAAATTAACATATGACTGTGCAAGGTACGGGTATCGGTCAAAGTTTGTTGATTGTATTGATAAAGTGGCACTTGAAATGCAATAGAAGATAAGCTGAGTGTGATAAATGAAACAAACAAAATAATTCGCTACACTTAACAAATAACAATTAATATGTACTTAGGTACCTACTTATTGCCTTCATGCGCCGAATCAACCTGTATGTGGGACAACCTTGCCCTTTTACCTATTGGTACAATTAGATTAGGCAAAATTTAAAATGGTGGAACTGATTATAATATGAAATCCCATACATGTACTGTATAAGGTTGGAGGATTATTTACTTACCGTATTTTTTTACATATTATATTTTTATTTAAGATTTTCGTCGGGGTCCAAAATATTTGTCCATCAAACTCTTGACTAATCTATGGTGTCGTCTCTTTTTTTTAGAAACACCATAGTCGACCTAGGGGATGTTCAAAGTGAGGCGTATAGGATGTAGATTCTTCAAACTCTTTAGACTGTTATGACTCTTAAGGCGCTACGCATTCGCCCCCCCCCCCCTCTCGTATAACAATTTACATGCGTCGAGTGTGGAGTTTCATTGTGCTGCAGAAACAGAAACGAAAGGACAAGGTCGGAATTTTGGTCAAAAGAAAAGGAAGAATGGGAAAGAATCCGATCGGACCGGATCAAAATCGATGAGATGCTTTGAAGATTCTTATAGGCACGGCGGGTGCGTCTTCTGCAGGGTGAAGTAACGTTTGCAATATCTCGGAAAAGGCAATGAATCAGTTAGGATCTATCTTATAAGCGTTCAAAAAGTGTGCCCCACCTTACACTTTTTAAAAACTTAAAATGTACCTTTGTGTCTAGGAGATACGTTGCCACGTTTCGACCGCTTTCAAATGCACATTTTTATGACAAAAAGTATTAAAAAATTATACACAGCGTGGGAACACTGTATCCAAAAAGTTACGACACCTAATACTGTAGTTGATCTCGACTCTCATCTTTATGCTGTCATTTCCCGAACGAGGGTCCAGTTCTCCGTCCCAGGGGTAGGACTCCGGTTTTGAACCTATGTGCGATATGAGTTCTGGTTCACTAATTTCCACATGTTCCGTAGTAAACGCTGAATTTGCCTTCCAATGCCATGATTATTATCACTAGGGGGGGAACCCAACCAGTTCTTTGTTTTGCAACTTGCTTTTAACCTGTTTTTTCAAATGTAAAATAGCTGATCAAAGTCCAACGATTTTTAATATACGATTACGAATTTTACTATTACGCTATTACAGTGCTTTATTTTTTACGTTCCTTCCCTACTGTACATCAGGTCATAGCGCTGCTTACAGCTACCGCAAGGGGGCCTTGCTACTCCCAATGTCTGTCAAACTGTGTTTATGGTTTGGCCTCTCTTATATAGTGTCCAGTAATTCACTTCACGTTATTTGGTTTAAAAAATGGGCTGTATCTGCATAAGAGTCGTGCACAATTTATACTTATTTTTCATTGGGACGCAGACACATGAAGAGAGAAGGAGAACGACTATATTTGACGTTAAAAAATCACAGCGGTAGAACGATGCGAGTTAGAGAAAAATTTCGACCATGACGGATATAGATCGGGTGTTACGGAATTTACGAAACGTAATCTGTGGAAATTACGGTAGAAACGCCCCTTGCCTTGAACAAATTGAGTGGCGAGAGATCAATGAGATACTATATGTATACCTCTTCCGCAAGGAGGCGTAAGAATAAATTGCTCTTGGTCAGAAACTACTTTAAGTGATGTTGGCTTGCAGATTATCGCGATCGACTCGCCTCAAAAATGTGAGGTGAGCATTTGTGCGTTGAGACGCGAGAAAGAGTTAGGAAAAAATTCAAAATTGTTCGGTTACCGCGAGTAGCATCATCAATAATTGATTTAAAAAAAATTGTAATTCATTATTTCTGGGAACTACTTGTACACAAAATAATATCAAACAAAAAATGACTGGACTTACTTCACGTATGTTGAATCAAATGTTGGAAAGAAGGTCATCCATAAAGCCCAAACGATCTATTTGAAGTGTTCTTACAATATTTACAATGGAAATAATCTCTAAATGAAACGAGCACTTGAAAATCGCTTCGAGAATTCTTCATGAAAGTCAATAATTGTCAATTTAACAAAAGAGCATCCAACAAATGTGTCGACTCTTTTCACGGTGCAAAGGAATACTCAATGCCAGTGTTTATCAAAGTGTTACGCAAATAAAATTATTATTTCCATTAATTAAACCAATACGTTGTTGAAATGAATTGAATGAGCTTTTCAATAGATGCATTTTTAGCAGTTTGACTTATTTATTTAAATTTTTAGGGATAGATTTATAGAGTACTGCAATGGAAAGCTAAATACACAACATATGACGATTATGAAAGATTCCTCGTTAAAACACAAAAACGTGGAAGGCGAATTTCTTATCAACAAGGTACATATTACCTCGGTGGCAACGCACTAATATCTTCCATGCTATAGTGTGTTACCAAACCAGACTTCTTCTGCACCTACTAAAGCTAAACTCCCATTTTAGATCCAAGATTTTAACTTTGATGATGTGCTGTTTAAATATGTTCAATACAAACCAATGGTTGATATAGTAGAAAGCATAGTCGGTGGGAATATCTCGTCTGTTCATACGATGTTGATTAATAAACCGCCAAACTCGGAGCAGGATGCCTCTAGACACCCAATGCATCAAGTACGGTAGTGTATGAAGTTGACACCAAACCGAAATAACCAATCGTCTGCCATTCAGGACCTGCACTATTTCCCATTTCGACCGGCGGAATGGATTGTGGCCTCGTGGACGGCAATGGAAAAGGTGGACGAATCGAACGGATGCTTATTTGTCGTGCCCGGTTCCCATAAGGGTTCACTGATGAAACACGAGTATCCACCGGTAATTGATAACACGTAGACACGCGGTAAATGAAGTATGAGTTGTAGAATGTTACAAACGCAGCATACCATGGAGTTATGGGCCTGGATCACGTCCCCACAGTCAACTTAAGAATGGAAAAGGGCGACACGGTATTCTTCCATCCTATCTTGCTGCATGGTTCGGGACCAAACAGAACAAAGGTGCGACGAAATTCGAATAATGACTTAATCATTTAACGATCTTATTTAAGGGTTTCCGAAAAGCCATTTCCGCCCATTACGCAGACAGTAACTGCCACTTTATTAACGTAACAGGAACCACACAAGACAATATAGAAAAGGAAGTACTGAAACTGGCAAAGCACAAAGGGTTTCCTGAAGTAACCTTTAATGTAAGTGCAAGGAGCGTGGTCTTAGCTGCTTTAATTATTTTGTTTTTAGATGGTTTGGAAAGCAAAAAGTCGTTTAATTAGGGGAGAACCTGGTAATTTCCAAAATTTTACAAGCCATTTGTAAATGTATTGTTATTTCTGATAAACATGTAGTTGCTCTTTACATATGTGTAAATATATTTTAATACTTTTTGGGAGGAATTTTTTCTTTAACAAAATGAACAAAATGGCATATTATAGGTATAGCGTACAGCGTGCGTGATTAGATCAATAACTGTTTCAAAAATCCGATAGAATCATGGACGCGTACATTGCCGATGCATCGATATTCCACGCGTAGGCAAGACCTATAAAGGAATCTCATTGGCTAAAAAATCAGTTTTATTGGTGGAGAAGATTGCACGTCCCAAAATGGATGTGAATGAAACAATCAAGTAGTGGGAATTTTGTTGTTGGGAGAGAGTAGGGGGACAATGCGCATTAAGTTACGATATCGTTCGCGTCGAGCGGTTAAAAAAACCTGTAAAAGTGACGCAGGTTAGGATTTATTTTGTGTAAAAGAATTCAGATTAAACTGCGGGGAACTTAGCATGAAGCGATCGGGAAAAATGATTAAGTCGATCATCCATAGTTTTGCGCAGGATGTTGCGTGTAAAGCGAAATTTCGATATTTGAATGGACTGTATTTTGTAATGTTTGCTATGCTTTTGTATAAGAGGGATGTTGAAGGAATGAGTAAAGTGTTTATTGATTAAAATACAACTAAACGTAAATCACTTGGTTTGGTTAGTCGAAAGAACTTTCTTGTTGTTTCGATGTAAGTATAGGTTTTCTGAGACGAAGGCCCAATAAACAAAGAAAGCGATGGCCAAAAAGCGTGTACTTTGGGTGCCTTTAATGTTGATAACGATGATGTCGGCTAGAGTAGAGGTGTCTGTATCGAAAGATCGGTGACAACAAAAACGTTGGACGACAACTTGATGATTTTTGCAACAAACACGCCCTTCTTCTTGCGACCGAACTCGACTACATTCTCCATAGCCGCAAACAAACTTAAGTCAACCACCTGTAATTTATCGCAAAGGTTTTATTTGTGCGACATTCTAATAATCAAGAGCATGCAACCGGAGGATTAAGTAAGTTTAAATCAAACCCGAAAAAAGTTGCGAATTAGTTCGAAAAGCGAATGGACCTATTAAACTAGATAACGTAATTTATTGTCACCGACTCTGGTAGACCATTTGTGCGCAAATAACTTTTTTTCCCACAAACTCTTAATTAATAGCACGTCTTGCTCTTTATTTTTCGTTAGCAAAACGGGCGTTTGATATCACTACTGTTACTTTATACTCTACAATATTTTGTATTTTTATATTTAAAATAAACCGATTCCTTTAAGAGTGTTGGTCACACTACTATATATTAATTTATGCGTGTGTAGACCCAGCTATAAGAAAGTAAAGTGTTTTTATTTGGATTCAATTTAACTAACGAGTATCTTCCAGATAAGTTCAACTTATATTTCAAGATAATAATTTAATTAATTAATTAATAATTGAATTTTGAGTTCTGCAGGGATTGGGAGTCATATGAATTATAGGTTTTGGTTCCTGTTCTGTGACTTCAATAATTAATAATCGGTTCCGGTTCCGATACCGGTTCTTTCGGTTCCAGTTCCAACCCTCGGTTCCGATTAAAGTTTTTTTATAGTCCTTTTTTTAAAGAGAGCGTTGGGTGGTAAATACATCTCTTAAAGATTCGAAAGTTTCAGGCGGAAAGAATATAATCTACCTATAAAAGCATTTTTAATCTTTGTAGTTGGGGATGTACTTTTGTATTTTCGATATAACTTTTAAGTTCTGTATAAATAAGTGTCAGATATATATGGCTCTTCAAAGACACTTAAACTTTGTATAATGAATAATAATAAAATGTATGAATCGTTCCATATGTGAACCTGTTACTCCACACATCTCGACAATCTACTCTGGAAATATAAAGAAATATATCCGATCACGATAAGGGGCCGAGGAGGAGGACTATGGTTGGTAGAAATTAATTCCGTTCGTTGATACCTTTCATTAAAGTACCGTGAAGGATAAAACCAATTCCATATCCCCCCGCTCCCCTCCCTCGGCCCCTACAGGGGTTCTCCGACAAGTAATATAATACTGTGATTATTGTGTACAATAATACTGCTACATGACGGCGTAGAAAAGAAATCGTTACAAGTTTGCTACGAACCTTATTTTTTTGTGTAAATTTGGCGTTATTGTCAATTTTAGGATGGTATCATTTAGTAACCATGCAAGTGTGATACATGTTTTTTTTCAGAATGACGAGCACCCTCAAAATATAAAATAAAAAATGCAGGTCTGTCCTTAAAAAAAGAAGGTGGTAATATTCCCAAAAAACCAAAACGTCGAACTTAAAACTTATGCCAGCTTGTAAGAGAGAAAACGTTGCAAAAGTGTCCTTTGTTTTCAAACATCCCTTCAAAGAAAGTTACAAAACAATACAAAAGAATTTAGCGATTTACAAATTTTTTCTGGATTTCTCCAAAAGTATTCGGAATTCCTTTACTTTGTAAGCAGCTTTAGATTCAGTCCTAAAATACGCAACTTTTCCTTCATTTAACCTACTTCGTATCATATTTCTTCCAGGTTTCCAAGATCCCAATGGTCACTTTCGAATTGGGACACCCTATGTACAGTATTGCAAACACCTTGTAGAATGTTGCCAAATTTTCGAAAGATGCTAAAGGACATATGTATCAATATCGTACAAAAAATTTAGCTTATAGTATTTTCTATTAATAAAATATGGTTGTCTTGTTTGACACGTGTAAACTGTGATTTTTTGAAAAAATATTAAATTTTTAAAATACTTGAATGCTTAACAAAAAGTATGTAACATTTTTAGAACAATCCATTATTTAATAAAGTATAGTCCGTATGTATCTAATACCACATTTATGGAGCACCCTATACATATTTTTAGATGTAAAAATATGTTGCACTTGAACTTTTTCGCAGCATCGTTTTACTTTCATACACAGCATATCAGGAGATAATTCATGCCCCCCCCTCCTCCCCAAGACAGTGAAATTTGATGCTCATCTGGCACACCTTCAAGGTAGAGGCAAATTTTGCAAAAAATTCTAGGACTCTAGGACCGTTCCCCTAGTAGTAGTTCAAAACAGCAGAAGTGAATCTGGACAAACGGATGGACAAAACGCAAACAATAAGACATTTTTTTTAATTCTTAAAAAAAAGCGCTAAAAATATAGTTTTTTTTGGAATTGTAGAGTTAAGACTTTAAGAGTCACAGTTTTGGATCATCCTATACACAAGTTATTAGCTATATGCAATTATTCATTATGTTGCTGTAAAATGTATACCTATTTAGTAAATTTTACTTCAGAACATTTGCATTAATTTTTCGCGAAACTATTTTAATAATTTATTATGTTACCTTTGACGCTGTGTTTTGAACTGCCGTTATTTTCACGTATTTTAATAACGTAAATAAGACGTTTATTTGTTACGTCATTTGTTGGTCATTTTTAAATGTATAAGTATCTTTTATGTAATTCGAAAAACACGACAACTGCATTAAAAAAATACACTGGAATCCAGAAAAATATATATTTGATTTAGATATGTTACGATTTAACATTTTATTAGGTATGCCGTCATAATGTCATTGTGGAAACGTCAAACATACTTTGTGGCATTGTCACCAGGCGTTTGTGCGATTTTGTGACGTAAACAAACGTGCAATACGTCGCAATTTTGCCTGCAGTGGACATTTCCCGCGAAAAGTGTATTCCTAACCTAACGGTACCGGTGGGTCAGTTTTGGCTAGGCCTAGGGGTAGTTTGCAGAGCATTGTTTATCCCATTTTGTGAATCATTCAGTTTTGTCACGTTATATGAACTGCAATTTTAAGCGCAAAAATACGTAACATTCTAAAGCAACTGTGAATAAATACCTATAGAAGTAAGTGTGGTACCTGTACACCCAATTTTTTCATATTAATTGTACTTAGCTACCAGTTATAACTCTAAAAATTAAGAGTCATGGATTATACAGGTGGTGTGTATAATCAATGCTTAACTTCACTCAAAATTAAGATTAATTTCGAGTTATAACTCAATTAATTGACACCTGAGTAATTTCTAGTAAGTACCTACTGCAATTGCAGATGGCTTTTGTTGGTGTTGAGTTTGATGCAAGGTCTGGAGGAGGAGTAGCGATAATCAACAGGAATTGGTTAACCCCTCGCAAACAGGAGGTGTTTTGGCCTCCTTACAAGTATCAGTCCGATTTCGATATGGCCGTCAAGAAAGCCGAGCAACCTTCCGACAGATGGAGAATTTTTAAATTAAAACGGAAATTGTTCGAGAGCAGTAAGTTAGTTTGTGTAATCTAATTCATTCTAAATAGGCTGCATTGTCAGATGAATTCTCGCTGGCCGTAAACAAGCTTAATCGATTTGAAGCCACATCGGATGTTGAGACGGATCGAGATGAAGAAAAGCGTACACCGGCAAAACGCTACAGAAAAAGAGGACACTATTTTGATTCTGAGGATGAGGATGGTGACATGTTTTCGAACAATTATGATTGTCTGCGAGGTAGGTCAACCATAGCAGAATAGAGTGAGGGTTATCCACTTCCTTCCTTTGATGTACATTTTACTAAGGGTGTCTGATATTTAAAAAATATCGATAATACCGATATATCGATGTACCGAAATATCGATATACATACGGATATATCGATATATTATCTCTATTATCGATGGACGATATATCACAATATCGTCTCGCACTTTTAAACATAAAAATCAACATACATATGGATACAATTTATTTTAATTCAACTTTACAAATAATAAGTAGGTATCTATTATTTTCTACAGATATTCCATAAGTCTATTTATTTTATTTTTAGAGTTTCATTTGGCAAGTGGTAAAATGATAAATATTTATTTATAATTATTGGGAACGGAAATGTGTCTTTTAATTTTTAGTCACCATAGTCATCACGTTCATATTATACAGTTCTAATTCTGTTTATGTTCTTTTTTCGTAAACTGGCACTAAACTTTTCTATGAAGTTTTTATTTATTGACAGAAAAATAAGTTGCTTCGAATGTTCAGAGGTTAAAGAATATAAAATATCGAATAGCATGCTCGAATTGGTAATTGGTATCGACAATTATCAAATCAAATTATCGAATCACACGATCAAAAATGGTTTATCAATATATTGGTATATCCATAACCATCTTTAGCATTCTTGTTTAAATTCTTCATGTGGGAGCTAACCTATGTATACAATTCAAAGACCAGCTTCCTCTTGCCCCCTCTCACCCGTACAAGACTACATAAGTCCTAGGTTTACCTGTGGATGTATCATAAATCATCCATCTTTCGGCATCACCTAGACCTCTAACTTGGTTTTTGCATACCCAGCTAGGGTTCTTGGACCATTGCAAGATGTTCTTTTAATTAATCGCTCTTAGTGATTTTTTATCATCTTCGTTGTGTTAAGAGATCTTCAAATAAATCGTAAAAATCTAATTAGCAGTTGTTGTATTTATATCAGGGTAGGCATCTGTCATAAGAGATTTTTAAATGTAATATTCATTATAAAATGTGTTCTAAGTATTTCTTGTAATTTTTTGTAACAAAATACAACATGGCGCAGTCGAGGCAGTTAGTTTATTAAACTGAGCAAAGTTTTCAAGAAGTATAGGTTCCGAAACATCAAATAAGTGTATTGTTGAACGGCTGAACCTAATTATAAGAAGAAAAGCCGAAATGGAATTCAAACCTCCAGCTAATTTGTCACTACAGGGAAATTTAAGTGAAAACTGGTCTTTTATAAGAACATTATCACCTGTTTTCAAATTTTGGTTAAAATTTGAAAACAGGTGATAATGTTCTTATAAAAGACCAGTTTTGGGAAAAAGGACAAGTAGTTGGTAATCATTCCACTCCTAGATCTTTTAATGTAATTAATAATAAGAACAATGTTGTTAGAAGAAACTTTAGCCAACTAAAACCAACTAATACAAAATTTGAAATTAACAACTCATCAAACTGCTCAAATGATCATGATCAAACTCAAAATATGGATCGTTCTTCTGATAACACCGCTGATAATAACTTAGAAACTATTAACAATCAAACCACCTGTGAAATTGATCCTTCAAATGACCCAATTCCTGATTCTAATATTAAACAAAACAACAGTGGTCGGATTGTTAAATTACCGAATAAGTTTAAAGATTATTTTATGTAATCTCATAATAATGTTTTGTTTTAAGTTTGTTTTGATTTGTTTGTTTTAGAAAAAAAAAAAAAAAGGAAGATGTTGTATTTATATCAGGGTAGGCATCTGTCATAAGAGATTTTTAAATGTAATATTCATTATAAAATGTGTTCTAAGTATTTCTTGTAATTTTTTGTAACAAAATACAACAGCAGTAATCTGTTTCCAAATTTTGCTAGAAATAGAAATTTTGTTACTAACTTTCTTTTTAAAACATCCCAGAAATCTACCCACTAGTTTACTACATGGAATGTCGGTGACGGTACAATAGTAGTAGTGTATCAAATAAATAATCCTCCATAGTATAATTTAGTGTACATCTTTTATGTAGTGGGTAGCCCTTTAGCCCCTTGGCGAATAGTTTAATTAACAGTACCTGCTGTAGGCTTACAAGATTCCGATGATGAAAATGTACTATCACCAAGGACACCGTCTTCAACTCATTCAGCATTGATTAGTGGTCAGGAAATTTAGATATGCATGCTCTCTGCAAACTCATATGTTTGTATTTTCAGGTTGCACTTCTCAGAGACATGTACCTAGGAAAGAAAATCTCACACCACCAATTGCATTGAAAAATCCACTTAATACACCGCAGAGTGAAAATGGTAGTATAACATGGTTTCTTGAATAATTTAACCACCCCCTTTTGTAGCACTGAATCATATCTTACGTTTGGTTGTTGAGATAAAACAACAGACTGACCAAATTTTAAATCGTCTGGAAAACATTGAGTTACAGATGAAACTAGCAAATAATGTACCTATTATAGGACTACGACAAGAGTTCTTGAAAAAATTTCCAGTAAAGTTCCCGATAGGAAATGTAGAAGATTTTTATGTGTGTGATAATTATTTAAAAGATCCACAGAATAGGTCTCAACTTGTAAGTACAAGAGTCGATGCATACAAATACAGGGTGTCCTATGACGAATGACTGCTATCTATATCTCGAAAAGAAAAGTTCGGAATTTTTTGATAATTTGTCAATAAAAGGAATTCATCTAAAATGGGTGGCACTTCCGGTTGTCTCGGAAAACGATGTTATCGCGCATTTTAAACGAATCGCCTACTATTTTATGTTATGTATAATGTTCTATACCACTAAAATGGAACCTCTTCTAAAAGAAAACCCGCCCTAATTAAATAAAAGTGACAGAGCACCTCGGTTTGACCCATTTTCAATAGACTTGTTACATGTGGCATGTATAGGTCAGCTGTGCAAAGTTTGAACCGAATCGGTCCAAGCGTTTGGCAGTTATCGTGTTCACAGACAGACAGACGGACAGGTTATAAAGCTGGCATCACTTTGCTCTGCACCTTAATAATAACAGCTCGAGCTTGGGTTGAAAAAATTGGCAAGTGCGATTGGGTCGGAGGAACATTGTTATAAACGGCTAAATTCAGGTATAGGGCATTATAAAATTTTACTAGGAATTTAAAATTGAAATAATATATAGGGTGTTCCATTTAAAATTATCAAGTTAGCAGAAGTGCCACCAACTTGAAAAGATTTTAGATGAATCCCTCTTATCGACAATGGTATAGTCATATTTTCAAAATATTTCGAGATATAGATAGTCATCATTCGTCTTGGGACGCCCTGTATTTAGTACTAGCACATCTCGTTATTCTAGGTTTCTTACCTTGCCACATTAGGTGGTAAAAATGTGGCTTCCAAAACAAATAACATCTTAAAATTCATTCTGGACGACTCGGTCGCAAGTGGATACAGCTTTTTTGGGATGCGGAACAATAAACTACCCTTCAGTGAATGTGAACTGAGTAAAATGATAATCGGTAAATACTAATAGAATTTATTAAACATATCCAATGCTTGTAATTGTCATTTCAGATACAGTTGTACAGACTGACAAGTGTACACAGAAGGAAGTGGAAGATGTTATAAAAGCGTGGCTTAGGCATGCACCAGCACGCATGAAACGGCACTCAAGTGGTCTGTAAATATGTGGGAAGGCTGTATTTTTTCATTTTTTCATGATATGCTTAGGAATAAGATTGTGTCTGACGAGCATATCACTGTAATGTTACAAATACGACAATAATAAAGCATTCGAACAGTCTTGCTTTAATTCATACAAATAATTCAAATTTTCAGAAAAAAATAAGTTCTCAATATTAAATGAGTAAAACTCCAGAGTCTTCATCGGTCACTCTGAATCTTCGGAGTCATTTAGATTTGTCAGTTTTCGGTTTAGAAATCAAAGTCATTGGTAGCTTCAATTCTTCCAGGGCACGCAGATTTTCAAGGCACCCCAACACTTCCGTGGTCCTTAAAATTAAAAGACATTTGGATTTGACTCTTCAGAAATAGTGACCATCCAGTGAATTGTAGCTATTGATCGTCATGGTGAATTTTTAATGGTAGTCAAGTTGTATGGAAGACATTGATGTATATTAAATTTATAATCAATGATCTCTATACTTTCCCATCCTTGTCTATTTTGTTTGTTTTACCGCGAGCACGTCTTTCTATACCTACATTTTTTGTCATTATTCCTATTAGTGGAAAGAAAATATCTACGCCACTGCAGGAACGGTAATGATAACGGAAGTGATTGTGGTACGTTAACCACAGTCAGAGGCCACTTAAGCACTGATCTAAGAAGTCAGTGCACTTAAGTCACGAACTTATAAATGAAGATGGACTGCTGATCAAACAGTTGGATAGAGGTAAAAATGGCCCTAGCATGGGCGCGGCCATGATGTCCACGTTTTAGTTATTTTCTAGGGGAATTTTCCTAGTACTCAAGTTTTGAGACTATTGCAGACTTGGAAAATGACATGTGTCACAGTAATTTATTTAAAAAACGTGAGATTAGTTGATTTGAATTTCGCGCCAAGTGAGAGCACATCATGGCTGCCTCATGTAGGCTTTACTGGCCGCACCTGTCACTTTAGCGGCCGCATGACATTGCTCTAAACGTCTATAATGACTCCTGTCATCATGACAGATTGACATTATATAAAAATTGAAATTTTATACTAAAATACGATTTCGGGTAAAATTTAATACAAAACTCGTCAGTAAAACGACATTACTTGACTCGGAAATAAAGTACTCGGGCCCCGGAGGGGCCTCGCACTTCAATATTTCTTCGCCAGTAATGTGTCATTTTCCCGACTTGAATGTAAATAACTATATTGTTTGAATTAGTCGGCAAAAGAACGTTTTCTACAGAACTGCACGTTAAGTTGATAACATACACATTGCTGAATCTTGTGGTTTACTACCCTATAGTTGATTGTTAACAATGTTTCTATTATATTAAAACCGGGACAGCGCGTACGCAGTCCCGACTACCAAAAATTACGCGCCCGAGTTATCCACATTAGGGATAATCGCAGGTGTCAGCCCAATCGTTGTGCAATGAGAGGGCCTCATCCTGGGGGAACCGCCTTATTGATCACGGTAACCCCTACGCCAGGTAAGTATGCTTTGTCCGCATTTTTGACAACGTGATATTCGACACTCAACGTAAGATCAAGTGTCTAAGTTGTTAGTGGCGCCACTATTTATGCACTTCATCAACTAACAATACTAACAATATCTACAAACACTACATTCTCTGCAACTGGTTCAGAAAGGTGACACTTCAAGATATCTGTAACTGTAACTGTAACACTGTGTGTATAATCAGTGCTACAGTTCTCGTTACACGTGACACTAAATACTTGTTTTTGATTCTTGAGTTGTTGTATACCGACGTGTAGATTTTTTGTTTCTAATGAAACGAACTTGCAACAAACTTGTTACACTCATTCCCTGTACGTCCTACAGATGACGCTATTACAAAAATTTACACGCGTTAATGTTTCGCTTGTGTATGATAATATTTCGTATACCCCGTAAACAATACTCTGGTTTCTCTTCAAATGCGAATAAATCTTTCGCCTTTTACTAAAGATTTCCGTGGAGAGGAACAACTCAAATGAGTTTATAAATAATTTTTTAAATTCCCGACGGAAGTTGGGCAATAATTAAATTAAAATACAAGTTTGACAAGCACGAGGAAGCCTTTTATTGCATTTTAGCATTGGAAAATGGAAATGCATGGGTTATGAAGTTACTGGTTAGTCAAGCAGAAAACAAGACAGTTGGTGTCGCATCGAAGTGATGATTGTCCCGTACTCGACTGTGATCGGTAGATTTAGGAAAAGTCGCGGATACTGTCGATACTACTTACTTAACAGTGCGCTTTGTTAATTCGAATTTAAAATTCTCGCATATTGATAGTATTACAAGCATGTTACGCCGCTTATTAGTCAGAACGTTTACGTTTGCAACACGAGCGATCTTACGTGCGAGTGGAGCAAATGTCCCAAGTGATACCGTATGAGTAAGGGTTATTTGTGTTTTACATTATGGCGTTGTACTTGTACGGTTATTATTTCCAATGCCTCCGATGGTTGCAAGGATTGCGAAATCTGTGAATTTTTTATTTGCGGTATATAAGTGCTATCTTACACTATGGTGCTTATATTCAATGAATAAAAAACCAAACATAATAAATTTAACCTTTTTTGATCCAGTCTTTACATAGTTCTTTACTTAGTTAAACGTTTCTATTTCCTGTCCAAACTCATGTCTTAACTACGCATAGCCGATGTACCCTTTAAGGGCGCGCTATCAGTATTGTGTGTTGCCTATCTCACAATAGCTTTCTTATGGGAAACATGCCTAACGGAATTCATACCGTTTTTAAAAACTATACATTTTTTTTGGGAAATGTTTGTTGTTTATTGTTCTTAAATGTATGTAAATTATGAGTGAACAGTTTATATTGCACTAAAACTCATAGCACATTCTCTGAAAGTGTATAAAGTAGACGTTCGATTGCAATGGCAATCTTTTGTGTATAATTCAAAGGTCAAAGAAGTTTTTGAAATATAAATTGTTTCTCCAGATTCTTGAACATATAAGGAATAAAACGTGATGTAAAAATGGATAATATGTGGTTTCTAAAGCACAAACGGTATGAACTCCGTACACTTGAAAATAACTCGTAAAACAATTATAGAAAAGAAATCTGTGCTCAGTGTAGTTCAACGTGTATCCACTAAGATGGCTACGGTATACTATTCTTACAAAGCGGGAAATTTAAACTGGAGTACTTATTGGAATGTATTAATGTATCTATTTTTTAGCAGTATAACTTATTCCTTTATTGGCTTTGTTGGTTATTAATGCAGATAAAATGTATCCAGCAAAAAACCGTACCATAAGTAGGAATTACACTGGTTAACGTTACCTACATTCAAAATTTGGGTTAGGAAACTGGCAAAAGAAGTATTTATAAACGTTGAGTTTAGGATCATGGGATTTTTCACTCTACGTTATAATTAATTAATATAAAAATTTCAGAGCTTACAACAAAAAGAGGTTATGTGGGATGGTGTTTCTGAATTGATAATACAGTGTTAATACTGCTTACGTTTACCAGACGAAGCGCTACTTATGGGCAAGAATACTCTCGCCCAAGTTGCTATCTAATAGCACTGTCGACTTGTACGATGGTATTTACACCTCGGAAGTGCTATCAGACAACTCTGCAAGAAATCAGTAACTGAAGATTATATATTTATTCGATAATAAATGTACACGTCACTTACAACTAAATTTAAGCACTATTAATAATAACGAAACCCCACCGATTGGATGCCATCTTGGTTCCCATAATTTGAATGAACTACATACTATCGGCATTGAATAATTCAATCGTTGAGTGAAGGATCTCAATGTTATCGGTATTATATCAAAATATGATTTCACACCCAAACAAATAACATTCAATTATGAGTTAGTATTGCTGACTTGCAAATCTGGTTTTCCTAAAAATATTGCGTGGATTGTCCTTTGTGATCATAAAGGCTGAGTATTCCTTAAGGCCGATTCACATTATTATCGGTCAGGTTACGGTCAGAACATGAACAGTACAGAAATACACAGTTACAATAATTGACCGCACCGTGTTCTGACCATGATGTGACCGATGGCCTTATATAAACGCACTGCAATGACATCGTTCGGTAAAATGATAATCGGAAAAAAATGTACCTACTCGGTGTCGGAAGTCAATCTTCGGAAATGTGTACAGTCGAAGGATAGCCTAAAACAATCCATTAATAGAACTATATTAAAATAAACCGATACAACGAAATATCGAAGGATCCTCAGTATTACAATCACTTTTAACGACAATTTATTTTAATCTTACAAAATACATTTTATAGTTAACAAAAATGCATCAAATTCATGTCTTGGGCTTTGAGATAATGCTCTTGGTTTTTTTCCCAACGATCTTGGTGCATAAATAACGATTTTGACATGTTTTGATCAAAATCCATGTGGTCCATAAAAATAGATCAAATTCATGTTTTGGTCATTGAGATAATGCTCTTGATCTTTTTCCCAACGATCTTGGTGCATAAATAACGATTTTGAGATGTTTTGATCAAAATCCACGTTTTCGCCAAAAATTCATCAAATTCATGTCTTGGGCATTGAGATAATGCGCCTAGTTTTTTTCCCAATGATCTTGGTGCATAAATAACGATTTTGACATGTTTTGATCAAAATCCACGTGGTCGCCAAAAATGCATCAAATTCATGTCTTGGGCATTGAGATAATGCGCTTAGTCTTTTTCCCAACGCTCTTGGTGCATAAATAACGATTTTGACATGTTTTGATCAAAATCCACGTGGTCGCCAAAAATGCATCAAATTCATGTCTTGGGCATTGAGATAATGCGCCTAGTCTTTTCCCAACGATCTTGGTGCATAAATAACGATTTTGACATGTTTTGATCAAAATCCACGTGGTCGCCAAAAATGCATCAAATTCATGTCTTGGGCATTGAGATAATGCGCGTAGTCTTTTTCCCAACGATCTTGGTGCATAATTAACGATTTTGACATATTTTGATCAAAATCCATGTGGCCTCAGAAAAATAATTTAACATTTTTTAATCACACACATGCGGTTATCAAACGTGCACGTTATCAACTCTTTCAGCATCAAGATAATGCGTTTGAAAGCTTTTACAACTCTAAATTCATGTGTAAAGAATAATTTTGGGTACATTTTGCTCTAAAACTTTTGACCGAGACCACAGAGAAGAGTTATATTGAATTGTTACACATCTAAGAGTCATAGGGAATAATCTAGCGAAAGTCCGAACTCGATACATGACCTAGGGAATGAAATATGTTAATTTTTATTATATTGAGTTCGCAGTTTTTCCTGTTCCCGATTCACTCGAAGTCGTATAACTTTTGTTCCTGTTGAACCAGCTTCCTGAAAATCAATAGCGTCCGTTCTTAATGTCCAACGTACCCGTATACCAAATTTCAACACAATCGGCCACTTTTAAAAAGAGTTAGAGCGCACACGGACGGACGGACGGACAGACGGACGACAATACAAAACTATAAAGGATCTGAGGATCCTTAATAAAGATCCTCAACTTTACTTACCTAGGTAGGTACTGGTTTTTTTTGTTATTTTGCAGTTAATAGAAAATCAGGTAAACTACAGTGACTTTATAAGGACAGTGGCGACAACTTATCATAATCCGCCATATTGGAGCTAAAAAATTGATTGTAAGATCAATATACCTTGTCATGTCAAATTGTGAGCGTAGAATAATAAATGTCAGTTTCATTTAAGTAAAGATTCTTGTTCAAAACGAACGGCGCAGAAATGATCGTTTAAAGCTTTGCAGAACAACCTATGGGAAAACAAATGCCTCCCAAATTCAAAAAGGTATGGGTATATGGAAAACGGTATAATAAGTATGAAATATGGTGCAATATCCAAAATGTACATATAAATAATCATTAAATTGTGTTTGACATTTCAGTGTCTTCTGTCACTTCTTGTCCCCTGTCGCGTGTTGCTCCTTCCGGACTTAAAAGTATTTCTTTAGTCTCTTAAATGGAAGACAAAACACGTTGATCTAGTCCACGGAGTACAAGAGATCAATATTCCATGTGCTCCAGCAAACATGAAACCAATTCAAACGTATTTACGATCACAATTGAATTTGCTGCTAAATTTCGGATAAGCTGCTTCTCTAACCAGTTTTCTATCTAAACTCATTAGGTATTTAGGGCTTCTGAAAAAAATTTTACATCAATTACCAGTCGTAAGGTTAGGCACAGTTTTACATCTAAAAACACTAAGCGAATTACATACCTTATAATATCGTAATAAATCCAAACTATATGCGTCTTTAAAAATCGAGTTTATATAAAACTGGAGACGGAAAACGTAAAATAAAGCAAATACAAGAAGCAAAGTGTAAACTAGTAACATGAAGCCGTGACAATTACAGGTGACACTGTCAAAACAGTATAATTAATAATTATAGCACGGAGTGCACCGCGTCGTTTTGAAGGTTTTCTATTGGCCAGTTTGGAATTTAGCTCCAATATGGCGACCGGAACCAACGACCAATCAAAAACGAGATACCCTGTTGTCGCCACTGTCTCTATAAAGTCACTGTAAGGTAAACATAATCCATAACATAACCCAACTTTGAATGGCATTTCAGGAATTACAATTACTATAGGCACTGTTATTGGCATTCAATTGAATTACTGAACAAAACCGCATATTATGGTAAATAAGTATTTTTAGGTAGAATTTATTTCGCAAGATCACTAAATTCCCTTTTTAGGGTTACGGAACGATATTTACAGTTACAGGTGGTAACCAAAGATAAGCAAAATACTATTTTTAATTTTATCTCAAGACGAATGTATGCGAGTGTCAGCGACCTAACGAAGTACAAATAGGGATCGCGGATTCGGGATGGCAGCACAAAGCAACGAATATTTCAAAAATACTTCTTAGTTCACTTTTCTTACACCATGGCGTGCAAACGCACCCTTAAATACTCAAATGATCATTGCAATATGGCGAGGGTGGCCATCTAGTACCTTAGTGTAAAGAATAGACACTATGCTAATACTTAATCTATATAGCAGCTGGTTTCCACAATTGCAAGCATTCTAAATTAGTTTATTGCAAACAGACGCTTGAGGGCGCAGCACGCAATGCTGACACGTCATTTTCTACAATGGCAATATAACTTCTAATCCGCGCTTACGACCGTTATCGCTTCTCGGCCTATGGCTAAGATCAAAGTGTAGTATCTGTTCTTATCAGCTTAATATCTGATACGACCCGCATGCGGGTCCAGTATATTAAACTGATTTTTGGAAATTGACGGAGGTTAGGGGCTTGCTCCACCTCCGTCGCGGGTTGGCCCGGTCTTGCAGTACCTCCGGGATCGGCCCAAATACATAAATTTAAACATAATTAAATTATTTAAATAGTTGCTTATTTTTTATTATACCTGAATCACAATCACCGTTTTAAACACTCAAATGCGTGCGAAAAAAGGCCTTTAAAACACATGTGCTTTAAAGTTCTGAAAATGCAGAACATTTTTTTGGCTTGTACCTATCCTTTGGTTGAAGCTTTCACAAACGCGCGTAATTTAGGGTATGCTTCCAAATCTGTTCTACTTTTTAATCGCAGCATTGTTTGAAGTTTTGAATGAATGCACCAAAAGATAGATGATTTAAATACCTTAGACATTTCCTTCATATATGCCAGCATTATCGATGCATTTAAGACTTTATTCGTAAGTAACTAATTCCTATTCATCCATGGAAACAACTTTTCATATTCTTTATAGATAATAGGCTTTACTGGATTTTACACCTATCAACGTTTGTTTAGGTTTTACAACAAGCGATTTAATGGACGGTGTATTATCTTTTTCAACGGAAATCGCTTTATTCACAAAGACGATGATTTTTATAAGCAAACGTCAAGTGACATTTCCATGGCAATCATTAAATTACAAACATCCAGCTCCCTTAATTAGACATTTATTCGAGTACAACGTTAATATGATTTCATTGTATTTCCTATTCTTAAATTATACTGCAGGTATAATAAAAAATACATACACGTGTATAATTGGTCTTTAAAGCACTTTGCAACGTTTTGATTTTGCATTTTTTTGGAATATTGTCCTGTTATTGAGTATATATACTTGTTTGGATAATAAGTATTATTATTATATTATTAAAGGCACTCCGCTTCGCGTCGTGCCATTAAACTCGTTGCGCGTGCTTTAAAGACTTGATTATACACTTGTATCTTAATATATTGTTACAACAAGCGATTTAATGGACGGTGTATTTTTCAACGGAAATCGTTTTACCTGAGACCGTCAAGAGAATCTCAATTTCAGGGCTATTTTGACATTAGAAAGTTGATCTTTACCTGACTAGTACTGTAATATTTTTGCCTGACTCCTATTACAGTCCTAGTACATGCAAAATAACAATTAGATCGTTCATTGAATAAGTAATTCAACCAACGATTGGATAAATTATAATGCAGACTATGTGGATATTTTTTAAATATTAATATACCTACACAAAGGATAATGGTTTTTTAATTACTAACAATTAATGGAATATGTGTGGAAGTAATTAGGTATTCCTTTAGTCTTGCGCCAGTCATTAAAAGGTTTGTACGCCTTTTCGTACCTCTTTCTTGCCTTTGTGGGGAGCGAATATTGCACTACGGCGGCCGCAGCTTCGGCTACATTATAAAAACGTCTCGCGTATAGGTACTCTTCTTCACTGAGACCTGCTTTTGTACCTAGTTATAAAGACTGTATAGTTGAAAAGTGCAAAGCATAAACTGCATTAAAAATGACAGTATTGTTTTAATTATTTTGAAATCTCTATGGAAACAATTAAATAAAGTGATTTTATGCGTGATTAGGTATCAAAATTTATAAAATGGTTGTAAATTCAATGGTATAGAGTCCTTTTCCAGAACTTTCTGGATTATTACTGCAACATTATTTTTGAATCTTTATAATCTCAACTAGCGCTGCAAACGACTACAAGCTCTGGAACATATTTCGAATCTTCTATAGACAGTTACTTAAAATGTTCTGCAAACCGCTAGAAGGTGGCGCTAATGCTTATAAATCCGTTTCAGAGCATTCGAAGGCTTTCCCGTGCAATAAGCCTTCGTTATAGCGTTTTAACGCTTGCGCAGCGCATCTTTCTCGAACTCTTTCCAAAGCCTTTTCGGTACCATTTCAAAACATTTCATCGTCTGATCTCAGAGCTTCCCAAGCCTTCTTTTCCTTTTCTGGCACAATTTAGGCGTTTTCTGGAGCGTTGTACTGCTTTGGAAGGGCTTCTAAGGTCTTTAAAGGATTTCTACAGCTAATGACCACACTATATATTTGCAAGAGATTTAAATAAGGTTATCTCATACCTCGGCTTGATTCCAGAAAAAACCTTACTTATATTCTCCAAAAAGGTTAAAAACGACCCACCTGGCAAGGGAAAAATTGCCTCTTCTGACATTCAGAAAAAACTTTCCAAGAAATTCACACAAAAAAAAGTGGAAGGAACTTTATTGTAAACAACTTACATTACACTAGTGGTCAGAACTATACTTCTTTAAGATCTATTGCAATACGTGATACCTCCAGTACAAATATTCTATAGAGCAATAAGATCTTTAAATCTAACGAATGGCGTCTGTAGTAGGTACAAACTTGGTACCTATTCCATAATTTGTTTACACCCAGAAACTACACCTCCAACCACTACACTATACTAAGAGCACATTAGAAAACAAAAAACGACAAAGTTCTAAACTCATAGCTACCTGTACATTGCAAATAACTATCACAGTCAATTCACCTTGCACATAAGACTTTTTGCGGTTTTTTTTTAAATTTTGTAAACAAATTTGGTGAAATTTTACTTAGCGTGTTTTCATGAACACTTTTAGTGAGATCCAATTTTAATTTGGTCGAATAGAAGGTAAGGTACGTTTATCACTAAATTAGGAGCAGTCTATCTACATTTTGTTGCTCTGCAAATGGGCAAAACTACACAGAGATGCGCGTTTGTTGTACGGCACACTACTGTTGGCGCAAAAGATTCGTATTTGATGTAAATTTTTATCAAATCAAAGTGTTTAATTTTTAGTTGTTTAAATGTAACCATCATTTTTTTGTGTGTGCAACTGTCTTTGCCATATTAACATAATAATGCCTTTTAAAATTGATTTCATTGTTTTGTTGATATAACAGCTAAAGACAATGGTTCCAGTTTGAAATAAATGGTAATTTTTAATTAGGCCTCTACATTTGCGCCAACAGTAAATTGGGTAGAGAGCTGCAAAGTATTCCTAGCATAAATATTATCACTAAATTTCGTATATATACAATGGCAACAAGCTTGACAATTTGTAATAAGGCAGTGATAGCATAGAATTGACATACTCAAAGGCAAGATTAACAATCACAAATAATCATTCATACAACAAAATAAAAGAAATCATCGAATTCAGTCGTTGACTGCAGAACTTCTATCAATATTTGCGAGCAAAGCTCTCTTAAGCTACTTAATCACAGTTTTAAAGCACATTTGCCCATTAATTATAACCTAATCAGTTACGATGAAATGCAAAATCTCAGTCTGAGCACTCTAAACTTCGAAAATCAACTGTTTTCTTTTAATATATCATGGTAACTCCAATGATATGAATAGTGAGTGAATTGGAAATGTTTACAGTTATTAAGGGGGGATGTATTTATTCTCACGTTATGGATGAGTTAAGAGGGCGACTATCACTATTAAAAAAAGACGCGTATCCTGTACCTTACACTACTGTAGTTCTAAAGATTCGTAAAAATGGGTACAGTTAAAGTCAGGGGTCACCATGAATTTTTGGGATGGGACACAATACAAAGCAACCCTAACGCCATCTACGTGCGTCACAATAAAGTAACCTGACCTAAATTCTCAGAAATCACCATTTCCATTATTGACTGGAAAACGACCTGCACATTAGCGGTATCGGTGGCGGTGGTGAAATGCGGATAGAGCACCTTTCTTGAATCCTTATTGCGTAAGACAAACTTGTGCTGTATGAATAACGCGCCTCGATCGACATCCTTATCCGGTCCTTTATAGTCGGGAAAATACAGTCGTAAATGTCTTTGGGAATATAAAATTTTCTCCCTGAACAGATCGAATTTGTTTAGCAGTAAGACGAAGGATGCGTCCCGAAAAAAGGGATTGTTGACGATTTGGCCGAATAAATTGAGGCTTTCATCGAGACGATTGACGCTGGGATCCTCCTAGAAATTGCGGCGTTAAGTTTCATTTAAAATGCTGTGAAATCGTTGAACTACAAACATACTGGAATGAATGCATGCGCAAAGTGGCGCACCTGTCCCAGCATGTTTATAGTTCAACGGGTGAAACTTACGAGTAGGGTCATGTCATAACCACTGAGAGAAACAACAAATAGCACCGCTCGCACGTCATCAAAGCAGTAAATCCACTTGCGCCTCTGCGATCTTTGTCCGCCGACGTCGTACATACTCACAACCATATCATTGATTCTGAAGTGGGTCTCGATTATCCCTTGCGTGCGAACTCGCGCTCGTAGGACGTCGGTTGGGGACGGCACGTACTTCGCGTCGCAAATTCGGTCCATATTCTCGAAGAGATACAAAGCCGAATCGTTTAGCTCATACTCGTATCCTCGGGCGACAGCTAGGCGTACGCCGCGATCCGACCAGAGCACCTGCAGCGATGCCGCAACGTTCGGAAGTACGGTGAAGGTCATGTCAAAGCAGCTACGACTTTGTAAAACCACCTGCGCGTGCGTCTATAACATTTACTTAACGATTGCGACGATCGGTGCCGACTGCCTACCTTATTTCTGGAATATTCCAGATTAATTCGCAACAATCCCATGCCGGCAAGGACATATTTCATCGAAGCTAGGAGATTATCCAAGACTGTCGGTCGGAAACTGCAAAGTTCCGTACTGGTAAATCCATCGGCGTGAATAATTTTCATTTGCTTCACTAAGGTACTTTTCCCACTTTCACCAGCACCTGAAATAACTTTCCTATGAGAAAGTATTGTGTGACTCGTTTTCTGTAGGGGAAAAATTAAATTTGTGATGTAACATCTGGCAGTTTTGAATTTGACCAGTTCCCGCTATAAATTTTGTAAAAGAAAAACACAACGGTTACGCCACTGTATATTTAATTGGCGCGAATCTAACAATTCAAATTACTAGAGAAGGAAGACTCCGAAGAGGATGCGCATTATGCTTTTTCTTACTTTTTCGATTGGCAAAACTCGTACTGCACGAGTGTTGCACGAGAAACTGAAGAAATCCATGTGAAAATTGCTCTCAATGGAACATAAATATTCGTAAATATTTGTTGTCATTTGTCCATAACCTCATTTTAGATTTAGGTAATCGACAAATCTCTATTCTAAAAAATGACAAACGATTTCAGTATTATTTATGATAAACGATGAGGAATATAAATTTGAAATTCCTGTAAAGGACCAATTTTTGGCGTTCAGTTCAATGAGTAAGTGTAACTTTTTGTAAAATAGAAGTTATGGCTAGTTCATCATCTTCGCTATCGCTAGATAACGACAAAAAACTCTCCCAACGCAAGAAACAAATTCAAATTGTCGCACGTTTGTTTTGAAAATTTGTTAACTAGCAGCTCCACGAGCTCACGGACCTCATGCGTCGAAATTTGCACTGAGTGCGTAATTGTTGCATCACATTTGCCAATGGAACACAGAAAATTGCCCTCAAATTACCAATAGAACGTAAAAATTGCACTCGTGCAGCACGAGTTTTGCCAATCGAAAACGCTATGTTGAGGCAGTAGAGAAACAATGTACAGGATGTCCCATTAGTAATGGTCACAGGGCATATCTATGGACCCGTTAATTGCACAGGTGCGAGGAAAAAGTTTTGTTAACAAAAGGGGCCAACAGAAATCACTGGAAATTGTTTTTAAGTTTCTAGCTCCGCCGCTAGAGGGCGTACGATTCATGGTTAAGCAGAAAAATGACTTTTTTTTCTAAAATATACCCAACAAACATGCATAGCTATCTTGTATCAATTTTGCATCATTTTGATGCAGCAGATATTGCTCTAGCTCATAACATAATGAGGGGTGGAGGAAGGAGAGCATCTCTTTAAGGAATTGAATGTAACTTCGGTTTAGGTTAACAGATTTTCACATAATAGGTCTTGTTGGAAAGAGCTCTCTTCTCTGAAAACCGCATTTTGATGTCTGTTTTCTAAGCAGAGATATGGCGAATATACGAACATTCACAAATTTTAATTGCAATATGGATGCTCATTCAAGATGGTTTTGAAACAAAAGAAACAGAATATCACGTAAAAAACTGTCAAAGTTTATCACAGTCTGAAGCATCACTTCATTAAACGTATTCGTGCGAATTATCACCACGATGGGACACATTTCTTGGTAAGCGAGAGTATTTAAATTTGAGTTATCCTGGCAAATGGATGGAAAGAGGAACTATATTTTCATGGCCAGCTAGGTCACTCGACCCAACTTGCTTAGAATTTTATTTGTTGTTAAGGATAAACGACGGGGCCTGTAGAAATCTATGAATTTATTTTCCACATAGTGTATAAAAAATGCTTTATACCCTATACAAATCCACTAATCCAGCATAAGCGAAAAAAACTGGGTGCCGGATTACCGTATTACTGTATTTGTTAGTTGGAGGTTGAAGATTAACATACAGGGTGTTTATACAAATTAAGGTACCTTGTAAATTTGGCGTATGTTGCTAAGAATTTTTTTTTATATTTTAACAGTTCGCAGGAAGGTGACTGAAATTCTATTGTGATTTTGTTATCGGCTTGTGCGACGGGTCAAGGGTTTTTGTTTGTTTTGTGGGGGCGTAAAATATTTATTGAATATATTTACAATGCTATAGTTGCTACAATCTTATTTGGCATAAATGCCAAATGTGATTCACCTTAAAAAAACAGAAAATCTTGTTTTTTTTCTATATTTTGATAAATAAGTGTGGTCCAGTCGAGGGTCTATGGATTTGAAGCTCGACTGCGATAGCAAGGGTCTCTGGTTCGAATCAGAGTTCGGACATTGATATTTTTAAATGTATAGTGGGTTGGGCTGGTAGAGCAGATTTGGGTGAAACCTCGCCCACTTAAAAATAAAGGCCAACAACGAGCTCGGCAACTGCGCAATTTCAAGAAATTGTTTAATTTATTTTTTTCAAAAAAGCATAAGAAATCCAACTTTACATTAAATTATATTTTAAGTTTTTTCCAGTACATATTACATGAATTTCTTGTAATAGCACGAAGTTGTGTTTTTCCAAATTAATCATATAATTATTTCTCTCAACAATAGAGAACGGAGAACAATGGAATTAAAAAATTACATGTTCCATGTGAAAAAGTACAACTCTAGGACACAAATCAGAAATATAAAAGCATTCGCTATTAGGACATCAAAATTGGAACATCCTGTACAATATATCTGCAATCATGGGAAAGGTAGAAAGTGTTTAAGAACCTCCTCCAACTCATCATAGGTTTTGTTGATAGTTTGACTCCGCACACCCCCCCCCCCCCCCTCTCCCCTGAGTGATGTTCAAAAATGCGTGGTTAAATAACGGGACGAGCCAGAGAGTAATTTATACTGCCACAGTTCAAGATGAGTGCTGCGAAACATTAGTTGTTCGATACCATCCCTTCTTTTAGGGGCAGTGTAATTTAATACCAAATTCCGCGCCCTCGTTGTAACGAAAGACCCGTTTTCCCCCTTGAAGCTGCCAGTTTTAGTAATCACTTTGTAGATGAACACCCGGTAACTACAAGCGTTTTAAGTTTGAGGCTTCGTTACGAAAAGTGTCGTGTCAAAGTATTTAGGGGCTGAAGATAGAAGGTAAAGGTATTTGATTTTATTTATAGTTGTGTTTCCGCAGCGGCTACCGTAAATAAAAACTGCAATTATCTCGCCGTTTGCAACCGTTCCCGTCAAGATATTTCAATTATTTTTGTTGCGCCTGAAAGCTCTTGTCATTTAGAAGACGAGGGCAAATTAATACTTTAGAAATTCAGCCCCGTTAAGCCATTATTAGCAGGTTTTTGTTTCCTGTGTGAATTTAAAACGGTCATTCAAACTGAGGTCGTGCCGGTTTACGCTGTTATATATTATAATTGACCTTTGAGGGCCGGTTGCACAAAAACAGTTTAAACCTAGCTTGGAATTAACCAGTGGATTACGGTCTAGGATTGGTTGAAATTTGACGTTTTGTCAAATTTCCACTAATCATATGTCTTAATCCATTGCGTTAATTTAAACGAAGTTTAAACTGCGTTTGTGCAACCGGCCCTAAGCCGATCCGAGGCCGACAATTAACAAAGAGCCTCACTGGACTCCCGATTTTAGAAATTTCAATCCGCCCAATTAAGTAAGTGCAATTAACAGTAGCTAAATAAATGTGTTGCAGTAAACGTCATTCCAGTTAGTCGTGTGGAGTATCAAAAGAGGCGCTCTTAATTTGAATTTTAAGACTAATTACATATTTTTACGACGTCAATTGGCCGTACAATTAATTAAGGAAGTTTTAAGTTTCGAATGTAGATACACGGTGTCGGTTGGGAAAACCATCGTTCCCTCTATAGCATAGTCGACGAGATTGCCGAATTTTATATAAGTAGGGTAAAGCCGTTTACTTTTGGCGTTTAACCGAATGGCAAGTTTATCTTTTTGCGTTTGGGCGTTGTAACCGAAAAGTGAGTTTGTTCTTTTGCACTTTCGCAAGCCACGTTTTGTAAGTACCGTACTTTTGAGCTTTTCCGTAAATTTATTTTTCATTCATACCGTTTAATTTTTGCTCTTACATTAAGTTTACCGCACCGTATCTATAGCCTTTGCCTCGACTTTTGCTTTTTCTAGCACAGTAATTTCTACCGCTCAGTTTAATTGCAAGGTAAACTTTTTGTTACTTTCAGTTTCATTAATAATGAGGGAGGAGGAGGTATTGTTTTGCTTTCCTGCATTTTCTTGTAGATACACTGAATTCTATTAACATCTGTTCCCGCTTCGGGAAAGTGCCGTTCGCTATAATTTTGCTTTAGCAGTCACCAGTAGGCGGCCGCCGCTTGTCTTTTAGAATTCCTAGACCTGCCGTTTACTCTGTTTGAGTAGTCCGAGGCTTCTGAAACCGATCCACCAAACCGCTGCTACCGCCGACCTTGACCAGGGACAAGGCCGTACTCTTGGTGGCGCTTGTGTCCGTCCGGCCGTCCATTCTGCCGATAGAAAACCCAAGTTGTCGCCGAGGTTGTCGCCACTGCCGCTATGTTTTGAACAAAACCGCTCATTTCTACCACTTTTTTAACAAAAAAATTACATACTTAATGGCAAGATTGTATTGACCGTTAGCACAAAGATGCTTTAAGAGTATAGTTGACCAACTTTGCCGCAATCTGGCAAAGATCATAGTTCTTAAGATAACCGCTTCCACGGTGGGTGGTCAAAAATGAGTACCCTGTATTTTGTACCTTTTGATGTAAACTAACAAATATCTTGAAAACTCTGATATGATTTCAGAGAATCAGCTACTGTTCTGTTTTACATAAAACATGTAAAGTGAGGCTTCATATTAAATAATGAAAAAATTAAAGACAATAAGCCTTGACAATGGTTACATTTTATTAGTGAGCAATAGAAATCAAGATACATAAAAGAAAATAAAAGACAGATCTCCTATTACTTGCTCTTCCATTTATCCAAGGGGGACCTAGTAAACAGAAAATATAAAATGAGCAATCTAGGACAGTCTGATGCGGTCTGATGGAAGTAAGTTCCCTATCAAAATCTAATGATAATTGTCAGAGATATAGAAGATAGTAGTAGCAGAAAAATTCCTCCATTTTCTGAACTTTCCTTTCTGGAAAATTAATCAAGAAGCTGTGCATAAATTTCAGAAGACAATTGCGAATGTTTTCAAGCATCGGTACTCTGCTCCATGTGCAACAGAACTTAGGTAATGCAGATTCAACTATTAATGGGAACTTTGTATCTACAATCAATGCAACCTAGAAATGAGAAATCTTTGGCTTCCGGCCGAGGTCAAGAGAATATCAACCTTCCGATAACAGACGGATACTGACCTAACTCATAAAAAAACATAATGTCTCGTTATCTTATCAATGCATTTGAACAAACAGAAACCGTATAAACGATCTTACCCAAAAGAAGTATCTTGATAACATGATTCTGCTGTTTGGCCAATTCACCCAATTGTCGATCGATTTCTTCGCTTCTTCTCCGAGCCTTACCTTCTTCACGCTCTATTGACAAACATGCACCCATTTCCGAACCATCACCATTTCTTATAATTGTTTATTCGCGGAGAGCACCAAGTAGTTTCAATCAAAACGAAAAAATTCGCTTTCACGCACCGCACTTTCTATTGTTTTTTTAAAAGCTAGTTTAAAGCCCACTTAAGTCAAGGTCAAATCAGTTTACTTCCATTTTTAAGAAATTATACGTGATCATGAATTAAACGATGTGAAATTTACGTTCTTACGTCATCGTACCCTGTGCTATTTTTGAATAATGCACCTAAACGAAAAAATTTATAACGTAACACATGGAAACTGTTGCAAAACAAAAGATCGTCTTCTCGTTTATGCTTAAGTAGTTGAAAGTGGCGCCATCTGTTCAGTTGTATTTTTAAAACACACTTTTGCAGTTTGGCGGTAATTGCAATGTATTCGTATTTTCTTTTATTTCAAAACCACTGATTGCAATTTGTAATTTTGATAAAAAATCAAAAGTTACCACCACTTTCAAGGTATAATATGAACCTCTCTCCCATCCCCCTCCATTACCTACGTAATGAAATGTAAAAGGCTTTGTTATAATTAAGTTTAGATAACAAATACAAAACAAATGAATATTTGACACGTTTTGATTGTTTGTCGTTTCTTGAAAACAGGGCTGGCTTTAGGCGTAAGCGGTGTAACCCGCCGGTTACGCCGCAGACAAGAAGGGGTGCAAAAATTACGGACCAAGGACATAAAAATCCGTACACGGGGCCATAGACATACTCATATGTCTATGTAAATAGCAGACGCGTTGACCCTTCGGAAAACCTTGCTTTTCAAAAAATGGGATTTGGCGGGACTTTGACTGATAGGCGATACCTCGCAGGGTCTGCTATTGTTTTAAATATGAACCTCTATACAAGCCGTTAATAAATGTCATGCAGATATTTCAGGGAGTGATAGTAATGGTCAAAGTAAGACAAAAATGCAAATATAGGCATCGTCTAAAAGGCGTCGTTTTCTTTATACAGGGTGGCAAAGAAAATGTAACACCCTATACCGCGACCAACTATTTTGATACTTTATTGTAGAGATTCTAAAAAATAATTGATGTATCCAATTTTAAATAATTATCACAGAACATAAGAAAGCGCAAAATACGAGAAAAAAATTCAAACTTTGCCACCCGGTATAACGAAAATGAGGCCCTTTTTAGACCACGCATTTTTTTTCTTATTTTGACGAGTACTATCGCCCTCTAAAATATCCTCGGAAATATATACATGAGATTTATTAAGACCCTGTATTTTTAAAAACATGCTTGCCAAAAGTTCCAATTATTCAGTCTTTAGTGAGGCGGGGAGGTGCAAATTCTAGTGCTTACTTACACTCTATATTTTATATTAAAAAGCTTACACGTAACTTTTGCCTTGAGCCGGCCCTGCTTGAAAACATCACACAGTTGTATGAACTAATGAAGTATCCTCAAAAAATAATGAAAGAACAATGGATGTTTGTATATTAACTTATTTTCCAATGAGTAGAGATTGCGTTTACATTCTTCCCAAAATCATTATTTACCGCATTTAAAAAAAATATATATATTATATTCGTTACGGCTGGCTGGACGTCCGCCTGAGGTCCCAGCATATTACAATACCTAGAGATTTCAAATTTTCACTAAAAGCTGTCTGCTATAGTGTAGATGTGCAGGCTCTATATAGTCCATTTTGAGTTAGATTACTCGTGAGATCGATAATTTTAAACTTTGCTAATAAAATACTGATACTACCCATCATTGTCATTTGGATATACAGGAAGGACCTAACCTTGATTATCATTGATTATGTATAATTAATGGTATTATTAACAACAAAATGTAGTACTTAAGAGCTCCCTTTGAAACACATACCCCGCAAGATGGCGCCATAATTTATTAGATACATTATACTCTCGTATTACTGAAAATCATGCAAATATGAGGATAAATTCTGATTCTACTTGTCAAGGAGTCGGTAATAAGCTTTTTTGGGATTTCAATTTTCATTATTACCCATAAAAACAAGGTTGAAACTTGAAACACTTAACACTTATTTTGAAGTAGTATTCTTCAGGTATTCTCCCCAGGATATAGCGCATGTTAACACCAAGACTATGCCAAGAATGCTAAATGTGTCCAGTGTGATTACTCACACCAATAATAAATACCATTTGCTTTTTTACCAAAAATAGCGGATGATTGCGATCTTAGAGAGTCTAAAATTGCGGTACTTTTTATATCTAGTGACTTTAAACGCGCTAAAGTTTAGGCGCCCTCTATGGGGAAGCGGTAGGTGTTACCATTATAATGACAATCGAATCTGTTGACTGAAATTTCATGAAAAATATGGAAAAATATCGTTTTTTAGCGACTTTAGCGATGCGCTTGGCAAAATCTGGCAACTTGTTTTAAAGGCCCTGATTAAAGGCAACACAGTGTGTGCACCTATATCTTTTTTATACCGGGTGAATATTTCGAAACCGAACATAGGCAATTAACATGGGAAAAACGTTTTGCAGATTGTTGCTCTCCATGTTAACGAGGGTTTATAATAACACCAATCGAAAGGAGATTTTTTTCTCATCTAATATACGAATTAGTTCACTTATGTGATGGTTTTGTCCGTCTGTTTGTTTGTCCGTCTGTTCCTCGTTTAACTCGAGAACGAAAAGAGCCAGGGATGTCAAATCTTCGCCAATAGAATTCTACGCGCTCAAGGACCAGTGGTATTGAATATGAGCCCAATCAAAAGTCTGGTTTCCCAATACGAGCTGAGTGGCAAAAAAATTCCCTTCCTGAAAATCCTATGCGATTCTGCGTATCTTTTTTTACTATGTTACCCACCTACTAACCTACCGTATTGTTTGGGACATTTTTTTGTAAGTATAGGGATACTGTGAAACCACAACTTATTATTACTTTGTCAACCTCTGCTCCCTAGACTGCAAAAATTTGTTCTTGGGCTTCAATTTTGCAGTTCAAAGCGTTGGTTCCCAATGGAGTTTTCGTTTCGAAATTGGAGTATACAAATACCTATGCGAAAAAATGGGATTACGTCGCTGGTGACGTCCCATGACTCATTTTTTCTCCCGTTCACCATTGGAAATCGTTCGTCGTTCGGGAATAGAATGTCGCATCTATTCTCGGTATGACAAAAGAATTGGAGAAATGGATCTTGGTAAAACGAGAGTGAATTTTGAAACAATAATAAAGGAGGAGGAGTGGGAGTACTCTCCACTTCGACTTGCGATTACGCTTTAAATAATGCAGTAGCGGGTACGGTATTTCGTGTAATCAATCTAAATTAATTATCAAGTTCTAATTTTATAGGAAGTGTCCCTTTTCCTATCGAAAGGAAGTCGGTACCGACTCCCTCTACTCGTACGGCAGTTCAGTACGTGACCTTGAATCAAACCTGTCGTCAAACTTCAAAATTCTCTGAACGTAAGCGCTTTGCATTTTACTATTATACCCTTTAATTCTTTTTACACGATTACGTATTTTCATTCTTGTAGCGTCGTGAAATTATCATAAAATCGATCAGTAATTAAAGTGTTTTTAGTCTTGTGATGAACATGGAAAGTGTCGGTGCGTACGGGGGCGGCAAAGCAGGGGGTACCTTCGATCCCATCGCCTTCGCCAAAAGGCCCCAGGTTATACTGAGGGCCGTCTCTTGGGTGAGTGTTAATTTTGTATTTTTGATTTGTTAGGTAATTGTAAACGATCGATTTTACGTTGGGGGTGGGGGGTGTGTCGAGATAAGAGGGTTTATTGATTATTTTGAATTTGGTTTTGGAAATGGGGTCATCTCTCAATGAAACTTCATTTTGAGGTCTTGGGCGATTTTTCATTTCGATTTACTCCGAGATTTGCAAAAAAATCACAGTTAGGTTAGGTCGCGGTCATTTAATTTATCCTTGAGCCTAACTTACATAATATTTTGAACTCATTCCGTTTATTTATAGTCTCCAGTTCGATAAAGGCAATAAACCCTCTTGTTGCGTAACCGAAGCGGTAGTTCAAAACGCTCATGTTTTAGCTCTTTGCCGTGATCGTATTTGGCTGCATTTCGTCGCAAGGATGGATGTCCGATCCGGTGTCACAAAAGGAGGAGTGTTTATATAACAAAGACAGTAACGCGTGTAATTATGGAGTCGGTATATCCGTCATCGCGTTCTTAGCTAGCATGGGTTTCCTAGCTGGCGAATATCTTTTTGAACAAATGTCCTCCGTCAAGACGCGCAAACATTACGTCCTCGCCGATCTCGGATTTTCTGGTTTGATTCGATGCTTAAGACAGAGTTTTTATGTTCGTTGACCTACTGGGCGAGTGCAAATTTGGGATGTTCTTTAAGATGACCAACCGATCCAACTTGGACGGTACTGGTTTAAATTTTTTATGCATTATCCTGATTTTATGCTAGAAAAGGTTTTGTTATTTTGTTTACATTATGCAGTTCAATGAAACAGACTGATGAGTTAAAATGTAAGTGCATTATTTGGAACACACTGTATAAAATTGACACCACTGACATCCTTTTGTGAGCATTATCTGAAACCATTTGTTATACACAGGATTGTAATGTACAGGGTCCTGCAACAGTGGGTCAGTCTTTCCTAGCTCATATCTGGTAAAAAATATAAAAACAACTTTTGTGCAAATGTCAACTATATAGATGGCTGTTCATCTATAGAAATTATTTTTTAATGTACAGGGTGTCCCATTTTTATGGTGTAAATATCTGATTTTTAAACAGAACACCCTGTATATTTTTGCTGTTTTTGTTACATCTACATTGAAATCTATTCACGTTTTGATTTTTTTGCCAATCCTGCCATCATATTAATTAAGCAAGCCTCACCTTAATGAATCGTAGCGATCTTGTTTTTTGAAGTTAAGAAATACCTCAAGAAATACATTTGATCAATAATGTTCATCTGAATAAAGGCTTTGATCATGAGAAAGTTGGATTTAGTGATACAGAGTGTTCACAATAAAATTTCAAAGTGCCATACTTACCTTTTTCATCTTTTTTTTTTAAATTCACCTTTTTAATTAAGTAATTTTATTTTAGGGTGAAATAGGGAGTACACTTGCAGCAAATAATTAATTTGTGACACTCTTTTGTTTTTTATTATCATGACATACTCCGATGCATAAACATTTAATTAATTAATGGGCAGGTATTTTTGTGAAAGATATTAAATAACCTAAAAACTACAAGATTTAGACACAGGGCATCCTTTATAAAAGTTGAAGAGAACACAACAGACAATCGAATAGCGAAGTAATTTAGTGATGGTTCCAATTGAAAAAAAATAATTAGAAATTCTGAAATATCATTGTGAGCACCCTATATTAATTTTTTCTGGCGTGATATGGAAATTCTGATTCTCCCCAAAAAAAAAGGGCCCATAGAAGGTGCTAAGGGGAACCGTCCACTTCCAGCCATTTAAGCTAGGGAAAATGAAAACCCAATTTGACATTTTCAGTGTTTCTGTGATATCTTGGTTATTTTCAAAGATTACTCAAAAATTTTAAATGCGTTTTTTTAGACTGAAAAAGGGACGTGATTGCCCCATTTAACCAGATCTCATCAATACGAAGATCCCAATGTCACGAATTTCAACCACCCTGTACAACTATCAATAATAAATTTAAATAAATAAAATTGTAAACTCAGTAATTTTCTTTGCAATTTCAGTAATTTTTTGGTAATTCCGCTAAAGAAATGAATGTAAAACATTCTTGCAAATTTATGTAAAGGTATAGAGTGTGACACCTTAGTATTTTTTTTTGTTCTCTATCTCATTCTATAAAAATTCAACATGGCGCCTATACGAAATAAGAAAGTAGAAGCCTGTAGCTTCTACATCTAGCGTGCTATGGAAAGGTTCAGATTCTTTGTTTATATTAGTCTGTACTAGTGTTCTTTTAGGAGGGGTGGAAGATCCTATCCTTTTATACACCTTTTCGATACTAATTTCGCTTTTCCGAAAAAAGTGCCCATGTAAGGTGCTGACGGGAGCACGTCTTTGAATAGGTTTTCGGATATGCCCTATCCGATTTTGACAAATTTCTTTCAAAACTCCTACCGGTTTGCGCATGCGCACATCTGATTTTTACAATATGCGATATATGGTATTCAAAAAAAATTTAAAAAAAGGTTCAATGATTCAAAAAAATTAAAAGGAATTTTAAAAACATTTTCGAATTTTTTAAAAAGCTTTTTGGAAATTGTCTATATCAATATTGACTGTTTTTAGTTTTAAAATGAGAATAAAATATACAGGGCGTTTCATTTAAAAAAGTGAGGTTAGGTCCCATAACTCTTGTGCCTGACCCCGTATATTTATTTTGACAACAGAAGATTAATCACCTTCTTTGGGGGCCTGCAGAAATGCTTCTCGCTAAGTTTGTAGTAATTAACTTCCAATATTTTTTGAAATGATTTCTAAGAAGAGCTCTTTACACATTACTGCATTTCTTAAATTCCATAGATGTTTTTCAAGATAATTTATAAATCATAAGGTTCTGAGAGCTTAAGTCTGTTTGTACACTATCAGACAGGGTGTTATAGTTCTATCGTACATTTTACAATGTAAACCTTTCATTTATAACCGAGTTTATAACATATGCCAACACATTATACAATTTTCAAAGCGAACTATCAAATAACGATCGCAAATACGCCTATACCAAAACGTTTCTAAACAAATCAGAAAATAAAATTCTCATTGTACAGGGTGGCCAACTAAGAATGCGAGATACTGTATCTGAGAACCTATCCATCTTAGAGGCTTGTGGTAAAAAAGTGATGTTTTTGTGAATTCCGCTATATTAACCTAACAAAAAAAATGTCCGGTCTTTGAAGTTGACGATAATCTCAACCTTTTTTGTTTGACAATTTTTGCTGTATCTCTAAAAATGAAGTGGTGGGGGGTACTCTAAGGTTTTCGTAAAGAACACCCTGTATCTTCGAAACGGCTGAGCCGATTTTAAAGGACTCAGGTTAATTGAAAACAGTGATTCTTCGCCTACAAATATTTGAAGTTTTGTTAGTGTCACATATCACCGCTTGAGGGCTTTTTTCGACATTCCGACAGATGTGGTTAATTTCTCAAAAAATTAAATGCATTGGCTCGATTTTTTTCTCATGAAAAAGTAGCTAAATGATGCCTAAACAAGTTCGTGAAAACTGCATCTCGATATCTTGAAAATTTGAGGGTATAAAATTTTCTTTGGCCTAAATTTTAGGTTAGGAACAAGATATCGAGATGCGGTTTTCGCGAGCTTGTTTAGGCATCATTTAGCTATCTTTTTCATGAAAAAAAATCAAACCAACGCATTTAATTTTTTTGAGAAAATTAACCATTTCTGTCGGAATGTCGAAAAAAGCCCTCAAGCGGCGATATGTGAAAGTAACAAAACTTCAAATATTATAATATTTGTAGCCGAAGAATCACTCTTTTCAATTAATCCGAGTTTGTTCAAATCGGCTCAGGCGTTTCGAAGTTACAGGGTGTTCTTTACGGAAACCTTTGAATACCCCCCACCACTTCATTTTTAGAGATACAGCAATAATTGTCAAACAAAAAAGGTTCAGATTATCGCCGACTTCAAAGACCGGGCATTTTTTTGTTTGGTTAAAGCGGAATTCACAGAAACATCACTTTTTTAGCTTCCCGATTGCAGTTACCCCCCTAGCGCCCTAGCGGCCATTTCAGGAACTGTTTGTGTGTTTGTTAAAATCATACCCAAAAAACATAGGTATTTTTCTGCATCATGTGGCTACGAGTGTGGCTATTTTCGAAAAGCGTTAAAGACACCCAAACGTTGGGACTTTTGCTTACAGAGCTTCTAAGCGAAATATTTTAGACCCATGGTTTCGAGCATGGTTTACAGGAAGAATGTATACTTTTTGTATTTTGTTTTAAACGGTATAAATATTAATATACTTTTGTACGTGCGTTTGTATTTCGACTTTCATTTTGTATAGGGTGTTCAATCAATACAATACAATTTCGTTTGCTTATTTTTAAAGATTTTTACTATCTGCGCTGACAATACAAGTTGACTTTCATTAGATATGCTCCTAAACCAAAAAAATGAAAAAAAAGATTGTCGCTTCAAGTCCTTCTGGTACATTCTTGAGGCGCAGTCATGTCGATAAAGGATTATTCACCAGCGATAAGGAATGAAAGCGAATGTGACTCATTCTTTCTCTGAGATATGATATGCCTTCTAGATTTTTCGAGAAGGTTTATTGTTTGCTGTATAAGCAAATGAATTGTGTTTAGCCTCAGTCTTAACATCAATTCTGAAGTGATCAATACTGAAATTCGCGCTCGTGTAAATTTACATGAGAGTACAAATAAGTGATAATTAACTGGTATAAATCAATCTACAATATTTAAGGACGGTTTTAATTTAGTGTCTCTAATGAACATTAATAACATTGAGAAGATGAAATCAAACTGCCAAATTTGCTCTTGTCCAGCCCTGGGTCCACGAACCTAAAAAGTCTGTCTTTAAATGTAACTATAATTAACGCATATTTCTAGGATTTTGGGCTTTTTTATATTTCGTGGGTTTCTGGTACCTCGCGAGCCAGTGGGGTAAGAGCGACACTCCGAAGAACGGGTACGGTGTCAATAACGTGCAGGCGGCCATTGCGTTCTCATTTTTTGCGATATTTTCTTGGGTAAGTCTTTTGCGCAAAAAGTCGATTAATAAATGATGTCGTTGTTTTTAAGGCCGGATCCGCATTCTTCGCGTATAAGCGTTTTCGGCAGGGCTCCGACGCCGCGTTCGCACCTAGTTACGAAGCCGATACATCGCTACCTAGCGCTTATCCGTCATATCCCGGTGGTCCCGATACGGATCAACATTATCAAGAGCCACCTTTTACAGCAGGTGGGAACCAAAGAGGTCTGTATTAGAAGTCACAAAGGAGACAGGTTTGTAATATTACAATGCAGCTCAGATAAGCTGACAGAGAATGAAAGATAAGGGTAATTGGATGCCAATGTAGGGCAATGACATGCAGTTTAGCTAATCAAAGCTAGCAATTATTGTTTAAACCCATCATTTTCTTTGCATGTTTCACAATATCATTTGTTTTTGCAAGTCATGTTGAAATGTCATCATAAATAAATTCTTTATGTGAAGTTCCTAGATGCACATTGTCTGAGGGGAGGAAAAATGGCAAAATTAGGTTAACTATCTGCTCCATAAGGACATACATTACCTTTCACTTTGTAGAATTTGGTACGCAACCCTGTCAGGTAAGTGTACCTACTGAAAGAAATCAAATTTTTATAAATGTTACTGAGACAAACGACAAGACTGAAGACTGCACCAAAAAAGAGGCGGAGTTATAATTTGGCGGATAGCTTTTGGATGATAATTTCATGCCTGGGCCTATTCACTTATTTGCCAACTTCACGCCAATGCAAGAAAATGACAGGAAATAGAAACTGAAGAAAATCTTCCTTCGTTCCCAGAAGTGGATGGATCACTCAGTCCCCTTCCTGCACGAACTTATAAATTAAGATGGACTGCTAATGCTGAATTGACAAGTGACACCTGCATGCACATCATAGGGCCATTTCTACCTCTATGCAACTGTTTGATCAGCAGTCCATCTTAATTTATAAGTTCATCTTTCCTGTCACTTCCATTATAAAAGAATTCAAAAATTCATATCTCGAAAACTGTTTATTTTGACAGCCATAAAATGCAGCGTGGCCAATCCTTAGGATTGATCAGCAGGACATTCTTGTTTCTTCCATAGGAAATTACAACGCGGAATGTATACGAAAAAGGGGTTGTTAACATGGAAAATTCTTGTCTGTGACAGGAAATTACCCACATGACATTTCTTGAGGGTTAGAGGAAAATCTTGAGATATTAAGAGGAAATTTTGACTTATGTGAAATTGACCCCGCCCACATGAAATAATTTGAAAAAAATGTGCCCACAGTTAGTGCTCGAAGCTTATTGCTAGTGCTCTTACATAACATGAGAAAAATAAAAAAACAGGGGCGGGGCCAACTTCACACTCAATTTTTACTTATAGAAATAATGCACGCAGATGGTGTTAGTGCTGTTAAATGTCAGATAAACAGTATCTCAAATTCTTTCGCCGCTCATAAAAAAGTCAAGTGTGAAGTTAGTCCTACCCATACATTTTTAACTAGGTGAAACCGCATTTGATTATTAGTGCTGTTTTGCGCTCGAAAAGTGCGATTCCAGCATTTCATCTTTTTAAGAAAAACGAAAAAAACTTAAATATTGTGTGAAGTTGGCCCCACCTACGATTCGTATTTTAAAAAATTCACATACGATCGTTAGTGTAGTGTTAGTAACCGAATATAGCGAAAAGTTGAATAAATAGGGAGGAAATGTTCAATATATTTCAGAAAATACAGATTATTGATTCAGTTGTGCGTTATTTAAACAATAAAACCAAAAAGCTGAAAGAGTTTTTTTTTGTTTTCAGTTCAATCGAAATTGTGGTAGTTTACATTTACATTGCGACATGTCAAATTAGACAACTTTTTGTTACTGTATGCATTATTTTATCGCTGATAAAAAATCTGTTAGTTTCATAACTAACAATTATAGAAGCATAAGTTTCACTGCGATATTCTCGCCAAAAGTTGTATGATCTCAAAAATGCCATCGGGTTTACCAAGAAAAAGTAAGCAACTTATTTCAAATGTTGTTCGTTATTTTGAACGAGAAAAGGATAATGCTGGCTTAGCAATATAAGAATTCGTACACATAATCCACAATGCAGCATTGTCCGTAGAGGCTGCTTTGCACACGTGTTCTCTTCCATTGACTCCCAAGATGCTATGTAGACATAGTTAGTGATGACGTCATAATACAGAATACATCGATGACGTGCGTGCATAATTCGAGTAATAGTATACACTTACAACGGTATGTTCTTGCGCATCTAGTGTCACGTCAAGTGTGAAGAAAAATTACAGAGTATAGAGCGGGTATGTCTGGGATTTCTAACGAGAAATATTCGCCCTAAACATGATGGAATATTATGTAATTAATGCGAATGCGAATTGAATACAAATAATATCTAATTATTGTTATTTCTGAAATGGTCTTTTTATATGGAATAACGCCGTTAAAATTTGGGGTTATGTTTACCTTATTTGGTACTATGTGAATGTGGTGCGATTAATTAATTGCTAGCTCGCAGAATAACACAAAAGTTGAGGATCTGCATTTTAAGTAGGTCTATTAATGCATTGTTTTAGGCGTAATGATAATAGTCAACTCAGCTGTAGGTGTTCCCGGCTTCCCGAACTTCAGAGGAGTAAATTTGTTTCAGTTATTTTGGCTCTATGATGTCGTTGCAGTGCGTTTGTGTTATGATCACAAAAGACTATCCGTGCAATATTGGTAGTAGGATTTTCCTTAATTTGCGTCACGTCATCGGTGTATTATGACGTCATCATTAAGTATGTTTACATAGCATTATGCGAGCAGTGGAAGAGAATACGTATTTACTAAATACCTAAATTACCAATTACTAAAAAATTGTTTTGGTAGTTATTTGTAACATTATTTGGACGTAAAATTTTTTTTTAAATTCATTTTAATTGTTTTTTCTTAATAACAAAGCCTGCAGTACTTAGCAGTAGCAGTCGAGAAGCGAGTGCAAAATCAACTTACCCCATACTCACGCGCAGAGCCACTATTACTTTCTTGTCAAGACGGCCGTTTCGCGGCACTTTCGAATCTGTTAAAACTGGCGGTTCTTTTTGTACACGGACGGGAAAGGAAATGGAATCAAAACTCATAATTTTGTTCATAGGAAAAGACGAGAACATAAAATATATTACGCACATGCGCTGTCAGGGAAACCTTCTTCGGGACAAAAACCCTGACATAGCCAACATAAATACCCGAAATAAATGAACAAAAGCAAAAGAAAATCCACAAAACATTTCCAATTGTGTAACAATAAAAATCAGGTCAGGAATTTCAAGAGTCTAGGAACGTCATAGGAACATCAACGTGCATAGTTCCAAGTGGTTGTTGAATGTCATAAAGGCGATCAACTTTCGCCTCCTCTTTTCGGCCGAACCACAGCCATTTTACCAAAGGCGCGTTCCTCTCAGATCTCTCCATGAATTTTAAAACAACGCAGGCGTCGTTTACCAGCCATGTTGTTGACTTCAAATCTTGAGGTTGATATCTGAATGATCGGAAAACATTAGTCTGAGTCATCAGTTACAAAAATAGCATCTTCATCTGAATCATCTCCCTATTCACTTCTCTGTGCTACCAATTTAAAATAATCTTGTGTGTTTCCACGTATCAGGTGTAACTGCATAAATGGCTTGTTGCCAAATATCTAAACAATATTCTTTGCCATAACCTTTCTCGCGAATGTGTCCGTTATAATGTTGTTTGCAAGTTTCACATATATTTTCGATTGTATTGAAAACGCAATGGGCGTAAGATGTTGTTATAAAATACAAACGTAAACTGCTTATAAATTGTACACAAATATTAATTTAATATAATCTTTGCACACTTGACATTAACGCCTATCTACATTCAATCATTTAACGTGTGTTTTAACTTGCTGTGTTGGATCATGTCGTAGATGGAGTTCCGAATTGCTGCTTGTGTGAAACCGTCAACATCGCTAACTGGTTTCTTACATTGAATGCTTTGTTTTTTAAGGACTTTCTAGAGGTTTACCCGAATTATAAATTTATGACATAGAAGCCACTGTTCGCAGGCTAATAGTGAATGCATCCGCAATTCTCTGTGAATTGAAACATGTTACGTATACGAATTCTTATATTATTAAAATAACCACTAACCTCTTTTACTTCGGCGACTGGTCAAAGTAGACCACCATTATCTCATTCTTTTTCAAAATAACGAATAAGAATAAGTTACTTACTTTTTCTTGGTAAACCCGATGGCATTTTTGGGCTATACAACTTTTGGCGCAGAATATCGCAGTGAGACTTACTTACAGAAGTTATGCTTCTATAATTGTCCGTAATGTAGCAAAAAAATATAATATCATGAAACAGCTGTCAAATTTGACGTGTGACATAAATTACCACAATTTAATTTCGATTGACAGCTAACCTGAAAACAAAAGACAACCCTTTTGACTATTTGGTTTTATTTCTAACAGAGCGCACAACGCACTGCCTCAAGAACCTACCTATATTTTGTGAATATATTGATCAGTTTAACATAAACATGTAATTCCAACGTTTATTGTAGTTTTGAAACATTTTTTTTTGCATTACAATATTCCCCAAACACAGAATTGGTGATGTGGGCGCAAACTGAGGAAAATCTTCTTTATCTCACCTCCGTTTAGGAGTGCGTTATTTTGGAAAATTCAAAATCATTGGTATCCAATACCCAACATTATCATCATCCATGATAAGGTTGAATCTGTTAAAAAATGAAGCTTGAAACCCTCAGTGTAACTTTAGGATATTAGCAAAACTGTATTAATTAACAAAATGCTTTGCTTTGTTTCAGCTCCCGGCGACTTTTCCGCACCCGCATACTAAATATACGTTATAAAAATGTTGGAAGATAGCTGCCATAAAATGTCTAGGTACATCGTATCTCTCAAATATAACTTACATATATTTGGTCGTCAGTACTTAGGAAAGTATTCTGTATTCCGGAGATTTTTTTACCTAATATTGATCTTTACGCATATATTTTGTTGATACTTTAGATATTTATTTTGCCATAAATATGATAATGTAGTGATATTAATGTACAGACGTAGACGTAATTATTCTCAGAGAGGGCTTTTTAGTTGGAACTGTTTTGTTTTGTGATAATTTTTATTTTAGTATCATTTTTAGATTGGACGTATTTCTTGGATGTGGTTAGACAAATACACTTTTACTTACGTACGTTAATGTGTAGATATATTAAGAAGTGTTTACGATTGCGCGTTGGAAAACACGACAGCTGTGTTGGGTACATTGATGTTGATTACAAATTCTTTTTTGTATAGCGTCGAGAGGCTTTCTTTATGATGTAGAATGGTTGCATTCCACTCTCTTTATCTGCTGGTATTTTGAATCAAGTCAAATGACGTACCAGGAGTTGGAGATGTTGTCATGTTTAATAATTCTTTGTGTTCGCTTTCAATATAGAATTCGTAGGAGCTTCACCATCTACATTTAAATAAAAATGTTTTTGAGAGTCGCGCTTGAATTGTTTGTTATGCAGTATGTGAAAATATCAATAGCGATAACAGTTTATTACATAAGAAACCAGTGTCTGTATTAAATGTGTTGTCTAATGATCTACTCTACATTTTGTGGTCTTTTTTTAAAAACGAATGGACAGTTTTATCATTTAGCAATAAATTAGAACTTTAAGTAATTACGCATCGTGTATAATTCGTTTAAAGCACTGCAAAAACTAGACTACTGAGTTGAGGTTACCTGTTTATTAAATTCCTGTACTTTTTCGTTAGTGAGACTAGCAATAGACGCTCTTTACTTCTTATTATTTTCGATTAAATAGATGTATTTGTAAAAATGTACAGATGTATGTATGCTTTAATAATAGTCAAATGTACAAATTTAATTTCTCTACCGCATTGACTAGAATTAGTTGGTATTTGGTGTTGAGATTTGAATATTTTTCAAATTTGCTCTTAAGTTACAAGTATATTAAGTGAGTTGAACACAATATGTACATAATGTGTTATTGTGATGTTTTAAAAGTCAGATTTAAAGAACCCTGTGTGTATAATAAGTTACCAATAAATGTTACAAAAACTAAGTGTTTCATTTAAGCATTTGTTTACATAAGATAAAAATTGTTTATTTCCATACATTGTTTTGGTATATATCTAAACGCGAAACATCTCGTATATATTGTTGTGTAAAGACGTTATTTTGGCCTAAACGATTTTACGAACACAAAAGTTGGTTTATTTTACTTGAATTTGTTTTTCCTTTTTGAAATTCGATTAGATGTGTAATTTTTTTTCGCTTTTGTAAATTATTCAATTTAGATTAGGTATAACATCTGGTCGAATTTTGTAAAAAAAAAAGGGTGCATCTGGTCGTTGCGATAAGGTGTTTTATTGTTATACGAAATTTAATTAACGCGCGTGTTCTTTCGTTGATTAGAGGAGAGTGGCAAATGTAAGTACGGCAGACTATAGTAATTTAACAGCAATGGCTGCGTCGTCAACACGTTTCATTTTACTTCTAGAAAACAGTTTATTTTATTTGAAACTGAGGTTATTAAAGAAACTCACAAAGAGACGTGAAAGTAGAAAAACCACTCGTACGAGTTAGTTTACGGTGGATTTCATCATCTGCACCTTGAGTCACGAGCAGATGAAGGTGCCGTACCATTTTTTGGTCAACAAGCATCTACTGATCCTTGTACCGTGAATTTATTTTATTGCACAAAATATTTCTCCTTTCAAGTTCACAAATCACGGACGAGAACTGCTGTGAAATAAGACACGTTTTAAATGAAAAACAATGCGTGGATCCAACCGCGGGCAAATTTAATGGGCCACGTGTTTGGACTATATTCATTTGATTCTCGTTATTTTGTAAACGTTCCACGCATCGCACCACCCGTGTTCAGCTAGGACACGCGTTGCATGTGACGGAAGTGGTCCCGTATGGCGCGTTCCTTCGTGGTTGGTGATTTATTTCAAAATTTATAAAGGAGTTCATTTTATGGTGGAAGTGGTGTTTGCTTGAATACTGGAGATAACGAGAAGACGCTTTTTTTTCGCGACGGTTTGAGAGTTTGCTTTACGCTAAATTTTTTCAGGCAGTCAGCCTGTATATGTGAAAACGCATTTCGTCAGTATTGTAAGATATTAAGATTCTTTTAATTTATCTGCCGAACGCCTACGTGCGCGGTATGTGTAAAAACAAGCTCTGAATGCATTTCTTTAAAGTTATGTGTGTTCACAGATCCAGGTTTTCTTCTGTTGGCAGACATGTGATCCAAGGTAGACTGGAGTAAACGTATATATTCTTTGGCTGGAGACGGAAATTGGTGGAAAATCCAGACGCGGTTTTATTCAAGACCGGTCCCGCTATAGGGGCGTTAAAGAGGTCGAAAAGGCAAATACCAGGACACTAAAAAGGGATTCGTGCGCTTGGGCTCCCATAGGTGATTTGATTATAAACAAAATAAACTATGGCGAAGTAGTTGCTAAAGATTTAACAGTGGTGGGGTGTGCAAGGGTCTTTTAGAGACGATGAGGCCGAAATTAGGGGTAACCATAAAGTCAATGGATGAAACAGAGATGATTCACCCTAGTCCTAGAAAAGTCAATGGTCGCGGAAGATACAAGCAAACTGAAGAAGACGTGAAAGACAAAAGATCCTACGTTTAAGTTAAAACACCAAAGCATTAAATAAAAAATTAAGTTTTATTCAACAAGTACCTATTTTGGGTGGAATATAATGGTAGTGAATCAGTATTTTATCTAGGTCTACGTTTTCGCAAACATCGTTGGCCGCCATGGGCGTAGAGGAGCTAGTCCATTGGAATGCTAGTCTACAGGAGAGCCCCAGCTATGCCGAACTCGTCTTCGGCTCGCTCAGCATTGGTGTGCAAAAAAGTGCAGTGTGTCTTTGGCCTTTAGTAAACGTCGTGTGCCACCGTGGACGTAGAGAGGCGAATCTAAGGGAGGGCCCGAGCTATGCCGAACTCGCCTTCGACTCGCTCGGCATTGGTGTGCAAAAAAGTGGAGTGTGTGTTTGGCAGTTGGTAAACGTCGTTTGCCACCGGTGGACGTAGAGAGGCGAATCTAAGGGAGGGCCCGAGCTATGCCGAACTCGCCTTCGACTCGCTCGGCATTGGTGTGCAAAAAAGTGGAGTGTGTGTTTGGCAGTTGGTAAACGTCGTTTGCCACCGGTGGACGTAGAGAGGCGAATCTAAGGGAGGGCCCGAGCTATGCCGAACTCGCCTTCGACTCGCTCGGCATTGGTGTGCAAAAAAGTGGAGTGTGTGTTTGGCAGTTGGTAAACGTCGTTTGCCACCGGTGGACGTAGAGAGGCAAGTCTAAGGGAGGGCCCGAGCTATGCCGAACTCGCCTCCGGCTCGCTCGGCATTGGTGTGCAAAAAAGTGCAGTGTGTCTTTGGCCTTTAGTAAACGTCGTGTGCCACCGTGGACGTAGAGAGGCGAATCTAAGGGAGGGCCCGAGCTATGCCGAACTCGCCTTCGACTCGCTCGGCATTGGTGTGCAAAAAAGTGGAGTGTGTGTTTGGCAGTTGGTAAACGTCGTTTGCCACCGGTGGACGTAGAGAGGCGAATCTAAGGGAGAGCCCGAGCTATGCCGAACTCGCCTTCGACTCGCTCGGAATTGGTGTGCAAAAAAGTGTAGTGTGTGTTTGGAAGTTGGTAAACGTCGTTTGCCACTGTGGACGTAGAGAGACGAATCTAAGAGAGGGCTCGAGCTATGACGAACTCGCCTTCGGCTCGCTCGGCATTGGTGTGCAAAAAAGTGGAGTGTGTGTGTTTGGCAGTTGGTAAACGACGTTTGCCACCGGTGGACGTAGAGAGGCAAGTCTAAGGGAGGGCCCGAGCTATGCCGAACTCGCCTTCGACTCGCTCGGCATTGGTGTGCAAAAAAGTGGAGTGTGTGTTTGGCAGTTGGTAAACGTCGTTTGCCACCGGTGGACGTAGAGAGGCAAGTCTAAGGGAGGGCCCGAGCTATGCCGAACTCGCCTCCGGCTCGCTCGGCATTGGTGTGCAAAAAAGTGCAGTGTGTCTTTGGCCTTTAGTAAACGTCGTGTGCCACCGTGGACGTAGAGAGGCGAATCTAAGGCCCGAGGGCCCGAGCTATGCCGAACTCGCCTTCGACTCGCTCGGAATTGGTGTGCAAAAAGTGTAGTGTGTGTTTTAGGTACTTAGCTCGTTTGCTTCTATATACTTGGCGTTAAAAAGCATCCTGGATGATTTTTACCAATCGCAAAGCTCAAAGTTAATGCTCCGACCTAGGACACCCCTTTGTTTATCTTGAACTCGTCCATCAGTTTGACGTGTAGTTTTTTTTTAAATGGCGGAAAATTCTCATTTTATGGTAATTAAGGAAAATACGTCTTTTCGTGGCGACAAAAGGCTTCCAACACATGCGGATGCAAATTTTAGAAAGTTTAAGACTCCTCACGGACGGCCCGCGCCGTATTTAACTCAAAATCGCCAAAAAAACGCTTCACTGATGACGTCATCGGTGCATGTTTTTAGGGGCTTATTTTGCTAATTTAAGGGTGGAGGAGTGTAATAATCAAATTTTGACCGTATATGAATGTCACCTCAACATTTCACGGGCTACTTGATTTCGTTGAGAAACTTGAGTTAGGTACCTCAAAACCAGCCGTGACCTTGCGGTTTTACCATTATATTGAATTATTCAATGACCAAAGGCAAAAAGATCCCCTCTAAACAAGACGTCCTCTTTTATAAGTCGACAAGATCGCTCCTTTTGAGACCACTCACGACTTAATCACCGGATGCTGTTCTCTGCGTCGCATTTAATCGCTACCGCTAATTACACTTAGGTACTTCAATAGGCGACATGAAATTCCAACATTCGGCAATCGACGTACACCTACAGGTACACCTATTGTTAATTGCACTGTTTGGGTCAACCTGTGATAGAAAGCTCATATAAACACGTAGACTGTATACGGCCTCGACTGATTTTAATGCTCGTTTTAAATTAACATATGAAACCAAAATCGTCAACAGGACTGAAATTGTGAAATATTAATTCGCCCTCATCTTCTAAATCACGAGCTTTTGGACACAACAGAGACAATTGAAATATCTTGACGGGAACGGTTACAAACGGAATTAATTACAATTTTTGTTTACAAACACAGCTGTCTAGAAATAAAATCAATTACCTTTAATTTCTATCTTCAACTCCTAGAACTAACACAAATACTTTCGGTACCACACTTTTCGTAACGAAACGCCCAACTTCAAACGCTTCTAGAATCTAGATACCGGGTGATCATCTACAGAGTGATGACTAAAACCACAGATTAATAAAACTCAATCTGTAAAACGGGCTTCGTTACAAGCTAGCGGCGCGGCAGCATCAGGTGCTTGTGAGTGGTCTAGTGACTGCTTACCATTGCATATAGCAAGTATTTCCAAGATGGTGAGACCAATCAACTTTTGTATCTGGCAGTTTTTCAACATGAAAATAACAAATCGAAGTTAGTTGTTTAAAAATTCAAAAAGATGTTCCTACAAAGATCGTCAGAATTTGATGAAATTTGGAGGCTACATCCTTCATGCATTTAAGATCAACAGTTTCCTTCCTGTGCGACATCTCGTATGACAATCAAAGTTTTGCAGTTGGAAATAATGGCACACAAAACAAATGTGGCACCAAACTTAGCCAAAAGCACATAATCATGGGTTAACTCACAAAATACATCAAAACCTTTAAAAAGAAGAAATATGAGCAATTCACAATGCTCGTTAATGAAATTGGTACTATTTGGTATAAAAGCATCTAAATAAGTCTATTTGTCCTTGATCAGCTGCATTTGACACTGGTTGATTCTAAAAGGACATATCAGTACTACTTTAGGAGTAAATAGTGACCTTCGTTCCCCGACTCCCCTGACTTAACAGTGAATCGGCTAGAAAAGGTGGATCAAAAACAAGGAGGGGGTACTGTAGCGGACCAAACAAATAAAATCACTTGAATTGATGTTTATTTGCGTTTAATAGAACATTAGGATCTTATTTTATGGAGTATAAGTTAACAACGTAAAGCAAAATGAGATGGGACATTACATTTGTTTCTTTACCTTCTAAAACCGATCACTGTGAAACAATAAACTATAAACATATCGAGGATTAGAACAAAATAAAATGATAATCCTGCCATAAGCTGTGTCAACATTCCCTCATTCAAATAAAAAAAAAGGTAACAAACAGCAAATGTGTCGCCATATAAAATATAATTATTAATAAAAACAGTCATAAATATTTCCTATAATCAATTCATCATAGAAAAATATACAATATACTTTTATTAGTTTTTATTTTTATTCCAAACATTATTACTCGTAACAGATTGACTCGACGAACTGAAGTGATTTTCCAATGTATGATTTGACAAATGGTCCCGTAGGTCGTGTTTCAGGACCACCTGTTGACATGTACCACATACTTCTAACCCTTTTCCCTTTGCGTTGTTACCCTTATGCACTTTATAAAGCTCCTGCTGTTTTTGTACATTCGGCAGAAGCACCAACAGTTCGGGAAAAATTTTGCTAAATTCACTACCCATAAAGTTTTGACAATGTACATAGTATTTGTCGGCGGGGATCTCGCCGACGCGAAACATATCCGAATACACCTTAAACTGTTGTATCTCGGCACCTTCCTTTGACACGGCCAGAAATTTCTCGATCAAATCCTGGTTGCGCGCCGTAAAGTTCGGAGGTAGGTAAAACTGTTGACTCGGCACGATCGAGTACGACTGTCCGCTGCTGTTGGTGAACGTCAAATCGTTAGAGTTGTTGGATAGATTAAATTTGCTGAAGCCCGGAGGCGGCTTCACGCTGAAACCGGGCGGTGGTTTTCTTATCGAGGGGAATTCGTGGATGTACTGTTCAAACGTGGCAGGCTCGCTGATCTCCAATGAAGCGATATTTAATTCCGAACGCTTCTTCGGGATTCCATTTTCTCGAGCGCTTTTAGATTGAACAGGGGGCTCCTCGACGGGCTGAGAGGTCGTCTTATTTTTCTTCTTTTTGGTTTTGGACTCTTGCGAATTTGCGTCCTCGGATTTTGAGGTGCTCACCTCTGACTTGGGCGTTTTTGTGCTGCTGCCGTTTTGCTTCAATAGCTTTCCCACCTTATCTTCAGCTTTTGGCACGGTTTTATTATTGTTGTTGTTCTTCTCGGGTCGTTGTTTCTGGCTGGTTTTTGAATCGCTGTTAAAACTATTCAAATTGACCCAGGAGTTTGACACGGGAATATTGACAGAAGAAGACTTTTTGCCACCACCTTTACTCAAAGTGGGAAAGTCGTTTAAGGTATTTGCGGGCAGTACCGGGGCTGGTGCCACTTTACTGGCTTTCGGTTCTTGCCTTTTCGGTTTCTGGGAAACCCACTGGGCTTGCGGTATCGGTTCGGAGCTCAGCGCTGGAAACGCTTCCGCCACCGAATGCGGGCGCACCGAGTTTTGACTTAAAATCGTGGTCACTGCACCGCCGCCCTTGTGATTTACAACTATCGACACATTCGAAGATTTGGGCTTGGCCGCTTGGCTGTTGCTGTAAAAAGTTAATGTCACAATAAAAGAAAAGCAATACAAATTCATTGTTTACATGCTTTATAGTTGAACAATATTAGGTACAGGAATATTATGTTCTGATGTCGAAAGTCTATTTGGCACAACTAAAGATGGCGCTGTACCGTTACAAACTTTTGAAAGATGTCCCTTTCAATTTACCAGTAGACCCATGGATAATTTTATATGACCATCGCAGTAGCAGAAATGTAATGACTTTATTCAAGCAAAATGCTGATGTTTTGCGTGATAGTATTTCCTTCTCTAAGCGTAAAGAAACGGAAAAACTTGGAAACTTAGGGATTCATGATATTGTGTACAAGGGTATAAAAGTTGTGGCGTAAGATAGAAAGTCCAAAGGAGGTAGCCGAAAAGAAATGGAGGAAGATCGAATGATTTGGAGCTTAAACAATAATGTTAATGACAGAGATGGTTAATTTTAGATCAAGATATAACGTTTTTTTTGTCATTTAAAACTCATTTCAGATACTCTTTACGTCATCTGTATATTTTTTCTGTAAATTCCTGGTAGCTTAGATTATTGGTATAGTTTATTTCGTAGTTCATTATTCTGCCACTAGAGTTCACGCAAAGTATCTTTCTGTACTTCAATAACATTGAACGATTTCCCTTTCTTTGGTTTTTCGCTTGTAGAAAAACGAAACTTGTTGCGTTGTTGACGCCGCCATTTTTTTCTTTTGACGATCAAAAGGGATTTATTGGCCTTTGTGATATTTTCTGTGAAATTTCCTTTTGTGTAGTATTGCTTTGAACACGAGTTTTGCGGATATTTTTACAAGCATTTAAGCCATTGGGTGTGTATTTTAAGATTGCGCAACTTTTTCTTTACATTGGATATTTCCTTTAGGTTTTTTTTTGCTCTTTTCTTCGTGATCCTTGATGGACCTTACGAATATTACGGTTTACATCGATATCCTTTATGAAGTGTCAATGTGGAATTTGGATTTGGCAACTCGTTTTCAAATCAAAATTTTGCTTTTGCCCTTTAACGTCATTTGAATTATTGTTTTTGTTGAGTGTTAATTACGATTTTTAGTAGTTGAGTTACGCGATTTTTAGAACTATGCCTGTGAGAGCGTGGAATTTATTACTCAATGGTGAGAGTATTAGTGTGTCATTGAACTTCAACACGTCACCCGATGGCTTGGAGGAAGTAGCGCAAAATATTGCAGGCGCACGGCGATTACATAAAAATAAAATAAAGTTTTGCGTTTTCAAGTTTTTTTTTGATCTTCGGATTGCATGGAACATCGGATTACAGGGACTCAGATTACCGTCCCTATACTGTATACTCAAAATCTTAAATGTTTTCGCTTTCTTTTGACATCATTTATTATTATGTATATCTGTAATTGTAAGAGATTAAGCAATATACCGGGTGAGTTTTTTACTTTCACCATCGAGATGTCGTACACAGTAAGAGATACAAACAAGGTGAATTAAATGGACAAAGGCAAGCAGAATTTTATGTTAATTAATTTTCCGTTTCAAGGCTTCTTGTAGCTCTACAAATAACGAACTCATGGAAGAATAACAGAAAAACGTCACATCAACTTTATTTCTTATGGACGCCATATTGGACGTTTACGTCACCCGATAGAGAAAAAAGTTACCAAACCAGTGATCCATATATGGTAATCAACCTTGAATGTTTACCTTCAAGTTTACAATGTATTTCTTATGCCAATAATTCCTTGTTGATGGTGACTATGCCAGACAATACACCAATGAATTTGGTTTCAATCACAATCCGCCACAGAATTATTGCCATAAGAAATACATTGTAAATTTCAAGGCAAAAATTCAAGGTTGATTTCCATATGTATCACTAAGAACCACCAGAAAGGTGAGAACTAAGAGTTGATTAAAATTATTATTTGATTGCTTTTTATTTTTTAGGGGAAAAACTACCCCTATTAGAAAAAATCGTATAATTGTAAATTATTATTATTATTATTATTCTTTTATTGTATCTAAAGGATTATAATTTCCTATTACAAGGGCACGGTTGCACTAAACGTGCTAAAACAGTGCGTAATACGTTAACGAAAACAAAACATTAAACAACATAACTTAAGATTTTATCACAGTTTAACCCCTAAATCTTACCTCTAAAATAGTTATAATTAAAACAATGTCATAGAATACTTTGACTCCACTGGTTTGCATGGAAATTTGGATTTAGGTTATTCTTACCCTCCACTTCAAAATGGGACTTGCCGTTTGTTGCTGTTTATTTTTTAGGGGTGGAAATTACCCCTATTAATCATATAATTGTAAATTCGACCAATGTAGGATTATTTAATTATACAGTAACATTAAATTTAGATTTCTTTGCTATTTTTATTTTTTACCATATAATTTCTACCCTTATAAAAACCAGTAGTAATTTTTTTTCTTCATTGATACTATATACATATACAGTAATTTTTTTAATTAAAATTTTACGAATTTATTTTATTTACAAAAAAAAACAACCCTTATTGTTTGAAATATACGTCCTAGATCTCTAGATTTTCAATAACAAATAGAAAACAAGAAAATTTATTTTTATATTAATCAAATTAATTTTTTTTAAACCCTTATTTTTGAAAGGAAAGAGTTGTAGTTGAAAGGGCTGATGAGTGTATGCAAACTTTGAACAGCCATATCTTAACCAATTTTTGTTATACAGAAAAACAAAAAAAAGCAAAATGTTCAGAAAAGCAAAAGCTACATTTTTTTATTCTTGTAAAATTTTTGTATCACTAATACTTTTGAAGTTATTTTGAAAAAAAGGCAATTTTTCAAAATTTCAAAATTTTTTTTACTTCAAAACTACATTTTTTCAAAAATAAGCACTTTGCACCGGTCAAACTTACAGATCATATAAACAATACGTAAATAATGTAAACTGTAAAGCGGTAACGCTTAATTACAATTGGGGTGCTAATTAGGAGGTGATTTCATCGATGTTTTTTTACCAAAAAAAGACCAACTTTATTTTGAGCGTAACTCACATAGTTTTGATGCTAGGAACTTTTCTTAAAAACAAAAAGAAAGGTTTTTTCAAACACTTTGAAAAAGTATTCATTAGTTTTCCCCGAAAAGTGCTTCATTTTTTGGTTATTTTACGTTGAAGTACTTGATATGGAATTTGACGAATGAGAACCTACTTTTCATGAGCTACAACTTTGCTTCTACTGGATCTACAGATTTCATATATAGACCATCTTGTTTGTTTTTTTTATTGCTAAGGATACTTTTTTCGATACATTACTTATGGTTTTTTTTTGTGAAAAATGAACATTTTCACTCGCAAATAACTCGAATACTATTGACTTTGTCAAAAAACTCCATACAACAAAAATTTCTTAGAATTATTCAATTTGTCAATTTCCGGACGTTTTGAACGTATCTCCCCCCCCCTCGAGAAGGGGTGGCATTCACCCCCCCCCCCCCCCCCCAAGTAAAAGCAACTCTGGGCTCAAGTTCACCTTTGAAGTAGAGAATAAGAGGAACCTAAATCCAAATTTTCAAGCAAATCCGTCGAGGCGCGAAAAATTACACGCCAAAACGGTCATTTACTGGCCTAAAAATAAATGAACGCCAGCGCATTTTTGAAATTGACATTTTTTGGATTTTTGGCCATGACTTCGCTATTTACTTTAAATGGGAAAATTAATCAGCATAAAATTTTGCATAACTTTGCCCATTTAAGCAACTTGGACAGTTTACGAGATGCTGATGGTGAAAATGTAAAAAGTCACCCTGTATATTTTTAAAATCAGATTATCCTTTTGTAATCATCCTGTACAATAAACAGATTACGTACACAGGATGGAACAATTAAGAAGAAGAAAAATACGCGTGAAGGAATTTTTATAATGCCCCAAAATGTGCCTTTTTTTAAAATTTCTCTAAGGAACTATAACAGAAGGATAAAACTTGCGGCTATAATGTTCAATGACCTACTAGAGATGAGTTATACTAAAAAAACTGCCTTTGGTCTACATTCGATTTGCGCATGCGACAGTTTTGTTCTTGACTATACAGCGTGTTCGAGATAAGAGGGTCACCTCAATATCTCTTTTATTTGACGAGATACGAAAAATTTGACAAACATAATTTTATATGTGACATTACAATCTATCTGATCGTATATTGAAACTTGCGGTATCACTTCCGGTTTAACCGAAGGTTTTCGTTTAGCGCATTTTCCATGCATTTATCAGTACTTACCAAAAGGACACAGCTATGCGCGCTATGTTTTTCTTTACTAGAAGCATCTATGCTATGTTGACATTTCTAAGAAATGTCTCCATAAACAAGAAAGTGATTGCGCATGCGCACATCTGATTTTTGCAATATGCGATATGTTTGTCTTAACCACAAGCATCTGTGATCAAAATTTCAACCAAATATATTAATAAATAAGAAAGTTGATGTTGCGCGGCTCAGATGCGAGAGCTATAAGCTATCGCATGCAAAAATAACGAACTAACGTATGCACGGACGAAGAAAGTGGTCATAATAGCGCCTTCTAACATGAGTTGGAACTTAAAATGCTTAGTCAAGTTGTAAATGTTTCTTATTAATAGCCTATACCTCATGTCGGATGTGGAAATCTGGAAGGTCCAAAAGAAAAGGAACGTATTTTTTCGCGAGATTTGTTCAACCATAAAGCATTTAAACAATGACAAAACCATACTTGTTAAGGTTCACTTTAATAGTCCCACTCGCCGAACTCGAGCTTTCTCCCAGTGCGGGGTAATTGGCGGAATTTCTGGCTGGAACTGCACCTGGCCCAAATTTTGTGTAGCTCGTGATTGTAACTGCAGATGTTCTGGGAGGAGCCGAGTTAGTGCCGCCTAAAGTGACGTGTTACTCATTTTATAAAAAAAATTTTACCCTTTACTTAAAGAGGGGAAATTTTGTTGACTGAGCGGATTAAGTTTTGAAGTAATGGTAACGTTCGGCCCACCATTGGAATTTGCGTTAGTCGCATCTCCATTTAACGACGGGAAATTCGCAGCGGCGAGGGGATTGTTGAAAGTTCTCGATTCACTGAAACCTCCGCCGGATCCACCCGGCTCCAGGTAGTACGAGTCGTAACCTACGGCGCCTTCTTCCTCGTGCGATCTACGAATGTGACTTATTTAAAGCGGTAAAAAAGGGTAAAATATTTACCTATCAGTGAATTTGTTACCATATTGTCGTCCCCTGCCGCCATCTGGTCGCGGACGAGGCGCTAAGGTGAACTCTAATTCCAAGGTTCTAGCTTGCCGGGTTGCCGATTTGCTCAGATTTTTGCTGTGTACGTTTGCGTAATGCGCTAAAAATAATTCAATTATTATTTTTCCACAATGGGTCATTGTTGAGTAAATAAAAAAAAATATTTTAATTACACACTACTAATTGAAAATTTTAATGCAACACTGACAATAATCTGAGTACCGGTGGTTTTCGAATGTCCGTCCAAAACGGCCGCCCTTGACCAGGAGAAAGGGTTGAAACCTCCTGGTGGCGCTCAAGATTACCGTACCGTACCACATCCACTTATATCATCATGACGTTAGGCGAACTTCTTTTGTTGGAATTAGGTGCTATCTTGTTACCTGCTGGTTCTAATGATGTTCAGTGCACTTAATTCCAAAAGCAACGATGTAGGTTGCCCTTCAATTTTATAACTGCAAATTTGACTGACTCAAAACTGTCTGGTATATTATTCAATTTAAATGAAATCAATAATTTAGCATTTTTATTTACTAATGGTCTAAATTCACTTTACATCAAAGACAAACCATCCATTGCGTAGCGTAATCAGTCTTACTGATAAACATAAAACTAAAATGATGCGTGGTATCACAGCTGTATTATTTAACGAGGTCTTGTGCAATGATTGTTCGCGGAAGCATAGAGGAAATACAATAAGAGTTACAAACAAATAGGATAAACTGGCATTGCTTTTTAAAGGGGTGTACGTGTAACCTCGGGTGTAACTAACCGTAAAAATAAGAAATCGTACGTTCATTAGCGTGCCGATATGCGGTCCCCTCGTTCTGAGATGACGCTATAGTTAGTCGAGGAGCGCCTAGTTACGAAATGCGTTCTCATAAATCTAGTTTAGAAAAACGTACGTAGTTCCTTCACTCTCACACTTTAGACTTTTTCTCTAAAAAGTTTTCATTAAAATTTTTCTCTACATTTTAAGATATAGGTACATACAATTTCAACCGAAATACAGTTCAACAAACGCCCAACGTACCTATTTGGTTTCAGTAATGGAGCAATTTACGACATTCACTGTAATGGTCAATACTCAACTGTAAAACTGCAAGTGTACGATCTAATCTACTACGAAATATGACACTTTCTAGTACAATGTGTAAAAGATAATTCGCTTAATTCGAAGAAATATGACAAAACAAAAGGCGTAAAAATGAGGAAAGAGAGGTTTTAATTTTGATATCTAGAAATTGAAATTATAAAGGCTCTCCGGTGTGAGTTGTTTCTTCAATTCTTCAACACGGAAGACAACTTGCATCTTATTCTTACCAGACCACATATGCTCTACAATCTAACCAGTAACCAGCAATGCAATGAAAGGTAGATTGGCAAAGATTGTACTTTTTTGCGTTTTTTAGCTCTGGCGCTATTGTTTTGCGTGTTCTCCGTCGGTCAGGAATCACTTTTGCCGTGTTGAACTACTTTTACGGGAATGGTCCTAAACTTTTACATACGACAACCAATAGAGTCGATTAGTGGTTACGTTATAATAGCCCGCGAAATTCGAATTGCAGGACTTGTCCGTTTTATTGTCGGAAATATTGATCCCTATCGGGCTTATAGTGACCTTATGCGCATTAAATAAGCATATCGACCCTCTTATATCGAAGCACTGATTAGGTACTTAACTTTAAAACAGAGCAATAATCGTTAAATAAAAACCATTAATTGCGTTATAATTATAAATTAAAGATATGTCTACCATATTTACACTTTACGGTTGGCAATATGGAGTGATCAAGACCTTGTTCTTGTATTTACATTTTACCAATTGGTAGACTTGGTCATTTAAAGTAATCAGTGTTTCGATATAAGAGGGTCGATATGCTTATTTAATGCGCATAAGGTCAGTATAAGCTCGTAAAGAGGACCTATTTAAAAGTGATACCTAATGTATGGGGCGATAGGGGTCAATATCTTCGACAGTGAAACAGCCAAGTCCAGCATTTCGAATTTCCCACTCAAATTTGACGTCACACTAATAGAATCTAATACCATTTTACATGCGCATGCCTTTAGTGGCAAGTAAAACTTTTGAAAAGGGGATAGGTGAGGGGGGGGGGAACCACACGTTTTAAACATTCATATTAAAGGTCTCAACAAAAGGAACTGTTTTCTATGAACTATCGCTCTTTTTTCTCACACTGAAAAAATTAGAAATTACTACAAACGAATTTTTGAATTTTTAAGAAATCTTTTTTTAACCTTTTTGAATCGATATTGAATTTTTTCAGTGTTATATTTAAAAAACAGAATTTAATATGCTATATTTAGATTGAAATATACAGGGTATGCCATTTAAATAAAATTAAGTTAGATCCAATAACTTTTTTACCCGATAGTACTGTATAATTATTTATTTTGAAAACGGCAGATTATTTATCAATAATTTTCAAGAAACATTTTTTTGTTTCTGTTTTTACTAGGAATGTATACGGTCATTCTAAAATTGAAAATTATTTGATTTATCTCCGTATCTCTGAAGCAAAAATGTGCAAATTTTGATTTTACCATTGCAAGTTCGACCCGAAAAGAGCCCATAACACCTATAAAAGTGTCGAAAATGGGACACCCTGTACATGAAACACTATGTAAAATTCCAAAAGGAAAATAAAAATGTATTTTCATTTAAAAAAAAGTTGGTTTTAACTTATTTTTGAGCATGTGCTCTTTTTAAACTTTAAAACTTAATAAGGTAAAATCAAAATTTTCGCTCGGGTAAGAAATACAGGGAAAACCACAAAATTGTTAATTTCAAAATGATTATCGGCCCGTATTATAAAGCCATACAGCATACTTAACTATGTTGCCAACTAACAGTGTTGTTAAAACATGTGATTAGATGTTTTTACAAACAATAACATCATTTTTAAGCCGGCCCGTGTGTCGCAGTTGAGTTGAAGCTGGACTGCGGTACTAAGGGTCCCTGGTCCGGGTATGGGCATGGGTATTTGTAAATGTGTAGGGGTTAGGTTGGTAGAGTAGCCTTAGCTGAAACCCCGCCCACTCAATACTAAAGACAACAAGTTAAAAAAGTAATCGTAAACGATTTACAAAAAGCGCATTTCCACTTGCATTCATTTCTCATTTGTCAGATGCAACTTCTATTAAAAACGTAAAAATCCGGCCACAAATATGAAACATAGATGTCCTACTTCAATTTCAGTTTATAAGAAGAATTTCATTTCAAGGCTTTTCTAAATAAGAAAGTTGACACTGCGCATGCGCAAACGCAACTGCAACATTTTGAAACTAACGTTAGATTTTCCTTTGTTTCAAGTGGCTATGTATCAAATTTCATTTAAATACTTTTATAAATAAAAAAGTTTGCAATTCGCTTGTAAAAAGATGAGGAGTGTACTTGTACCTACCGGGCCGCATAATTAACAATTCTTTAGGGGCGGGGCTACATGATGTGGGATCGGTGACATCCGGGCGCCATCCCCGAGCGTGGTTTACTAACCTGGTGATTTTTCAGTTTTTCCTGCAGAAGAAGATAGGAAAAAACTAAAAAATCACCACGTTAGTAAAAATTAATTTCTACAAAAAAAAACTAAATAGACTTTGTTCGAAGCGAATAATCGGACATGAAGATTATTTGGAATTGTATCGGAAGTAGGTACGCGAGAAGTTTAAAAATTGGTTTGAAATTTCCAACGAGCAAACGATCAATTTATTAATCAACCTTATCTATAATGTGCGGTACAAATCTTGTAATCTTTATGCACTCGAATTTAAATGGGGACAATAAGTTTGTCAAAACCCTCAACAAATTTATTATTTAATGAATCTTCGATACTTACTATTAATTGTTGAGTGCGTATTGGATTTCGTTTCGCACATTTTATACAATTGCAGGTAGGTAATATATTATTCGAGACAGAGTACAATCAATGTATTTTTTTTATGGAATGCAGTAAAGAAAAATGAAAAATTCTTTATTTAAAGAGAATGTAAGTAAATTTATCAGTTCAAGGTCAGACATTATAAATGAATTCGTAAAGCCGCAGCTTTGAGTGGTTAATAAACGCGCTAATTCAGCTACCCAATTTAGTGATCTGTCCTACATAACAGGGGGCGCTGAATGAGAATTTTCCATAGTCAATAGATATAGAAAGTACCGCAATCATCCGCCATTTTTGGGCAAATATGCTGGCAATTTAAAAAAATTGACAAATAAAATCTGAATAGCTGTAATGTTTTATAACCTAACTTCACAGTAGTCATTTTTATAAAAATATATACAGATATCTCCAAACAGGTGGAACAATCCCTAACATTAAAGTTACTAGAATCTGGTAACTTCCGCCATTTTTGGGCAAAAATCATGCGTTCTCTCTCTAACACACGAGCCCAATGGATTGCGGTACTTTCTATATTTAGTGACTTTAATTTTCCCTAAAGTCACTAGATATAGAAAGTACCCCAATCATCCGCCATTTTTGGGCAAATTTGCTGCCAACTTCAAAAAAATTGACAAATAAAATCTGAATAGCTGTCATTTTTTATAACCTAACTTCATAGTACTGTCATGTTTTATAAAAATATATACAGATATCTCCAAACAGGTGGAACAATCCCTAACATTAAAGTTACTAGAGTCTGGTAACTTCCGCCATTTTTGGGCAAAAATCATGCGTTCTCTCTCTAACACACGAGCCCAATGGATTGCGGTACTTCCTGTATTTAGTAACTTTAATTTTCCGACGCTTACATCGCCATCTACTTATGAGGTGTGTGAAAAGTGGCCACAAATTAATAAGCATCTGGAACTCTTATTGTATTTACTCTATGGCGGAACTCAGTGGCGGCTCGTAACACTTGAATTAGATGGGCGCAATAAACATGGCCTTTAATTTGTATTAGGTACAGGTTCACTTGCTGGAATTTTCAGAATTTGTCTCATTTCACAAGGCGCCACTGGCGGAACTATTTTAAAGACTTGTCAGGAACTTTAAAACGATCTTTTTAGAACTAAAACAAAAGAGTTCACTAATCCCCTCAGGATTTTTGTGACAGAAAAGGAACACCCAAATGCTTAGGGTAAGCTGTCAGTCCACCCTTCACTGTGATACCTGAGAAAAAAATTAAAGAAACACATTTTTGGATTTTTGAGGGTGTAGACCCTCAATGGGCTTGCTATATTTTGTGGGTTCACACTTAATGAAATTTCAAATAGCAGTCTGATGCCATTGTGTTACTATTCATGAATACTTGATAACTGAACCTTGCACACCACACCATTCCTTATCCTACACAAGATAAGGCGGGTAATTCTATCCAACTTTGATAAGTATAAAGTATAAATATAAGGATACAAAATGAAGTAGATACCTAAATTCAATCACTCCCAAAACATATCTCGGGATCTCTAACCTGCTTTGTTACAAGGCGACATTATACAGTGAGTTTTTATTAAGTTACTTAAAAAAAAAGATTCACTGTATAAATTGTATCAGGATGAAACAACAAATATCACTCATTTAGAGGATGACTAAGTATTAGATTGCAACATAATCTCATGTGCAAAGATCACTCTTTTGCTTACCTTTAAGATCGATATCAGATCGAAAAACGGAAGTGAATCTTTCATGTTTACAATCGCCTTCCTCGCACAAATAATGTTCGTCATTGTAATGTCTCCTTAGATCATCATACGTGCTATAATATTGATGTTTCCCGTCCGCATCACAGAAATGACAGTAGAGATGGTCGCGTCTCAAATGCCTAAACAACTCGTCGTTGTCCATAAACCGAGTGTCACAAAACTCGCATAGCGGGTGTCCCCTACAAACGTAAGTGAAACAGGGCGGAGGTGCGACGGATTGTGTACCTGTGCGAGGTGTTGTCGGCGTCTCCTTTCCGTCGATGCGTCGCCAGCTCGACTCTCGTATAGCATTTACGTTCGAACGTAAATATTTTTAAATTAGCTACGCACAGGTCGCAATAAAAAAGTTCGTGAGATCGCCTCATGTGATCCTTGAGCATGTTAAACGTTTTAAATGAAGTACTACACGCATTACGTTTGCAAATGAAGCATTCGTGATCGAGGAGCCGGTAGTATCTTCTTTGAATTGACGGCGAATGGAAGAACAGTCCATATTTCCTGTCCTGTAGGTTGCACTTTTCAACTTTCGGTCTCAATATACTAAACGCTTCGATTTCCTTAGTAAATAACACCTGAAATTGACAGTGTCGATTGAAAGATCTAGTAAGTAGGATGAAGAGTTCGTTACCTTTGGCATCACCTGTCTACATATGGGACACTCTTGCTGGTTGCAGAGGACCCTCATTCGAGTGGAGCATTCGAAGCAGACAGGATGATCACAAACCCCGATCGAATATAAGTCGACGTTTTTGAAACATACGACACACGCGTTTTCGAAATCACTTGAATTTAACGAGGACATTTTCCTTTTACTTTTTAATGGATCGCTGGTCGAAATGAACACAACCTCGAAAATGAAAAATGACAGATTGCAGAATGGAGGGAGAGGCGCGTTGTCAGCACTGACCTCTATTCAAAAGATCAGTGATTGTCAGATTGTGTTGTTACTTGTTACTACCTTCGAGAGAGGGCGCGCATGTGCAACATTTATATACAGGGTATACCAATAGTCTAGCTCTAAACGGTGGTGATTCCTTTGATTGTAGTCAAAGGGTGATTCCCTTGAGGATTATAATATTGCATGATCTTGTTTTCTTTGCACGGTCAGAGGCCATTTTCAAGATTTCCGAAGGCCGTTTAGCTCGAAAATCGCGACGTTCACTGAAATGCTATCCAAAGTATCACTTGTGTTTTCCAGAGTTTCTTGAAAGGAACAGTGTGGTATAATAAGGTGCTCTAATAAAGACATGGAGTGGAAAAAGATCTTAATATACCCGGAAAGACGTCGAAAAATGCCGAGAAGAGGTACTAGTTTTGAAAACTTTTGTAAACACGAAGGCTCTATCTGTTGCGTTTTCGCGTGTGCTTTCCAGAGTTTTGAAGACTATTGAAAATTCTTTAGGTCAAACCCCTTTCCTAACCCTTTTCAGAGGCTTCTAGATGCTTTGCAAAAGTTAGATTTTATCTAAGAAAGATTAGCTACATCTTTACTAATCTCGCTTATAGTGCCAGTTGCCAGAAAAAACCTGAAATAGAGTTTCGAATGTGTTCCTGTGCTATTCGGGAATTCCAGAAGTTTCTTTAAAAGACTGAAAGCCTTATAATGTCTTCTAGCGCTTTTCGGAACCCCTTTTCGTGCTGTATAGAACTTTAGAGAAAGTTTTGGCACTTTGCAAATTTGCTTCTTTTCCCAGGAAGAAAATCTCATTTCCATTTTTTCAGAAATTCAAAGATGCTTTCAAGAGCCAGGCGACATTAAAATGGCCTAAAAAGCGCATAACAAGAGCGCTTTCAAACGCTTACCATAGATCACCAAGTAAGGCTTCTTCCATATTGATTTATCCGTCTTACTCCTAGGAAGTTCATCGAAAACATTTTGAGAGGGCGTTGGAAAGTTGTATAATTGGTTTCCAAAGCCTTTAAAGACTTATGAGCAACTTCTTCGGAGATTTCCAGAGTATTTTAACGACTTTCAAAGTTCTTTAGATCCTTGGCAGTTTCTAAATAAGTTTAGTATGCGGAAGGTAGGTATTAGGAAGTTTGAGATAGTAGGTACATAGTATTTTCAAAAGCTGGGGATTGTATATATCCTTTGGACTTTGAATATAAAATTATAGTCAAAGGTTGTACGATATCCAGATCCAGAGTGGGTTATCCAAAGTATATGACAAATTTAGAACGCAACTGAAAGCTTCTACCAGATATAGACCTTTCGTCGGTTCTTTCCATAAGTAGTAAGAGTAAGGCTCTGTTCTGTCCTAGCATCGGCTACTTTTAGTTGAACAGAAAGTTCAAAATCGTGTTCTCACAAAACTTGCCGGGATAATCAATCTCATTTATCGCACATAGATTCTAAACTAAAGAGCTTTGATTAGCGTAATCCCGCTCCTACAAGATAGGTAACCCGTCCCTGGTTTCAGGATTTTGAGCCTACAGTTGAAAGGCGAAGACAATTACGGAATTAGGTGTCGTAGCTCAATTTTGACTACAGGTTTTACCACCACCGTAACTGCTTCATTCACGGAGAAAATGTTAGTTACAAACAACAAGTCAGTACATACAATTTCCACATATTAAAATAAAATGATCAAAACTTATATGAATGTTACTTCAGGGACAAGACCAAGTAATCAACATCAATAAACGTAAATTAAGCAAGCATTACACCAAAAACGTAAACAATTACAAACAATAGCATAAAAGGTATCACATATGTGATTATGTATTGTGGTTAAACAAAGATTCAAACACACAAAAAATATAAAATGTGGCATACAAAACACAAATATGATATAAAGAAATGCGAATATTACTACTTGCATTAAAAAAAACACAAAATATCAACAAACATTTATGGAGCGGCGCGTTCACGACCGCCATTCAAGACAAGATGCCAAACGTAACCCCCGTTCGTGGTTTTTAGATGGCGCAGGCAGCTTTTTCCCACCTACAAGTTGCATGGTTGCCAAGTATATTTGTATTCTGTTAAACGCAGTCCGCCGCGCGGTCAGAACGTTCTCTGTTTGATAAGTAGAATGCATTTATATAGAATACAAATATCGCAAGACCCAGACCCCGGTCTGTGTGGAAGAGCCGTAGATGTCTATTAAAATTCAGAGAAAAGTTTAGAGACACATGAATGATTATTAACGGTTATTTATTTTATAAGACGATAAAGGGATATTTTAACCATTGAGTGCATTAACTTTCACGAGATGGTTAGTTTCCCTTTATCGTCGTGTATAATACAAAACTTTATTTTATAGCAGAAGCTACAAATATAAATCATTGCAAGGTTTCTCATTCTAAATTTAAATTAGACGTCAAATATAGCTGGCTTAGGTTCTGCCGTCGCAGTTGTTTCCATAGAAACAGTATTGTCATATGTCCTGAACGTCATTTTATATCGTGATCAGCGTCCCATTTGAAATAAGAATGATGGCAGTAGAATGCACAATGATCTGTTTCATAGCTTTATCTACTCTGACGGCTAAAGTAATAATTTTATTTGCCCTTACTCATTCAAACCTATTAAAATGTCAATTTAACGTCTGCTATAAAATAAAAACCTTTAAATGATCAATCTTTAAAGCTTCTTAAATGTCAAAGACGACAAGTACTCTGAAGAGGTGCTAGAAGCAGGTAAGCACTAAGGGTCTTTCTAGGTTGTATGGCTTTCAAGTGCGTTCCAGTGTTTTTCCGCAATGATAACTTTAAAAATCTCCTAAATCCTTCCTAGACAGGTTCTTTTAGAAGTGCAGGTCCAGACTTTTCTGAACTGACATAGCTTTGGAAAGCCCTAAAGAAGGGTATGGGCAGTGTTGAAAAGGTGCAAGAATGTTCAGAAGGCCATTTCAAGACCATATTTATTTTTTTTTCCGACACTCCGACGCTCCCTCGCTATCAAGAACTCGGAACATTTGAAAATCAAAAAAAGGGAAATTTATTGAATAATTGATCAAAAGTGTAAAATGAATCAAAATGCCGAAAGGGTTCCCACAAATTTAGACAGGATGCATTTAAAGCTAAATGTATGTCGTGTTTCCCTAGCAAAAGAACCGAGCTGAGGAAAATATCGAATCAAAATAAGATTGAAGCCGCTATCGACCTATATGAGTTTGAACATCGAATGAACATGAACAACTGACTAATTTCAAACAATCAATACAATTTATTGTACAATAAAGCGAAGAATTACAATTATAACTAAGTACATTACCTTTTGTTACAGACAGCACAAACTTAGATACACGATAATTGAATTATAAAACTAAATTAGCAAATGGCAGAAGGCAAAGTGACGCTACATTTTACAACGAACCTGTATGAACCTCAAACTGCACCATGAGCAAAGCTAAATCAAGGCAAATCTTACATTCATATAACAGACTAACGTTGTTTAAAAGTGCTAAAATAACATTCTTCTTCTTGTAAAGTAATTACATTATATTCTATTGAAAGGTTATCGTTTTGTGAACCTGAGCGTTTGAAGTTTTGACCCCAACGACCGATACATAGCGCCCCACTCTTTATTTTTCCCTTTGTAAGTACCTCTTACGACATTCCATGTCCGAGATATTCGTATTTTCGCATCCCTACTCACCAATTTCCCTTTATATGCAGTTTCTTCCGATCATTCGGTCTAAGATTGAACAATTAATTTTTAGCGCATTTTCCAACGAAGTTGGGTGCACTATTGCAGTCACTTTCTCTGTCCGTCCGTCTGTCCGTCTGTCCATCTGTCCGTCTGTCCGAGGCCTTAACTACTCCTACAGTTTTCAAGATATTTAGTTCGTTCTTTTTGCATGCTGTAGCGTATCGCTCTGGCACCTGAGTCATGGAAAATCTTGACGATTGAACTGCGCAATGTTAACTTTTTTATTTATTAATATATTTTGTTGAAATTTTAATCACAGATACTTGTAGTAAAGGCAAATATATCGCATATAGTAAAAATCAGATATGCGCATGCGCAGACTGCGCAATGCCAACTGTCTTATTTATGGAGATATTTCTTTGAAATTTTAACCAAAGATGCTTATTGTAAATATCAGATTAATAAGCGCATGCGCAGGACGCGGAATATCAACTGCGCAGTAATTTCTTTAAAATTGTAACCATATATGCCTCTAGTAATGAAAAACATAGCGCACATAGGTATGGCTTTTGGGGAAGTATTGATCAATTTATGGAAAATGCGCTGAAGTTACTCGCCTTAGGGCGAAAACCTTTTTACTTGTTTATTCAATGGTCTAAGGAATCATTTTCACAGTTTTGCGGGGAAGAAACTCTGCAGTTCTGAGTTCGATTACCAAACGTAAAAAGAACTGAACATTTTGTTGTTGAAGTGAGGAATGAGTATTAATCCAATTCTTTTGGGATTTGCTCAAGAGATCAATATCTGGAAAAATCATTTATATACGCATCTGCCCATTTTCCCTCATATACCTTCCCTCTTTAATAAAACAACACATTAGAAAGAGTACTAATTTAAAAAAAAAGACGTGTACATAAGATGTTTCATGAGCATGGTGAGCAAGTACCGACTATTTGTATAAATACAGCAACGGCAATTTCAGCGTGTTGCTAATTCTAGTAAGGACTTGCACATGCAGCGGAAAATCCGACAAAAGGTTTTCCGCGATATTAATCAGACTATTGTTGAGTTGCTTCTGTTTATCGTATTCCACCGAAATAGCTTCGTTGGTGCGATAGGCGAGGTGTGGTCGACGCCCTTTCGCAAGATCGGAATACACTTTCAATTTCTTCTGCTTTAGCACCAGAAGCTCTAGATTCTGAAAGAAGTCGATTAACTTGATTTGTTACCGATATTCCGTAACGAACCCTTTGCCTGCCAGTTTTCGTTTCTTCAATGTTCTCCATGAGCGTTGCTATTTTGCGTTTTGCGAAAGCCGTATCCTGCTGAGTGATTGCTATTTCCTTCATAAGGCGCTGCTCTTCGTCGTTGGACGCGTCAATTCTCTTAGTTAACGTTTCAACCTCCTACAAAGTTTAGTCAGCTCAGTTCGCATCACAATACACCTACGGTCTGCATCTGCTTAAGTTTGCTCCTCATATCCTCCAACTTTCTTTGAAAGTTAATCCTAGTTTTCTCGCTAGCACCCTTCTCGCGCTTTTCGCGAGCCTCATTCGTCGTGATAATCGCGTCCCTTCGCGACACGCAGTGATCGAGATCGTGAATGAGCTTATCCTCCGCCTTCTTCAACTGCCCAAATCTCACCTACAACCCCCATGGAACGACAACGCGCACTCTCAGAAAAAACTTACGTGCATCCGGTGAATTTCAGCTTTCATATTTCCGACCTCCCCACCCTCCCCATTTTCCTTATCCATGGTCTTCTTAGTGGCAACGGCCATTTGTATCTTCTTCTCCCACACTAACGCCTCCCGATTCACGTCGATAAGTTCCTTGCTTAAGCTCATCTTATCCTCTTCGATGTCTGCAATATCCGCTTCAATTTTGAGCGACTCCATTTCGGCATCCTGCGGAGACTGACTTTTACTTGTTCGCAAAAAGGGTACTTACATGTAACTTTCCGGAGTAATCGAATTGGATAGTATCAGTGTCTTTTTCCATTACAATTTTGTTACCCTTTGCTTTATTTATTAGTTCGTTCATAATTGTGATCTTGTTTTGCAAGTTAACCATTGATCGCGATAGAACCTCCTCCTGTCTACGGTAGTTTTCCAGTTCGTCGTTGATTTTCAGATTTTTCTGAATCAGCAACTGCAACTCTAAAAAAGTGGCACTTACTGATGAAGACATTCTAATCCGTACCTACTTACGCTTTTTTAACATGTTGAAGTCGTTAATTTGATTTTGCCGCTGTTCAGATAAGTTCACTACGTACCCTTGCTGTCTGAGCCAAAATTTCCTCAATTTCTTCGTAGACTCTTGAACTTCCTCAATGTTCTTTTGAAGGGCGACAATCTTCAGCTCTTCTGGAGAAACTTCGAATCCCTAAAGTGCGCAAATAAGAAGAGAAATGTGGGCAAATTGAATTTACCCCCTGTTGATTTATGACTTTTTCGAGCTTGTTCGTAAGGACATCCATGTCTCTTTGCTTCTTGCTCGCGTAACACCTCAGCCCCTCTTCCTCCCTTTGACAAGCTCTAAGCTCATCTTCAAGATCGTTTGCTTGTTTAACGAGGGCACTAAGAAATCTTTCGATTTCTTCATTCTCGCACTTCTGCGCTTCAATGTCCATTAGCGTCCTCGAATTCGTGTTATCAATCTTTGCGAGGGCGATGTTCTAAAATGCCCCGTTAGTGATCGCTTCGGGAACTAAATAAATACGTGCCATAGTTCTGTTCTTCTCCTTGGCCTTTTTTACTAACTTATGTAGATATTTCGCTGCTTTATCGTTAGTCATTTGATCCTCCAGCATCTTAAGTATATCATTATCTAGAGTCGCTTTTTGACTTCCTAGCTTCTCAAACTCGCTAATCAACGCACTAAGCTCGCATTTCTTCCCGGTGTTCTCCTAAAAGAAGGAAGTAGATTTTCTTATCACGTGAAATTACCTACGGATGTCAATTTTTTGATATCCAATTCGGTTTGATCGGTCAGGGCTTGGACGTGCTCCATTTCGGTTTCCAATTGGAAACGCTTTTTGGCCTCGATCTCTAGGGATCGAGCGCAAGAGTCAACGTCGGCTTGTAAGCGCAACTTAAAGTCGGTTAAGCGCTCATTCCTTTCCATTTCCTTTTTGCAAAGCTTTTTGGTTTGTTCTACTTCTGCAGATACCACGCGGATTTCCTCTTCAAGTTTGCTAAAATTAAGATTATTTACAGGTACCATTATTTATTTAGGCTCACTCCTAACAATGTCTTTTTAACGCATTTTTTAAGAAGTAGGAAAAAGTGCGTTTTGTACCCCCGTCTGTCTGTCTGCGGTTTTGACCTACTTGTCGGGAATTGTCCAAGAGTCCTGGATTTTTTTTTGCAATATGTAGCTTATACCTTAAAGGTGTACCAGACGGCTATTAAATTGGGTTTCTTGGGGGGGGGGGGGGGGCATGAATTATTTCTTAAGATACTGTTTTTAAAAGTGAAACGTGCATTACATGCGACAACCCATTGATCTCAGATTTTGCATGCGCATGCCTTTAGTGTTTCCAAGTAAAACTATTGAAAATGATGGGGGGGGGGGGGGGGGGTGATAAATCCAGATGCTACCCTTCACGGTACTCTAGACTGTATCTCGCGGAGTTGGCTGTGTGGAGGGTAAGAGGTAGATCGTTCTTTGTTGGGGTGCGAGTTTGAGATTGTAGATGAGCGTTTTTTTCACTCGTGAGAGTTTTAACCGCCCTCAAGCGCTGGAAAATTAAGCGCCGCTCTGAGTGTTTTTTCCGCGCCCGAGTGGTTTTTTCCACTCTTGAACACTTTTGTCGAACGCTTGCGATAAACCGCTCTTTTAGGAATGCTCGGACCTCGCAAGCGGTTTCGCTTTGCAAAACAGACTTAGAGCGCTCGTCGCGGTTTTTTAACACGCTCGGCCCAGCTCTAGTTCTTTTCGCCTCCGAGCGAATGTAGTTAAGGGCGACGGCGTCCATTTTCGAGAAATAACACGCTTTGGATGCGGTCTAGATGGCTTTTTCGACCCCTGGATGGCCGGCAGTGGGATAGTCGTAGTAGGTGCAGTATACTCTACGCCCGCTTGTGTCTCTCCTACAGCATCCATAGGGAAGGTGAGTAGGTCGTTCACGGCACGACAGTTACTCTACTGAGTCACCGATAACAAAAGCTGCGAGTAGAAGCTGTTTGTGCACGTAGGGAGCGAATTGTCACAGTCCGAAACGAACTTAATACTGCTTATAACATATCATTACTCGTATATACAACGTGATGAGCAGTGGCACCACCATATACAAGTCCGAGGGGACGGTGGAGGTAGCCTGAATCTAAACGGCCAGTCACATCCGGTTGCTTTGGGGATATAGAATACAACAAAGCTGAATTCTGTAGGCGGTCCGTGCGTTCAAATGAGGAAACGATTTTTACCTCCATTCAGAATCTTTCCAGAGCGTTTTAGACGTTTCTAGGTTCTGTGAAAAACCTTGGGAACCTTGGTGCTTGGGAAAAACCAAAAAGAGCATAATGCACACTTGCATAACGATAGCGCTCGGAGAGATTATACAGGTTGTCCTAGTTAAACGTAATTATAATGACAATTCGGATTTTGTTTACAATAAAACTAGAGTCTAGAAAAAATTCGTTAACGTCAAATTTTTCGAGATCCCCTAGTTTTGTTGCAAACGAAATCCGAAGTGCCCAAATAGCTACTTTTATCTGGGACCAAGGAGTATATAACGTACTGGGGCACACTGTGAGAAGCTCCTAGGACGTTCTGACTTTCTGAATCTAATAATTTAATACAATTTTCCGGGACCTTATAAATGAATTTGAAAGGTACTTTCTAGATCTTTCAAACGTTTCGCTTGCGTCCTCCAAAGCGAGACGAGTCTATGGAAACTCCAGTAAAGCTGTAAAGGTATAGGTATTAATAGAAAGCTGTAATAGGAAATAAAACCGTGAAACCGATCCACAGAGCTTTGGGGAAGCCCAGACTGCCCTGAAAAGGGTCTAAAATGATCAAAAAGGTAAGTAGTAATATAGGGCCGATTCTAAATGACACTAGATGAAAATAATCCCTAGAAAAGTCACTAGAATTGAGTGGTATGGTAACTGCGGTAGCAAGGTTTGCGCCTGTACTAACTCAGGCGCAAACCTCGCTAGCGCAGTTCAGAACCACTCAATCCTAGTGACTTTCTAGGGGAGTTTTCATCTAGCGTTATTTAGAATCGGTCGTACACTACCATCGACAAGAACCCTCGACTCAGACACAAACCAAATTACTTTAGCTCGGACGCAAACCTCCGATACTTTATCTCGAGCAAAAACCTCGACCCCTTGACCTTGACGTTAGCACATGCGCAAACCTCGCTACTGCAGTTCAGAACCACTCCATTCTAGTGACTTTTCTAGGGATTTTCATCTAGTGTGATTTAGAATCGGCCGTACACTACCATCGACAAGAACCCTCGACTCCGGCGCAAACCGACTTACTTTAGCTCGGACGCAAACGTCCGATACTTTAACTCGAGCACAAACCTTGACCCCTTGAACTTTGACGTTAGCACATGCGCAAACCTCGCTACCGCAGTTCAGAACCACTAAATCCTAGTGACTTTTCTAGGGCGATTTTCATCTAGTGTGATTTAAAATCCGCCGTACACTACCATCGACAAGAACCCTCGACTTAGGCGCAAACTGACTTACTTTAGCTCGGACGAAAACCTCCGATACTTTAATATCGGGCGCAATCCTCGACCCCTTGACCTTGACGTTAGTACAGGCGCAAACCTCGCTATCGCAGTTCAGAACCACTCAATCCTAGTGACTCTTCTAGGGGGATTTTCATCTAGTGTAAATTAGAATCGGCCGTACACTACCATCGAGAAGAACCCTCGACTTAGGCGCAAACCGACTTACTTTATCTCAGACGCAAACCTCCGATACTTTATATCGGGCGCAAACCTCGACCCCTTGACCTTGACGTTAGTACAGGCGTAAACCTCGCTACCGCAGTTCAGAACCACTCAATTCTAGTGACTTTTCTAGGGATTTTCATCTAGTGTGATTTAGAATCGGCCCTATATTACTACTAAGGTATGAAATCGATTGAATGCTTTCAAAAACATATATAAGACCATGGTAACCGTTTCAAAGCGCTCTATTTCAGTCTTGTATTGACTCATCTGGCCCTCGAATGGAACTTCTAGAAGTAGCGTAAAAGTTTCTGGAAAACTCTACAAATGGACATAAAAACTCCTTTCCCAAATTTGCTGAGCTTTGAAAAGTCTTCAGGGAAGCTCTCTAAAAAGCCCTTCGAAAGTTTTAGGACGCTTCTCAAAGCCCTTCGCAGGTCTTTAAGAACTAGGTGTGGTTAGAAAAGGTCCAAAAGTAGCTTAGAAAGAACCCGTATAAAGCTGTACAGGAAGACAGAATGCTTTGGGGAAGAAACACGAAAAGCGAACTGCTTTTTAGAACATCCTTGCGGCTTTTCGATACTGTCTAGGCTCTTTCTATAACTTTTTAACTCTTTTCAAGAGCGTTTGTTCCAGACTGGTGCAGAGCTATGTACCTACCACTACAATATGGAAAGAGCGTAGATTTCTAAATAGCCATAGATCTTTGACAAGAGCCTAGGGTCCCTTATAAGAGGTGACCGAAAAGACTTTAAAGTCTTCAATTGCACTGTAAATGCTCCGTATGCAGTAGGAGAGCACTACAGAATGACCTGGGGGCTGAGACGTAGGATGACTTTTTACTATGGTATCTATTTTTTGTTGGAGTACGCTCAACGTGCCCATATAGGTACTACTTACTGCAATTCTTCCTTGCTAGTCATATACGCCTTATCCCTATGAGAGATGGCAACTACAAGCGAATTCCAAGAATGCAACAAGCTTCGATGTTCCGACGCGATAGTTTCAAGATCAATGTTACTATTGGCAACCGATTCGGCAAGTCTCTCGCGCTCTTCCTCTTTCACGCGTATTTGCATGTCCATCGTCTCCAATTCTTCTTCAAGACGCCATGTTTCAGTCATTAATTTAAAGATGATGGCATCCTAAAAATTGAGAAGTTACGCAGAAAACAACAATAGACACTCCGCTAACCAATTGCCTTTTCTCGTCAATAAGGCTGCTCTTATCCTTTTTGGTTTTTCCGAAAATGCGCTGATTAATTATCAGTTCGGACTCGGCGTCCTCCTCCCAATCCTTCATTTGTTGCGCCAGCAGATTCATGCCCTCCACCTCGGTGCGCAGGCGTAACTCTTGAAACAGTGTCTGTTACTTTACGGTATAGCTTAGGTGGTTTACCGTTTCTCTCAGCCTCGAGCACATCCAGACGCTTCTGGCTAAGCGTTTTTTTCGCTTCGTCAAGCTCAAGCTCCATTTCTTCCGTGGCGGCGCAAATATGGTCCAGTTCCGAAATGCACATCTCCAACTCTCTCTGCTGCTTATTAACTACCTGCTGCGCTTCGTACGTTTCGAGCCCTAATTGCTCGCGGGCTATCATCTTCTTTTTCGCTCCCGTTTCCTAAAATATCGCCGTCAACTTTTTGGAAAGACAACGTTATCTGCTCACCAACTCAAACACTTCACTCCTTAAGTGCTCAATTTGCCTCTCAAGATGATGCTTTAAGGTTTTTTGAAAGTGCTCCAAAAGCGGGTGGTTGGCGTCCAGAAGTATTGGGTCGTCAGGTTTGCTAAAAGAAGTTTATCAATTCTTAATGTAACCTGAGAATTGTTGAAAACCTTTCGAGATCGTCATCTTCTCTGCTGAAGATTACGTCCACTTGCGGCGGTTCTTCGCTTGATGGTAAGGTGAATTTTAGTTTCGTTTGCTTTTCTTTGCAACGTTCGCTCATTTTAGCAATGCAAGAAAGTTGTGATTCTATGTAACGATTAAACGGGTGGAATATTTAGCGTCAGTTACTATGACGTGCTATTACTTGTTTACATGGTGATATTGATTTTTTTTAACATCATTCGAATTCCTCTAGTATGAAATAATATTTCGGCTGCACGATATCACGTAAAGAGAAAATGGTGCCATGTATATCGATGTTTCTTTAATTTTGGTTTTTATTGCCGTTGTATAACTTGAGGATCGCTGATTATGTGGAATACTACTTTCATTAGCTATGGTGGTTTGGAGAGCTCCTAATGTTGCAGGTACACTACGTCATATCAACAGAGAGTATTCCGTCAGTGGTCCAATTCTGTTGTTTTAGCACCACCTGTCCCTTTTTGTGAATTAAAATAAAAGATGCACGAATGCTCGAGAAAGCACTTCTAACGGGTAGTTACGTACTCGAGTATTCTAGAATGTTATCGAACAAACACGACATACTTCCCGTAAAAAACGCGTCACATTCACTTTCGTTCTTTATCACCGATGACCAATCTTTCATTCGGGATTTCTAGAATATTCGATACAATACATATTCAAATTTCCCCCTCTAATACAAAATATTTCCATGTATCAAAATTATTGCCTACGTTAAAAATTCAATATTGACCCCAATAAATAAATTCCCCAGATTTATAGATATTACTTACTGAAAACAAAATTGGAAAATTGGGGACCGTTCGCTAGTTATCATGTAGACAGACGGGCGGGCAGATAGTCCAACATCGTGAACGAGCTTTGTTGCTCGTTAATAAATGACCCCTTGACGGGGCGAAAAAGGATACACGAGATAACAAAGGTCATTTAGCAAATGTGGCCACTTACGTATTTGATACATTCAAATCTATATCCTCCAAATTGAGAAGACACGATTCTCGATTCCAAAATTACTTCGAGAGATAGACCACAGAAATAATATTTAAAGATTTTGCAATTCGACCAACATGGAATTATTAATACCACCCTTCAGCTTGTAAAATCACAACGTGCCGCAAGAATGAATGAAGCGGAAACGAAAACCATTATAAACATTCCACTTATTTTTAAGAATCCACCAGCACGAAATACTATACAATTTGAGAAATACAGCGGTCATCGAACAAAAATTACAGCGATACTCAACCAAAAATAATTTATATGTACTTACGAGAATAAAACTGCTACAGAAGACTCTCTCACAAAATTTCAACCACCCTGCGGTAATTTATAGAGTGATTGACTTAACTATTTCGGGCGATTTAGCGTGAACGTTCTCGTGACTTAACGCAAATTTTCCCGCGACTTATATTTCTCCGCGATTTCCTTACCAACAATTTCACTCTCTCTACGTTTTTTTTTAAACTACTCCCATCTATCATGCGGATATGTTCCACCAATCAGTTAACTTCTTCTCAACCATTGAAACCCCTAGAAACCCAGTATACATTATATGAAACTTGAAACCCACGTAGACTGAACTGCGTATCAGGTTCGAAAATAATTTAAGGAAAAATGGAATCCAAGAAAAGTTTAGTAGAAACGCGTGAAAGGCATTTGAAGAAGCGCAACTTGAGTTTTGTTGCAGATTTTTATGAGTGTGTAGATCGTTTTCAAAGCTTTGTAAGTCATTGAAAGGGCGTTTTAGGCCCTTTACCAAAGTTTCTGCATATTTTTAGTGCTAGACGAGCGTATAAAGTTCTGGAAATAGTCAAGGCGCTCCGGAAAGGCTCCTAAAAGTTGTGATAGGTTGATATAATGTTATGGCGAAGGGAAGGGGGCATAAAACTCCAAAGAAGAAAGTTCTGAAAGAGACCAGTTTAGGGATTTCTATCATTTTTTTAGCCTTCTAAGACTGTTTAGATGCTTTCCAGTCTATTTTAGACCTTTTGGGACCTTTTTCTTTGAATAGAGATAGAAATCTTTGGAAAATGTATTAAACACACAAAATTCACAAGTAGGAAATGACAGTTGACAATTAGTTGGTGTCAAATGGCAAATATTAAATGTCAATTGACAAGTACGCAGTGTTAGATGGGTATATAAAGTGCCATTCTCCCAAAAAATAATTCCTGTTAGGTTATTTCTTTGAAAATATGACGATCAAATCTGTGATAACCTACCCCTAAGGTTAGGCAACACACCTTACATCTGAACCAAAAATACTATACGCTCTGTATACATTAATTGTGCTGGCCGTTCTGCGCAGATGCTGAAGAAAGGGATTTTCATAGGGAAGCTTGGGGGGGGGGGGGGGGGGGTTAGAGCCAGTTACAAATGCGGAGCTAGGTTTGAGTAATGCGACGAGTCTCGCGTTTATTTTGTTTGTTGTGTTTTGAATGTGTAATAATCATGTTATTCTTTCTTTTTATTAACTATTAACAGAGTAACTCTTGAATTTCATGTCACAATTTGTTATTATTTACCTTTTGCATACATCCTGACATAGAAGCATTACGTACTGCAAGATTTTGTTTATGTACCGTTATCTGAATTATGTTTTTTATACTGTACCTACAGGTGACGAGAAGGGGGTAAGTAGCATTTCATATACTTATGTGTTTTACTTAGGCGATAATGGACTTTGACATGAATACTTACTATTGGCATTCCTACCTGTACTTAAATTAATTGGAGTTAATGATGCTTGGAGTAGAATGATGATTTTGACGTTTTCTCTGTACATGCAATTTATCATTTTACGAGGTGTTTTATCTCAATTGGTCTTACCTGCAATTTAATGTGCCTTTGTACTAAATTGATTATCGTGCATTTATGATGTCTCGTGTGTTTTGTTTTTATGAAGTTGTTTAATTACATTTGATGCGATTACCTTATTTTTATCGTACAATTTGAGATGTTTTACTTGTGTGGGCTACACCAGGGTTTTTGTCCCGAAGAAGGTTTCCTTGGTAACGCGTGTGCGCGTAGTCTGTTTTTTGTTCTTGCTTCTCTTATGCACAAAATTCTGAGTTTTATTTTTTTCCTTCCCGATTGTGTCTCAAGTCCCAACGATTACACAACGTCGGATCCATCGTGTCACCCGGCCCTAGCCAACTGCTACCGAGATTCAAAAGTTCCGCGAAACTTTTTCCCCGGACTTGCCAACTATAAATACAGGGTAACTCACGATTACAGTACCCGCTTGAGGACCCCCAAGATCATTACAAATAAGTTGATTAATAGATTGTGAGCCTAAAATCAAAAGTGTTAAATAATAGATAGATATCTACTAAGTAGGTACTTACCAATTGACAGACACTATAGGTACCAATCGAAAAATCGTGTCAATTAATCATTATAGTAATTGCCAACCAACATGTATGTTTATGTAGTACTAAAGGATAGTCTTTGATAGTACTTATCAATTGATAGACTTTGTTATTTGACCTTGTAGTGTACTTAACCCCCAGGTTCTACGCTAACTTCACACTACAAGAACACGGAAATAAAGTCAACTCGGCAACGTTTAAAAATGGCCACCAGAATGACTATTCCCTCCAAAACTAAACAAGAGCCCGCTTAAATTTGAAATGTGTCACGTGATAAAACATCTAAGGCGGGGCCCCCTTACGTTAGTTGTAGACAACGCTTTGACCTGAAGCACAGTAGGGAAGGAACGTAAAATAATATACTAGAATTGTAAAAAGTTTGTTTAATAATGATCGCAATTATTATTATTATTAATATTGTAAAAGGTCGAAAATTGAAGAATAAATTACATTGCAAAAATAAACTTTGAAAATGGTAGTTCACCGAATAAAAATAGAAATAGGCTGGGAAAAAAAGAAACCAGCCGTCAAATTAATATTAAATTGTGTAGTAAAATTAATTGTTTGTAATGATGTGAATGCGTAAGATAAATTTATAACAACACAAAATGTAGGTAGCATGTAGACTTCAAGACGTAACATTTAGGTTAAAAACAAGTTTTTGGAATTATGAGTCAGGTAAACAGGTAGGTACCGAGATTCTAAAAAAAGGGTGAAATACACAGAATGCGACTCATCTTTGGGGCAATAAAGGCTTTTTGTTAAAAGCAAGATGGTAAATTACATGGCCTTGTATGGAGGCAAATTTAACTAAAAGCAACATATGTGGAAATTGTTGAATCGCCACTCATTTATCGCACACATAGATTCTAAACTGAAGAGCTTTGATTAGCCTAATCCCGCTCCTGCAAGATGGGTAGCCCGCCCCTGGTTTCGGGGTTTCGAGCCTACAGTTGGACAATCACGGAATTAGGTGTCGTACTTCAATTTTGCCTACAATTTTTACCACCCCCGTGATTGCTTCATTCGCGAAGAAAATTGCTAGTAACAAACAACAATTCAGTGCATACATCATACGAATCGGTAATTTCTGCATATTAAAATAAAATTATCAAAACTTATATGAATGTTACTTCAGGAACAACACCAAGTAATCAACATCAATATAAATTAAGCAAGCATTACACCAAAAACGTAGACAATTACAAACAATAGCATAACGGTATCACACATGTGATTCTGCATTGCGGTTAAACAAAGGAAACTTCAAAAATAAAGATTCAAACACACACAAAATATAAAATGCGGCATACAAAACACAAATACGATATAAAGAAATGCAAAAATTACTGCCTGCATTAAATAACACAAAATAACAACAACCATTTATGGAGCGACGCGTTCACGACCGCCATTCAAGACAAGATGCCAAACGTAACCCACATTCGTGCTTTCCAGATGGCGCAGGCAGCTTTTCCCCATCTAGAAATTGCATGGTTGCCAACTCTCAAAATTGTATCTATCGTCGTAAGTTGTATATATATACAGGGTGGAACCTCTCAACCTACCTACCGCTTTTTTGTGCTGACGTGGCACAAGTTGCGCTGTAGTTTTTAAAGATTAAATCTGAGTGTTGTTAACTAATGATCAAACAACGCTTTGACCAAGAGATGCCATGGATGTTTAAAATGCATCAGTTTCGAGGAGGAAGTGCCCGAAAATATTGAAATTGCTTATGCTCTTTGAACGAGTTCATGTTCTCCTTTGAAACAATACCTACCCAATGAGCCTAGACAAGAGGACCAACTTATAGGAAGCACGTAAAATATTACCTACTCTCTATAGGTAAACTCGGTACAATTTATTTATGGCGGCTAACCCATATAACCGCAAATAAGTTTCCATTGCTTCGATTTATACTTTCTTTATTTTATTTTGGGCATACGATTTCTCTATCATCCCATTCGATCAGATATCAGACAGAACCTTCAATTTGTAAAAATACGGTTCCCCTTCCCTCTACAGCAGTCAACTGTTGCGAATTTTTATCTTCATATTTTTTGTCGGAACCAAATAAACATGTTCAAGTATAAAAAACCGCAGCAAGAATGTGGTGAGCGTCTAACGGATTAGAACGAATGCCAAATTTGCACAACATTCCCGTCTCCACACGTGCACGACATTTAGACCAAAAATGGCACAATCCCCAGGCCTAAACGACGTGTTTAAGTACCACTAATCATAATTACCAGATTGTCATTAAATTGCCATCTTTTATAGGTATGTTGAGGAGCACAAGTCGGAATACATAGAAAATCTTCGGGAAGCAGTGGCCATCCGGTCAATATCGTCGTTAGAAGAACGACGCACTGAAACGTTCCAAATGGTTAACTGGACCGCCGATCGATTACGAAAACTTGGATTCGAGGTTATTTTGGAAGACATTGGGGTTCAAGTGTTGCCGAATGGTAAAGAGTTGAAATTACCGCCGGTAATTCTGGCGACTTTGGGAAACGACCCCAACAAGCAGACGGTTTGTATTTACGGTCATTTGGACGTTCAGCAGGCAAGGAAGACCGATGGATGGGATAGTGATCCCTTTGAGTTGATGGAACGTAACGGGAAACTGTACGGTAGGGGTTCGGCCGACGACAAGGGACCTGTGCTGTCCTGCTTGCACGCGGTTGAAGCTTACCAAGCGATCAACCTGCCCGTTCCAGTGAATGTAAAATTTATCTTCGAAGCAATGGAGGAGAGCGGCAGTTTGGGTTTAGGTGATTTAATCGCGCAGCAAAAAGACAGATTTTTTAAAAATGTTGCTTACATTTGCATTTGCGATGGCTCCTCTTTGGAGCAAAATACCCCTTGCATCGTGTACGGGTTAAGAGGCGTTTGTTTCTTTTACCTTACAGTCGAGTGCGCTTCGCAAGACTTACACAGTGGAATACACGGCGGTGCATTGTACTAAGTCGGTTAACCATGGCAAATAATACTTATAGCTACTTTACAGAAACGAAGCCATGGCCGATCTAGTTTATCTACTAAACAGCTTAGTTGACAAAGATGGTAAAATTTTAATCACAGACATTTACAAGAATGTCCTCCCTCTACAACCAGAAGAAGAGGGTATCTACTCCAAAATTGAGTTTGATATTGCAAGGTATAGCAAAACGATCAATGCCACAAAGCTTCTTCACGACGACAAAGTTAAGCTCCTACTCAACGTTTGGCGTTACCCATCTTTATCGATACACGGAATTGAGGGTGCACACTCCCAACCAGGAGAAAAATCAGTCATACCCGCAAAGGTAACTGGAAAATTCTCAATTCGACTTGTAGAAAATCAAAACGTGGAAGAAGTTCAAAGTTTGGTCACCAAGTACCTGCATAAAAAATGGGAAGAGCGCGGAAGGGGTACAAAAATAAAGGTAGGTAACTTTGGATGACAACCCCTCATAATTGTCTCAGGTTTCAACGGGTACTGCTGGAGTTGCTTGGAGGGAAGATACGAACCATCCCCATTACTCCGCCGTAAAGCGCGCTATAAAGTCGGTTTACAACATCGACGCCGATTTAATTCGTGCAGGTGGTTCGATGGCGGTTCTAACTACCTTACAGAAAGTTTTGGGTAAGAGCATTGTTAATTTGACAATAAGTGCTGGAGACGATAACGCGCATGCTCAGAATGAGAAGATAAACGTAGAGAATTACATTAAAGGGGTGGGTAAAGAGAAATTTCGGTACCCAAGTGACCGTTTTATTTTTAGACTAAGGTAATCGCCGCATACTTACATGAGGTGTCCAAATTAAGCAACTGATATGACCACGTGGGGCTTCCATCCTCGAGACACAAGGAGTCAACTTTAAGTAAAAGTCCAAGTACAATTAAAGTTATCTTATTCCATGACTTTTTTATTCCTAACACTGGAGCTCTGCGTTTTATTTTATCGTTCATAATTATTAAAAGTATACTCCCTGTAACAGGTGGTGGCTTAGCCGTTTTCGAAAAGTATTGCTTCCAATTTGTATTTTATTCAACAAAAGAAAATTTCCACATGTACCTCTTCATCGCAAACGTGAACAAAAGTATGTCTGGCGATAACAAAAAACAAAGCGAGCGCGGTTGCCACGGTATCTTGAGACCTAAAAATTTCGTTTCGTTTCATACATGACAAACATGCAGGTTTACTATTCCTTTAGAAGGGCACGCTAGTCGAGGTCGTGATCTGAAAAAATGGCTCGCATGGAGGTACGGTATAGAATGAAGGGAGCAACGAATAGAAGAGGTAAAAGAAATTAAATATTTAGGGCAAACAAACAATGAGGTTAATGTGCAAATAAGAGAATTAAGGAAAAAGGGGCGGTGCGGTGGCGATGAGATAGGAATTTGTGAGAGAGAGAGTGGGTTCAAAAATGATTTTAGAACAAGAAAGTACCTGTTCGATGCAATGGTGAGAGGGATGTGCTAATGTACGGACCGGGGATATGGGGGGTGGAAGGAATGAGAGGAAATGGAAGAAGGACAAATAAGATTATAAATGGGTATTAGGGTTAAACGGACGGTCACCAAGGAAGAGGAAAGAACACAAAATGGAAGAGATAAGGATAGCGTCGGGCCGCAGGGCGGTTACAATAAAATACTAGGTTCGAGGAAAGGGGCGATAGAGAAAGCGAATTCGAGAAAGAATGCCTAGAAACGCGAATGAACACAAAAGGATTGTGGGAAGAACAAGGAGGAAAATATTTCGCTAGAAATGGAGACGGACGCTCCGAGGCAAAAGGGGGAGGGGAGTAGGAGAAAAGATGGAAAATCAACTGGCAAAAAGGGATGGGGATCGAGGAATCCAAATCTCTTACGCTCAAACTGTTTGAGATACAGACATGAAAATTAGAACGCTTCCAATTGAAACTATTTTATATACGGGGTGTGTAAATTAATTAATATGACTTATAATCTCACATTGTCTTTTTCAAGGAAACTGCTAACTTTTTTTCCACTCCTCATAGCGATTGTAGAACGTGGATATGGAATAGCATATGGTTGGTTACAGCCTTTTGAATCAGTGTCCCAAAACGATGTCCCTTTAGCTGATTTTCAACCTCGAGAAGAGGAAAAGTCACAAGGACTCAAGTCGGGTGATGAATAAGGAGGCTGAGGAGCAACAGAACTTCCTCGACAAGAAACGGGTCACTGAAATTGCTGTGTGACAAGGTGCATTGCCGCATGAATCATGATGCAACACCCAGGTGATTTTGATGTTTGGTCTCACACGCATGACCCTTTTCCGCAGTCTTTAAAGAACCTCTTAGTAAAAGTGTTGGTTGACTATCCCTTTCTGCAGGATATCCTGGCCGTCAAAAAACAAATCAGCATGCTTTTGATTTGGTACTTGTTCATTCCTTCTTTTTTGGCCTTGGAGATATTACCGTGTGCCATTCCATGCTCTAGCCTAGCGCTTGGTTTCCGGGTTTTACCCAAATACCGAAGTCACGTCACTTTGTGACCATATACGAGTATGTTTCAGGGAATGGGAATCTTTTTCAATCGATTCCAGAAAGTCAACGCACCTTCTGATGTCCTTTTTGGTCCTGAGAAACTCAAGAAAGGTGTTTCGGAATTCGGAACCATTTTGGCACACACCTTTTTTTTATCCTCAATTCATTGGTTAACAGCTGAGTTCAACTTTTGCCCAATGCCCACTCATTAATTGTCATTAATTTCAGAACACACAAGAAAAACCTGTTTCGCGAAACAAAGCACTACAGACAGTCTACAGACTACCCCTCCCCGCTACATTGCCAGTCTCATTAACTTTCTTTCATAGTCTAAGAACATATTTACCTCGTATTAATTTGAGGTTAAATTTTTTTACCCGTGGTTTTTGAGTGCGACCGCCATTTTGAATTTTTTATATGGCAACATAGCATAGGTCATGTGATTCGTCATTAGAAAGCTGTTTTTTTCTCTTTCTTAAAATCATGTAGGGATTGTGTTCTTTTAGAGAATAATCCTGAAAAATAAGAAAAACCTTGTCATACCTATATACCTATATTATTTCCAAATTTTCAAATAATTCGTTCGATGAAACGGTTTAATTTTCTTTTGGTGGATGTACGTGGGGCGCCTGGGCGGTTGCCTGCTCTGCTTAATGGTTAGTTAATCCGGCACTGGTTATAAAGCGAGAAGGAAGAAAAAATATTAAAACAATAGCGAAATTCAGATGCGAAAGAGAAATGGAGGCTAGAAGAAAAATGCAGAATATGCGGAGAGGAAGAAGAAGACACAGAACACAAACCTATGTTATGGGACTCCATACAGGAGGTGGATATCACACAGAAAAGTAGAAATGTTGTGCTGAATGAGGGTGAGGAGCGAGAAGTGGAAGACACGGACTTTAAAGAAAAGATTAGAGGAAAGAAAATGCATTTTAGTTTTATTTGATTGGGCTAGGAAACTTGGACTGTTTTCTTTAATCTACGAATAGCAAGGGACAATATTGCCCCTTTTATTAATGTATCGTCCTGTGGTGTTCCCATAGGGCAGGGGTCGGCAACCTATTGAAACGGAAGAGGCAAAAATTACAATTTACAAAATTCCCAGTTTTTAAAGAGCCACAACAAATTTTTGATTCAATATTATAGTATTTGGCTATATACACAGTGCCGGTTTACCGGTTAGGCACGGTAGGCACGTGCCTAGGGGCGCCGACCACTTAGGGGCGCCAGCCGCCAGTGCCACCACCAGGTATCGTACCATAAGAAGTATGCACACTGAATGGAAATTCCCATAACGATGTGCTTACGACTTTTTAAATTTAATTCCTTAGTGTTGATCATTTTTTACGACAAAGATTAACAGTAATTACACATTCATTTTGAAATGTGTACATTTATCTACTATATAAGAGGATATGAAAACTGAGAAGCTGCAATTTTTGTATCAAATTGATATACGTAATCGCAGTGCGAGACTACTATGAATTTTTTAAGAAATTCTCTCGGCAGAATGACACTTAATGAATTGGCACTTCTACACATGAATAGTGATATATTAGACCGCATAAATGTTGAGGAAATTTTGGATAAATTTGCTTCACAAAAGGCTAGAAAAAAATGTTTTAGAGAACTATGACTTTTTTATTATTTAAAAATACCTCTTTCGATTCAGTTATTATTTTTTGTTACCTATCTAAAAACGCAAATAATTTATTTTTCGTGAAATTATACTATTCCATTTATTTTCTATTAAAGACTAATTTTTTAATAAAGGATTTTTTTAGATGTCGGGTGGACGCTTAAAGGGCTGTGCCCTGGGGGAGAAAATGTTCCTAAACCGGCACTGTATATACAGGGTCCTGCAACAGTGCGTCGATTTTTCCTCCATAGCTGATACCTGGTAAAAAATATTGGTGGTTGCAGATCTACAGAAATTATTTCTGAATGTACAGGGTGTCCCATTCTTACGATGTCAATAAATAACTCATCTTTTTAAATAGAACATCCTGCATATTTTTACTTGTTTCAATGCCATTTGTTCAAAGTGCTATAACTATTCTTTTGGAACCACCACTATTTTATTTTGCTATTCGATTGTCTTTTGTGTTCTCTTCATAAGGGGTACCCTGTGCTTAAACCCCGCAGTTTTTATGTTATTCAATATTTTTCACAAAAATACCTTCTCATTAATTAATTACGTGTTTATACCACAGATTTAGTGTTTAAATCTGTGTTTATACATCGGAGTACGCTGCTATAATAAAAAACAAAAGAATACCAGAAAGTAAACAAGTGTCACAAATTAGATAATTATTTGCTGCAAGTGTACTTTTGATTTCGTAAACAAATAAGATTAATTAAAAAGGCGAATTTCGAACAAATGAACTAATTTTTTTAGATAAATTCGGAGAGCCGCAACTTTATATCAAAAGAGCCGCAGGTTGCCGACCCCTGCCATAGGGTATACTCCATATACGCTGTATACTCTCAAGAATTTTATAGACATATGGCGTATACTCTCAATCAAGGCGCCACTGGAGATGATAATTATACATCAAGCGAATTGAAGGTCGTTATGTTATCCACAAACACTTTTTTTACCAATTTAGAGAGCTGAAATTGCATTACGTTTTGAGTATCAAATTTTTATAAATGTGTCAGGGGATGACCCCCTGCCCCCTCGTGTTTTAAAGGGAGCAACACCACCACCGGCTCAACTGAGTACACTCTCAAAGAAATTGATGGGAACATCACTGTGACTGTGTATATCCCTAGATTAGGTTGCTGTGGTTTTACTTACACAACAACCGTCAACCACAAAGTGCTGCATGCATTTAATTAACTTCTGACAATTCTTCCCAGTTAGAGATTGTTGCTTTACTTCTCATAATTATTAATAAGTAAGCGCTTTTGTTAGTATTATTGTAATTTTGAACCTGCGGAAAGTACACATTGTACTTTTACAAAAAAATGTATTGCCCCGAATATATTCCGAGAGTTCGGTAATCGCAATCTGTGCGCGTAATATATTTGAAGCATGCTGTATATCATCGGAATATCAGTCGCCCTTCTTTAATGAGCAAAAGAGATGAAGCATAAATGTCAGCGGTCATGCGCTCGAATGTCAGATTCTCGCCAGTGCGCGTTTTAGTTTGCTGGTGTTCGCGGTGCGTTGCGCTTGTATCGTACGTAAACAGTTAAATTAATTTTAGGATCACTTGTGAATAAACATAAACAAACATCCAGCAGTTTTAATTAGCGTTTACATCGTTACAGTGTGCTCGCACTTTAATTCGGATATAAAACTTAAGGTGAGCCGTTTGATCTTTCTCTTATCACCTCTAAATGTAAACAAGATGTTAATATTTATGACTCTTTCGTGCCTTCCAGTTATCGAGGCACGAAATGAACCTGTTGTTGAGCGTTAACGTTAATAGGGGTTGGTTCATTGACTTTTTCTTTGTATGTAAACAGAAAGACTAATTTCTGTCTATTGACGAACTGTCAAGACTGTGTTGCAAAAGGTTGATAACCGTTGACAGTATCGACTTGGAGGTAGGTATGGTATTAATAGGCGGACGAAGATTAGTAGGAAGTACCATTTATTTTTAGTTGACATTCATTGCAGTAGTAATACAAGGTGAGCTTCGTTAAGTAAATGGCATTAATAGTGTAGGATGCAGAAATGTGATTCATCCGTGTATTTATGGCGATGGCTACAGAAGTGCATAACAAAGAAGTTATCTTGGTGTAGTAGTTCGTCGAAAATGTCGTAATTATGACTAGAAAGGATTGACGACCTTTAACAGCAGTAATCTTGCGGTCTCTCGCTCATTTTGAGGCGTGTTCACACAATTCAACTGTGTTCCGATCCATTAACTTTATCGATAGTCATAATCAATGAGAACTGTATGATTCATAAACAGAAAACCAGTTAATTTGGGGAAATTTGGTTTTCCGTTTTCGTCATATCGGTACTTACCTACCTGGAGGCTATCTCGGAGGCTATAATGTGTAATCCTAATAAAGAAGCTCTTCATGAAACAAGCTTAATTTTTAGTGTTGAGATCGAAGGGTTAATCAGGCTTGCAAAAAGAGGGAATTTGGGCTCATTGCGGGAGTTTGGGATGAATTGCAAAGGATTTACTGCGGAACTTTGGCGGCACAAATCTCGTGACTAGATGAATTGGTCAGTGCCGTAAAAAGTTCGTAGGCAGAAGCCAAAATAACCCAAACGTTAGTGTTTTGTTTCTTTATGTTTGTTATTTTCAAATCCGCGGTATTGTCTCAATTCGAAATATGGTGCCGCAATATTGGCATGCATCCTATACGAATCTGCAAGGTTTCGACAAGAAATAATAGGTTTTCATGAGGTACATTTTTGTTGTTTCAGTAGGTACCTACATGTTTTATTTTCAATACGAAAGTTGCTAATAAAACGTTTCTTTTTTGCAGAGATTCTTACGGTACATTGTTAATATAGTATGATAGATAGAAGACTTAAAGCATACGTTCTGGCCCCGGTTCTGGCCGAGGTTCTGGCATGGGCACCAATTACGTCAGTGACTCAGTGTATAATGTATAGGTCACTTTTGGCAAAAATGGCGTTAGCTTTTCAAATGTGTTGATGCGCTATCCCGAAATTAAGATTCTCCGTAAATGCTTATTTCCCCTGACATTTTATGAAATCGTCATTTTAAACGCAATCTCCGATTAAACGATGTTAGTTTCAGTAAAAAAGTTATCACAAAACCATCGTTTTTAAGAACCTTTGTTAGTTGGCCATGACTGGTCGTCATGGCGGTGAAAAAAAAAACAATAGAAAATTAAAAAATGACGAGGCATGGCTAACATGATTCTTAAAACCGTATACTTAATACATAGCATTTTTCCAATAAAAAATACTCGAAAAAATATTAAATTGCCAATATTTCGAAAACTGAAAATGTTTTGAATAGGCTCGGGAATAGGCTACTTCCGAGGCTCCTTCATACAAAGTTGCCCTTATTTTTGTACACTTAATGAGGCAATTATAAAAAGAGAGGGTTTCCGTTAAAAAAATCACGTTTAACGATTTTTTCAATTCAATTTTCAATGTTTTTGAACCCCCTACCAAACCCAAGAATTCCCTCGACAATTCCGATACGGAAAAAGTGGGAATTATGATTTGGGCTGCAAACCTCATTTTTGAAATAGGTCAAAAACGTCCAAATTTAGATATAGGATATGAATTACTTCGAATCTTAAGTATGAAATTATATATAGGGTGTTCCATTTAAAATAAGTAAATTGGCATTCCAACTTCCGGTAATGTCATCAACTTGAGGGATTGATGAATATTTTAGATGAATTCTTGTTATCGTCATTACTCATTAGTATGCTGCGAGGTATGCTGTCAACTTTTGAAAATATTCCCAAGTCTTCTTTTCCAGATATAGATAGCGGACATTCGTCGTGGGACACCCTGTATCAGTTCTAAATCTTCCAAGTTTTAGGTTCGAAATCCTCGAGTAAATCATAAATACTCCCTCGAATACTCCTCTTGAGTGTCTGTTTAAAACATATTGTAAGGATAAGTTTCAGCATAAAATGGTTTCAAAAAACTGTTTTTTTTTGTGTTTTTCTGCATATAAGGACGTTGAAGATGGGGTCGCTGGACGAACTTTTTTTGGTCCGCTCAGACCCTTTTGATTATGTGCCAAATTTGATGTGGACTGGTCCAGACGCCTATAGCTAATATCCGACAGGCAGACATACAAACATGGCTTTTATTCTCGCTTTTATTAAGGATCCTCAGATCCTTTATAGTTTTGTATTGTCGTCCGTCCGTCCGTCCGTCCGTCCGTCCGTCCGTGTGCGCTCTAACTCTTTTTAAAAGTGGCCGATTGTGTTGAAATTTGGTATACGGGTACGTTGGACATTAAGAACGGACGCTATTGATTTTCAGGAAGCTGGTTCAACAGGAACAAAAGTTATACGACTTCGAGTGAATCGGGAACAGGAAAAACTGCGAACTCAATATAATAAAAATTAACATATTTCATTCCCTAGGTCATGTATCGGGTTGGGACTTCCGCTAGATTATTCCCTATGACTCTTAGATGTGTAACAATTCAATATAACTCTTCTCTGTGGTCTCGGTCAAAAGTTTTAGAGCAAAATGTACCCAAAATTATTCTTTACACATGAATTTAGAGTTGTAAAAGCTTTCAAACGCATTATCTTGATGCTGAAAGAGTTGATAACGTGCACGTTTGCATGTGTGTGATTCAAAAATGTTAAATTATTTTTCTGAGGCCACATGGATTTTGATCAAAATATGTCAAAATCGTTAATTATGCACCAAGATCGTTGGGAAAAAGACTACGCGCATTATCTCAATGCCCAAGACATGAATTTGATGCATTTTTGGCGACCACGTGGATTTTGATCAAAACATGTCAAAATCGTTATTTATGCACCAAGAGCGTTGGGAAAAAGACTACGCGCATTATCTCAATGCCCAAGACATAAATTTGATGCATTTTTGGCGACCACGTGGATTTTGATCAAAACATGTCAAAATCGTTATTTATGCACCAAGATCGTTGGGAAAAGACTAGGCGCATTATCTCAATGCCCAAGACATGAATTTGATGCATTTTTGGCGACCACGTGGATTTTGATCAAAACATGTCAAAATCGTTATTTATGCACCAAGAGCGTTGGGAAAAAGACTAAGCGCATTATCTCAATGCCCAAGACATGAATTTGATGCATTTTTGGCGACCACGTGGATTTTGATCAAAACATGTCAAAATCGTTATTTATGCACCAAGATCATTGGGAAAAAGACTAGGCGCATTATCTCAATGCCCAAGACATGAATTTGATGAATTTTTGGCGAAAACGTGGATTTTGATCAAAACATGTCAAAATCGTTATTTATGCACCAAGATCGTTGGGAAAAAGATCAAGAGCATTATCTCAATGATCTAAACATGAATTTGATCTATTTTTATGGACCACATGGATTTTGATCAAAACATGTCAAAATCGTTATTTATGCACCAAGATCGTTGGGAAAAAAACCAAGAGCATTATCTCAAAGCCCAAGACATGAATTTGATGCATTTTTGTTAACTATAAAATGTATTTTGTAAGATTAAAATAAATTGTCGTTAAAAGTGATTGTAATACTGAGGATCCTTCGATATTTCGTTGTATCGGTTTATTATATACCGATTTTGGTTGAGACTGCAGTGTATCCTCAGCTGTTTTTAATAATACCACAAACAGAATCAATCTGATAACATTCGTTTTGAGATACAGGGTAAAAAACGAAAAGTTTGCTTTTTTGGAATGGTATTGAACGAGGTATCGAATCTTACTATACCCATGTAAGATAGAAAAAAGGTAAAAACTGTACATCCTAGATATTTTTACGAGTAATTTAACGTAGAAATCAATGAACGAACTACCGTTTCTGAGATTTAACCCAAAGTTGGTATTTTTTAAATGCAACACCCTGTATATCTTCACGTGAATTTTTTGCATTCTTTTTCCTGATTACATTGATGTATCGTATCATTTTTTTTATTTTAGCCATGAACCAAAAATGAAAACCTTATTTTTTACAGTGTTTAATTAGTAGGTCATGGATTCATGGAGATTTTGTTTTGTTTATTGCATCCATGGCAGCCGTTACCAATCAATAAATGTAGAAACATGTCATTTCAAAATTTTGAAATATAATATAATATACACTTGTGTTTTCGAGATGAGGATGTCTATCATAGAAATCTCGGAACCCATAAAAGGTATTGCTGTGGCCAGGGCCGGACTGGGTGGGTAAGGGCCCCGGGCGCTCCATGACCAAAAGGCCCCCAAACTCATGGACCCCCCCCCTCCCGAAAAAGAAGACAAGCGATTTGCAGATTGTTTTAATTGTATTTCAAACAACTTGCCGAACAGTATTGCCACACGTACGCCACACGTTTGGATCGAGCGAGGAGGGGGGAGCGCTGCCGCAGCAAGCGAGCGAGCCCAGTTGACTCGCTACTCCACATCGCGGAGCCTCGGGTAGCTGGATTAGCGCTTAGGGGGGCCCCGCGGCGGAGGCTCCGTTTCGCGGTTTCACGAGGGCCTCGTCCAGGGTCCCCGATGGCGCGGGGCCCCGGCCGCTCGGGCGGCCTAGCGGCCTGGGCCAGTCCGGCCCTGGTTGTGGCCTTTAAATTTCGGGCTAATTATCTACAACAAACCTTACCATCTTTTTGATGCAATTTCAAAACGAACGACCTCGGTCTCGAACTTGGCACAAAGCGATTTTAAA